TCTGTCATAATTATTCATATTATTCATATTAAAAACACATTCAAATTTCAGATATAGGCAAAAGCATTTTCTTTCCTAAGTAGTTTCTCTAAATTTAGAATATATAAATACAAAACGATAAAAATCTCTCAACTTTTTTATTGGGAGGATAGATTTATTTAGATATATTTTTGAGTTATCAACTATAGAACCTACATATCTCTCTTCTATAAATATGTTTCGATATAAAGAAAACATGAAATGCTCTAATTTAGAAATTCAAAATAAAATTCTAAACTAACTGGCCTTGTAAGAATATGTAAAACGAAGATATCGATGCTGCTAAGGCTTTGTGTAACTAGGATTCATTTAAAAAGTCTATTCAGGGTTGTCTTTTCAGATTGTCAGATTAAACAAACCTAACAGCATTTGCAGCAAACCCATAATTATAGATTATTATGGCATACAAAAGCAACAAGACATAAAAAGCTGCTGCAATTCACTGCACTCTAATAGAACATGCAGAGGAAGTTAATTTTGGCAAATGCTTTAAATATTAGCTTTGCATAATATGTATAGGTGAAACTATAATTAGGACAGAATGAATTCTTTGGAGCCTCCTTTCACTCCGACTCTGCAAATGATGACTTTTTGCTAATAAGACTACTGCCATTTGACAAAAAGCCAACTTAACTACCTCTCTTTATTCTTTAGTAAATTTAATAATTACAGCTACTCCTGCCAATAGTTCTGAAATCAGACTTGTTCAATCCAATACTGAGCTTATTAGGGACACTCTATGTTTAGAAATCTTTGGCTAAAAAAGTACTTGAAGATGATGAAGCATGCCTTAGACAAGGGCACAATGATTAGTCATTTTCTCCACATTAAAAAACCCAAAATGCAGCATGTAGTCACCACAGATCACAGAATCACCTGCTGTTAGTTCACAGCTGTTCCTAAAAGCTTCTGCATTTATCTGGTCCGTAATACCTTTAAGAAAGTCCAAAAGGAATAACTGAATACATTTAGAGAATAGTACTCCATAGAGTATCTGGTACCAATATAAAGCTCATCTATTTAAATTTATACCTTTCTGTCTTTAAAATGACTGTTGTTAACAGTACAGTAAATTTGGGTTGAAATACAATAAAACTTGCTTTACATAGTAAACCATTTATTTCACTGTTTAAGAAATATACTACACTGCCCTTAATCAAACTTTTATCATTTTACACCTTTAAAAATGCAAAAACTGTGCCCACCAATAGACGAGTGGATAAAAAAGCTATAACATATCCTATCCTATATAATAAAAGGCTAACATGCAAAATGACTGAAGGACAGAACAACTGGTCGCTATGATGTGCACTGACCACCAGGGGGAATATGCTCAACACAGGAGCTGCCCCTGGTGGTCAGTGCACTCGCACAGGGGGAGCCCTGCTCAGCCAGAAGCCGGGCTCCTGAATGGCTTAGGCCCACTCCCTATGGATATCCCCAGAGGGCTCCTGGACCGTGAGAGGACACAGGCCAGTCTGAGGAAACCCCTACCCCAAGAGCACGAATTTTGTGCACCAGGCCTCTAGTACATATAATAAAAGGCTAATATGCAAAGCAACCAAATGGCAGAACAACCAGTCGCTACGACACACACTGACCACCAGGGGACAGATGCTCAATTCAGGAGCTTCCCCCTGGTGGTCAGTGTGCTCCCACAGCCAGAAGCTCCTGCCTCAGAGGCAGTACTAAGCATGTCCTACTGATGGCTTAGTGCACAAATTTCATGCACTGGGCCGTGTATGTGTGTGTGTGTGTGTGTGTGTGTGTGTGTTGCGCATGCACACACAGTCATAAAAAAGAATAAAATCTTACAATTTCTGGCAGAATAGATGGACCTATAGAGTATTATGCTAAGTGAAATAAGTCAGAGAATCAAGTACCATGTGATTTCACTTATATGAGGACTCTAAAGAACAAAATAAACAAAGAAACAGAAACAGACTCACAGACAAGAAACAAATTTATAGTTGCCAGAGTGGAGGGGGTCGGGGGACTGGTGAAAAAGGTGAAGATATTAGGAAGTACAAACCAGTGGTTATAAAATAGTTATGGGGATGTAAAATACAGCATAGGAAATATAGTCAATAATATTATAATAACTAAGAATGGTGCTAGGTGGGTACTTGAAATACTGGGGGGGAAGGGGTCCACTCTGTAAATTAAAATTTTCTAACCACCATATGCTGTATATCTGAAACTAATATAAAATAATAGTGAATGTCAATTTTATTGGAAAATACATTTTTAATGCAAAAGGCAACTAACTTTTTCACAGAACTTTGTTTTTAGATAAAATACTCTATTTTACTATGCCAGATCTATAAAAATAATTATAAGTTGAGATATTATTTTCTAAATATTTTGTACTGTCCAATATACCTCTATTATATCTGAACAATTTCATTTGTATATTATGTGGTAGACAAATTATTACCAACCTGTGATCACTACTATGATCACATCCTAGATATTTTAATAATTTGTAACTATTCTGCATTTAGAACTCAAACTCTTCTTTAATAGCTTACTCCTTAACCACAACCTCCTAGTCTAGTGATTTCCCAATTTGTTTTGTAGAGTCCTTGGAGATGGATAAGACAGAAGTCAGTAGAATCCCAGCCACTATCCTGCTGCAGCTCTAGTTTAAAGAGTTTTACAAACGGCTTCCTTGTGAATTTTACTTGAAGAGGTTTCACTGCTTAAAAACTCATTTTAAAAACCACTGTCCGAACATACTGATTCCCTCTTCAACTTTGGCTGCATATTTATCACCTGCAACGCTTTTAAAAATCCCAGCAATCTCAGATTGCTTTAATATATTTTTAAATAATATATTTAATAAATTGTTTTAATATATTAAAACCTTTACTGACAGGATGAGAGCATCCTAATATGAAACCAAGGCTGAGAATCATTGTTCTAACTTCTTATTACTAACCACATTTACTTTCTGACTCACTGGATCACTCCATTTTCTTCCAATTTATTAGCCATTTCCTAGCATCAGGTAAATCCTTACCAAGCTTAGATCCATGGTTACACCATATATCAATATTTTTAAAGTCATAGTTTGTGTTTCTGCCATATTCACCTTACTGGTTGGTGCAAACAAAACTCTGTAGTTTTTATTTTCTTTCAGGCCCTCAAAAACTTCTCTCAATCCCCTTAGTTTACTTCCATCTTATTTTTTCTGGTTTCAAAAGAAGGGCTAATGTTAGCATCTATACTCTCCAGTTCACCTGTCAGGAACTTCACTCTACTAATGCTGATCACCTTCCTATTTTCCGTCTCAGCTTTTTCAACTTATAATTAATTTCAACTCTTTTAATCCTTAAAAAATCCCTTAACCCAAATCATCCTTTAGCTTACCTACTGTTTTATCACTTTTCTTTTCTTTCTTTTTTTTTTTTTTTAAATAGTCAAGCTTCTTTAAAGAGTAGTTTTGACAGATGGCTCTATAATACTTCCTTAACTCCTTTTTGTTTCTGAACCCATAGACATCCGCTTCTGCCTCCTACTTCTCTGCTGAAACTAAAGCAGACATACTTGTCAGTGTTTTATACTTGACCTCTCTATCATTTAATAGTGCTGGCCAATCTTTTAAAAATCTTTCTCTTCTCTTTGTTTCTGAAAAATTACTCTCTCCTGTTTTTTCCTTCCTTTCCCACTTTTTCTCCTCAGAACACACACACACACACACACACACACACACACACACAATATATATATATATATATATATATATATATATATATATATATATATATATATATATATATATATACCTAACAGAGACCTCTCCGCTAAGATCTAGACCTATATATACAACAAACGGTCTACTATATATCTTAACGCAAATACCCCAATGTGAATCCCTCCAATTAAGCCCTCCTCTTTACCCCTTCCAAGCCTCTGAACTCTCTCATGTTCTTGGTCTACTCTGGGGAAAATCTATCTAATTTAAGCCTTTTACAACTCTTGCTTGGACTATTGCAACAACCTCAAATTTGTTTCTCTACTCCTGAGTTAACCTCCCTAAAATTAGTCTAACATACGAGAGCAGCAAACTTCTCTGTAAGGGGCCAGACAAAATATTTTCTGCTTCATGGCCATAAAATCTCTGTTGCAACTACTCAACACTAGTGTTTTTGCACAAAAGCAGCCATAATGATACATAAATGAACCACATGGAGATGTCCCAATAAAACCTTATTTTATAGAAACAGGTGGCAGGTGTGGGCCATAATTTGCCAACTCCTGTAAAATATTGTCAAAGCGCTCTTAATACTAACTTTATCACATATATCACCTCTTTAACCCCTTCAATAAACTGGGTTCCTCTGAGCTACCACTGTATCCTGAATGCACTTTTATTTTTATACTCATAAGGTTATTTGTTCACATCTTTGTCTTACCCTTATATCAAATAGTAAACTCTGAATGTAGAAGCAATGTGGCTTTAAAAATACCTTATTGAGTTCACTATGGACCAAGAACCGTGCAAAAAGTTTTATATATATTATTTTATTTAGTACTTAAAATGACCTTATGAGGAAATAAATATTATCCCCACTTTATAAATAAGAATACAGACATAATTACTTAGCTATTTAATGAGAGTCAAAATTCAGCAGCATGCCTGTCAGACTCCAAAGCTAAATCTCTTATTTAATTATAGAAATCCTATGACATAGAAAGTAAAATATCAAAAAGAATTTATTAGAATAACTTAGCTAGAAGTATAAAGGGAATGTCATCACATGCAATCTTAGCAATTGTGTATATAAAGTTATTTCTTAAACTGAAAATAAAATTTGCAGTAATATACATGGTGAAGTAAACAACTACAAAGTAAAACATGTATTATCCATCCTCAGCCATCATTTCTACCCAAGGCCTCAAATCATGCCTTGAGAGAACCCAAATAACAATACTGTCCTGAAGAAAATCCGTTTTACCTTCTGTTACTGGTTGGAGTTTAGAAGACCGTTCTGAATCAGGAGAATGCAAAGGTTCAGGTTCTTTCAGACTTTCCAAAGGCAAAAAGGGATCATAATCCACAGATGCCAGGTCTGATAGGCTTATTGGAAAATACTTTGGATTGCTAAAACATTGAGCTCCATAAACACATCCATGTAATACCTGAAAATGCAGGGGGAAACATACAAGATTTCCTTTTCAGTAAAAATAAATAAAGTAAAAAGAGAAAAAAGTCCACTGGTAATGCAAAAGCTTAACAAAATTTTAAATAATTTAAAACTTAGCTCTTTGGTCATGGTAAAATTTAATACCTCTTAAGAAGAAGTAAAATTTAACTAGTGATGCTTATATTCAACAAAGATTTGACTCTTCAAAATCTGGCAATAAAATAATCGTGTACTATAGAAACTACTTTTTAGTAATCAAGATACTGTAAGATAAATTTATGTTCTTATAAAATACCTAGTCTAAATGAAAACACTAAGAATGTTATTTCTTTAGGTTTTATAAACCCTTGGTTACCAAGTAAATAATAAAGCAAAGAAGTTTACCTTATAAATGCAATTGAGGACTGACTTTTCTATTTTATTATTTTCTGCTCCTGTAGTATGGACTGGTTGGAGCAGTGTCTTTAGGGGCAAGGCCATGATCCAGTCCAGAAGGCACAGAAGTAAAGATACCACCAACTGCAACAACAAAAAGATCATTATTATTGTCAACTCATAAAGTAAGAGTTTAATACTTAACAGAATTTCACCAACTAATTTTTGATTAATCCTCACCAGGATATTTCCCTCTGTTAATTTTTACAGAGAAAATACAACTTGTTACACTTAATAGAAAGTATATCTCACATTATAGTCTATTTTAATTAATTTATTTATCTTTATTATTGAAAGTATTATATATGTCCCACTTTCCCTCCATTAATTCCCTTCAGTTAGTCTCCGCCCCCTGCCCCAGGCTTTCATCACTAATTGTCTGTGTCCATGGGCTATGCATCTTACATACAAGGTCTTTGGTTGATTACCTCATACTCACCTATCCTCCCCTGCCTTCCCTCTGAGATTCCACACTGTTCCATGACAGTCCATTTTAAATACAAGATGAATTAATATTTACCATATAAATATATATAACTTTGCAATTTAAAAATATAAGTATTTTACTATGTAAGAATATTAAATAGCAAAAAATGTTTTTAATTACCCTCTTGTCCATTTCATAAGATGAAGCTTCTGTACTTGGCAAAAGATGGGTAATAGTGGCTATCAGAATCTATAGTCAAAAAGTAAAAAAAAAAAGCACAAAATATATTAAACTAATGTTCATTCTAAAACATTACTGTTAATGTAAAAATAATATAAAATCTATTGCTGCAAGGTTATTCTGAAACATTAACACTTTTATTTCAAGGTAATTTTTAATGTGTAAGCTTTTCAAGTATATTAACTATCAATTATTTACAATCTTCATGTATAGAACCAACATTATATGCTGTTAACTATGAATGGATTTCTCACAAACTCAACCCATGAATCAATATGTATAAATACTCAGATAATATGTTCTAATAGAAAATTAAAATATATAAAGAAAAGCAAAAAGATTTATAAAAATCATCTGCAATTCTGTCACTAATAATATCTACCCTACTCAACACCTCAACATAAATAAAGGCTATAAGTGACAAGCCCACAGTTAATATCATATTCAGTTGTGAAAAACTAAAAAAAGCCTTTCATCTAATATACAAGGAATACAAGGATGTCCACAATTGTCATTTCCATTCAACATGGTACTAGAAGTCCTACTATGGCAAGTGGGCAAATAAATCAATAGCACCTGAATCTAAAAGGGAGAAGTACAATTATTTGTTTGCAGATTACATGATTTTATATATAGGAAACCCTAAACACTGCACCAAAAAAATTGTTACAAATATAAATGAATTCCATGAAGTTGCAGGACACAAAATCAAAATATCTATACAAAAATCTCTTGCATTTCTATACCAAGCAACAAACCAACACAAAGAGAAATTAAGAGAGATATCCCCATTTACAGTAGAATTAAAGTCAATAAAATAGGAATACTTTCAATTAATGAGGTAAAAGACCTGCACACTGAAAACGATAAAGTACTAATGAATGATTAGTACGATTCCACTTATATGTGGAATCTAATGAACAAAATGAACTAACAAAGGAAGTGGACAGATTCATGGATACAGAGAACAGACTGATAGCTGTCAGAGGAGTGGGGGTTGGGGCCTGCGTGAGAAGGGTGAAGGGATTAAGAAAAAAGAGAAGAAAGACGCATGGGCACAGCAATTTTCACCTTTTCGTTAAAGGAAGCACTCTATAGCTTCTCTTGGGCATATCTGACTTGTCAGCATCACTATTCTTACACTTTGCAGCCTTTATTAAGTAAAATAAGGTTTACTGAACACAGGCATTGTGATACCATGACAGATGATCGAATAACTGTGATGGCTACTAAATGACTAATGGTTGAGTAGCATGTACGATGTGAATAAGCTGGACAAAGGGATGATTCATATCCCATTGGAGAGGGACAACGTAAGTTTTTATCACACTACTCAGAACAGTGTACTAATTAAAACTTAGTCTAAATTGTTCATTTCTCAAATTTTCTATTTAATATTTTCAGATTATAATTGACCATGAATAATTAAAATTGCAGAGAGCAAAACTGTGGATAAAGGAGGACTACTGTAAATGGAAAGATATTCCATGTTATAGATTGGGAGAATTAATATTGTTTAATTGCTCATATCACCCACAGTGATTTGCTCATTCAATAAAATAAATTCCAGTGGCTTTTTTCTCAGAAACAGAAAAAACTATTTTAAAATCTGTATGGAACCACAAAAAGTAATAAAGAGCCAAAGCCATCTTGAGAAAGAAGAACAAAGCTGGAGGCACCACACTTGCTGATTTCAGGTTAATTATAAAGCTATTTTAATAAGAACCTGATGGTAAGGTACACAGGCACATAGAAAAGCAGATCAGAACAGACAGACTAAACATAAACCCACACTTACAGTATATGGAGAACGCATCTTTAACAAGTGCACCAAGAACACACATTGAGGAAAGAAAAGTCTCTTCTATAAATGGTGCTGGGAAAACTGACCCTGCAGGCCAGGCCGAGGTGCACAAATTCGTGCTTCAGGCCTTGTGTGTGTGTGTGTGTGTGTGTATCCATACATTTACATGTATATTTATGTGACTTTAAATTTACATACACTGAATAATATATGAATAAATTTGATACAGAAATATCAAATGGTAACAGGCATTATTAAAAGGAAAAAATATAAATATACTATGTTATTTACCCTAAAACTATATATATATTTTTAAATCCTCATTGAGGATATTTTTAGAGAGTAGAAGGGAAAAGGAGAGACAGAGAGAAACACTGATATGAGAGAGAGAGACATTGATTGGTTGGCTTCTTCATACCTCCCTCCCTACCAGGGCTGGGAGCTGCAACTGAGGTACCTGCGTTGACCAGTATCAAACCCCAAGATCCTTCAGTCCGCAGGCTGATGCTCTATCCACTAAGCAAAACCGGCTAGGGCCACCCTGGAAATCTCTTGATCACATTCAATTTTTTATGTGCTTGTTAAAAATGTACAGGGGTAAATTTATTGTAAGCTATTTTTTACACCTCATTCTGTACATTGGTTCCCCAATGAGCCTGCCTCTGAGAGCCAGCTCCTTTTTGCTGGAAGCAGGCTGGCGGTGGAGAACTCAGGACCTTGGATAAAGCCTTAGGGTGCTATATGTTTTTATAAATTATTGATTTAATGCATCAGGTAGGAAAAAATCATCAAAATATCTACACTAATAAAAGAGAAACATGCAAATTAACTACCACTCTGCTACAACCACAAGCCACACCCACCAGCCAATCAGGAGCAAGTATGCAAATTAACCCAGCCAAGATGGTGGCCAGCCACAGAGCTGGAGCAAGCAGAAGGCTTGGGTTGCCCTGGCAATGGAGGAAGTCAAGCTTCCTGCCTGCCCTGGCCAGCCCTGGCCTCCATTCAAAGCTACAAAGTTTCAATTATAAAAGATAAATAAATCCTAGATACTTGCTTCTAGCCGGCCCTGGCCTCTGCTCAAGGACGCGCTGAAAAAAAAAGAAAGAAAGAAAAAGAAAAAAAGGAGGAGTTGGGACCTTGGGTCGCTGGAGAAGGGGGTGGGGGGTGGGGGTAATCAGGCCAGGATGGAGCATCAGGGGCCGTTGGGGGTAAGCAGACTAGCAGGGGGCCAATTGGGGGTGAGCAGGCCAGCAGGGGGCAGTTGGGGGTGAGGCCAGTGGGGAGGCAAGGTGGAGGTGAGTAGGCCAGCAGGGGGGGAAGTTGGGGTGAGCAGGCTGGCAGGGGGTACATTTGGGGGCAAGCATGCTGGCAGCAGGGGCAGTTGGGACAAGCAGGTTGGCAGGCAGAATGGTTAGGGACAATCAGGCAGGCAGGCAGGCAGGTGAGTGGCTGGAGCCGGCAGTCCTGGATTGTGAGAGGGATGTCTAACTGCTGGTTTAGGCTTGATCCCTGTAAACGGGCAGTAGGACATCCTTCGAGAGGTCCGAGATTGGAGAGGGTTAAGGCAGGGCTGAGGAACAACCCCCCCTTCCCCATGCACAAATTTTGTGCACTGGGCCCCTAATACTGTATATAATAAAGGTTTATCAGTAGAATCTAGTATATTAAATGCACCTGTTTAATAATAATAGAACTGAGCCTCAATTCCTAACTATGTAAATAGGTAACAATTAGTGAAATGCTCCATTACTTGGAATTCTATTCCTACATTCAACTACAGGTGAAGTATAATAACTCTTCATGTTTAACTGTAGCTGTTGGCCACTATAATGCACAGTGAAGCAATTTGCAACAAATCTTCACTTTTAAGTACTTAGATAAGTATCAATATATAAACTGATAAAGAAAATAAGGAAAAGAATTTGAAGGCTTTCAAATAAAAAATAATCTGCTTAGAGAACAAACTTAATTTTCAAATAGAATAAGCAATCTTAAAGGGTAAAATTTTCAAATGTTTTCATACTAGCATACAGATGCACATTCACAGTTATATCCATTTATCATATTCCCATTGATAATAATAGCTGCAGCCAACGTTTATTAAAATTTATGTATCCCCCATCTTAATGGCAAAAAGTGTGAAGTGCTTCATATATATTTTTTCATTAATCTTCAGAACAACTCTGTGAGGTATATACTTTTATCCCAAATGTAAAGACAAGAAAAAAACAGAGTTCAGAGAGCAAAGTAACTTGTTCATAGTTATGAAGTTAGCAAGTGGCAGAGTCATGGCAGGTGTGTCTAACCCTCAAATCCAACCTCTCAACCTACATTAAACTCAACCAATATTTATTTAACAGATTCTACATGAAAGTGATGCCCTTGTCTTAAAAAGTTTAGAAGTTGTACACAAATATATTTACTGTTATAATAGAGGCTGGCAATATGGTTGTGTGGGAAAAACCTGAACACTTTCCTGTCAGCTGTGACTTTGTATAGTTACTAAATGCTTAGTCCTCTCATCTTAAATTATTGGTGGTGGTGGTGGGGGGGGGTTTGGAGAGAGGAAGATAATTGCTCATCTTAAGAGATTTTTAAGGATGAAATGGGGTAACATATGGAGATGATTAGTGTATTTATTAGCTGGTACATAGTAAGTGCTTGATAAATATTAATTACCATCTTTCCCAAAAATGTTACAAGAATATGAAGAACAATAAATTTTGGTTAGAGAGAACTGGAAAACGTTTTAATTTTTTTATGAGATGGATTTAATCCAATAATTAAAGATGGGATGTAAAGAGGAAAATCAGAGCACTTCAGGTAAGAAGAGAGTGAGGAGTACGTTTAATCAATATTAAGCCAACTCAGGTGCCTGGACTACAGTGTATTTTAAAGGAATATGTACTGATTCTGAAAAGATGGGTTGGTTCCTCTTCTGAAGGCCTGGAAAATCCCAGCTAAATAACTTGGATCTTATTTTATAGGCAACTGAAAACCAAACCACTCAAAAGACTGGTTTATTTTCAGGTAATAGACATAATAGTCATGTAAATGTGAATGACGACTTGATAGGGAAGAGCTCAGAAGCCAGGTCAATTAGAAGGCTATTATAGTATGCTAGAGGCCCGGTGCACGAAATTCATGCACTCATGAAGGGGGAGGTTCCCTCAGCCTGGTCTGCGGTCTCTCGCAGTCCAAGAGCCCTTGGGGGATGTCCAACTGCTGTGGAGGCGGGATAGGCTCCTGCCACTGCTGCTGCACTAGCCAGCCATAAGCTCAGCTTCCGGCTGAGCAGCACTTCCCCTGTGGGAGCATGCCAACCACCAGGGGACAGCTCCTGCATTGAGCGTCTGCCCCTGGTGGTCAGTGCACGTCATAGCGACCAGTTGTTCTGCTGTTCGGTCGATTTGCATATCTGCCTTTTATTATATAGGATTATATAGGACTAGATGTCCAGTGCACAGAAATCTTGCATGGGTAGGATCCCTAGGCTTGGCAGGCTATCAGGAACGATATAGGCCTTCTAGCTGCCAGCAGGGGCCTCCCTTCACCAACTTCCGGCCACCAGCCAGAGCCTCCCTTCCCTGGCTGCCAGCTGCTGGCTGGGGCTTTCCTTTGTTCCATGCTGCCCTTGGTGGTTAGCATATGTCATAGCAAGTGAACGAACTCCCACTCTCCCCAGTTGAACTCCTGAGGGGACACTTTGCGTATTAGCCTATTTATATTAGATCTATTTATATATAGAGATCAAGACAGAAATAATGAATGGGTAAAATAGTTCAGATATGGTAGAAAGCATATGAAATTAAAACAAAATAAAAACTATAAATAATTAGCTGAAGAAGAAAGAAAAATAACGAGTCAAAATAACGTCCTGATATGGTAGTTGGAGGGATGGCATGTTTTCTTAACCTAAGAGATGAAATGAAGCCAAATACAAATTCATACAGACAATGGCAATTATAAATTTGCAGGCAGCATTTAAAAACAAGAACACAATCTTTTAACATAAAACACAAAGGAACTGTCATGAACTTTTGATACTCAAAAATGCACCTTGGGTTGCCATTATTTACTTGTGCGAAATTTGATGAAAACTACTAAATAATTTTGTATTTCAAGGTATCCAAATTTTAAAATCCTTAACAGAGGTCGTTATGAGAAATAAATAAGAAATTACTTACTTGAATAATTTTCAAGGGAGAATCAGGTTGGTAAATCTGAAGTCTAGGTACATAATGAACCAGCATGTGAAGCATGTTACAAGCTACATGGGCTACTGTTTTATTAGTAAACTGTGAAAATAACAAAAGAAAAACACATAAAAATTTCTTCCTGAACTATTATGCATTAGCTGCTGAAAAATTTGAAACTTCATATTTTTTGTCATTCTATATTTATAAAGTGATTATTGAAGTATTATTAGGAAGATAAATATACAGCTGCAAAGATACAATTTTACTTTTCCTTTGGATTGTTTGACTGTCCTCATTTAAACCTTATTCCATTTTTTCTTACCTAGATTTTTACAGCAGCTTCTAATCTTATTACCAATCTTGCCCCATTCAAATCTACTAGACACAATACTTCCAAAATAATCTGAAAAACTCCTCTGATGCTAACATTCCATATACTTAAAAGTCTTAAATGACTCCCCAGTGGCATAAAGTCATGCTTTTCATGCTTTTCTATGACCAAATTCTATCCACTCTTCAAGCCCTGACCAAAAGTTTCCCCTTTCCCAAGTCTTTTCTGATACCTAAGTCAAAGTGATCTCTGCTTCCTCTGAACTCAATCAGCAGTTTGCACCACTCATTTGGTTATCTCAGCTTTTTATACTTTATTCCTCTTATTTTAATCTTTTTCAGCATCAGATCATTAATCTATTGAATCTAGTATTTACAATTCTTTTCATTCTGATATCCCTCTTACTCTGCCTAATAAAACACTTCAAACAGGATATGCTCAGAATTATGTGTCAAATCAGTGATATCTGTACACTGTATCTTTAGAGTCCTAAACAGATAATGTAATATAAGTTTTAAGACAGAAAAAATATTATGCAACTATTCAGAAATTTAAAAAAATCCATTTATTCATTTAGAATCTTCAAATAATTGGTTTATTCTGAACACATCTTATTTTGGCATTTAACTTGAATGATAAAGTAAAAAAGTTGAGCAGTTCAAGAATTCAGAAGTAGTAAAGATCAAACAGTAGGTTACAAAAACACTGATAAAGAAAAAACAAACAAGCCATGTTGTTAAATGACTGATTTCCTTTTTAAGAGCCACTCATATGTTTCCTATGGACAAAGCCAAATACATAAAAAGTTGACTAGGACCACTCTTGAAGAAAAAGTCAGGAGCAAGGAAATAATGTAGTAATAAATTAATGAAAACATTTATTAAAGGGTACAATCTATAATTAACATTTGGAGAAAAAATAATCATGATTCTATACTATTTTAATATATTCCACTAAACAGTGCTTTGTTGTTTTGTGGGGGGGGGGGGGGGGGGAGGTTGGGGGGTATTTTTTTACCTTCAAGGAAACACATATTACATTCAGAGCTTCCTTAATTTGAGGATGATGAGACTCATGGACTAGTTCTTCACAAATCCAAATACCTAAACTGCAAAGTGCTACACATCTGCAAAAAAGGCAAACAATAATGATACAAATAAAAATGTATGCGCTTTTAAAGAAATGAAACCACCATCACAACCAAAACACCCACAACTAGCCAGCATAGAAGGAACATGCACTGTTTAAGTAAAATGATCAATTTGTTACTTTGTATGTTAGCTCTTCTTAGGAAGACAAAGGAGGAAAGCACATCCCTAAAACTTTAAATCTAATTTTCAATTATTACTTATTACCAAAGTCAGAGGTAGAGAGAATATAAAAGATTTTTCTAACAAACCCATATTAAGAAATTGATATTTTCATAGATTCCCCAAATGTACCCTGCTTTCGAAAAGGAAAGGATGTCATTTGATTAACTGATAGCATCAAAATAAATTTAAGCAAACTACAAACTCTTTAAAAAACAGATTAGGCACACAAATAAAATGTATATACTTCATAAAGGGATTCCAACTGAAACAGAACTTGTAGAATTTTTGTTCTGTTGCCTAATGTCTTCCTTATCCTATTTGTACTATTTCAGCTTGAAGGGAGTAATTTGTGATCACAATCAGTGAAATTCCATTAGTGTGTTAAAATATAAGTTTCTGATGAGGAATATAATGGTATTATGAATAAAAAAAAATTGACTCCTTCTAGGATCCTAGTTACATACATAACATGTCCTGGTACTGATATTCTTAAATTCAGCAGAATGCTAAATTTCGGAATAATTCAATGCAGAAACATTTTACTGAACACATCGGATCAGAAGTTCTTCAGTCCTCTCTTTCAGTCTAGCACAGTATCAATACTAAAAATGGTTTACTAGCAAAACTACCAGAAAGTCTTCAAAACAAGTCTACTGCTTTATTTTTTCTCTACTATTGTCTACCATGAGTCTTAGATAATATATATTATATGAACAGATATAATATATATTCATAGATCTAAATAATCAAACTTATAATATATATGTATAGACATAAATAATCAAATTTCATTGTTAGCAGTAGAAAGAGTTGTAATCATCAGGTAACATTAAACTCTAACCTGAGGCAAAGTTCTCCAGGGATGCAGCTAACTAAAGGCACAGACTGGGAGTACAACTGCTTAACGGGTCTTTTTTCTTTTTTCTTTAGTGATTGCACACCTGCATACACAGTTTCCTACATTCCTAAAGATATCCAAATAATCTAGATCATTCCCAGTATGCCTCAACTCTGCTCCATATCAATTTTGGGGGTATAAGCTTCTAAGGCCTATTCTCAATAAAAGCTATTGTGTTAATGATGCCCAAGTCTTTCTGCGGATCTATATTTTAGGCTTCAATATTCTTTACTTGAGAGGCAACATAGTTAAAAAGAAACAGGCAGAAAATCTAGAATCTGAAGCTCTAGGTTCAAATGTGGTTCAACTATTATTATTTATGCATCTAATAAGGCTCTGAAGACAAACTATCAAGGTTTTAATCATGGCTCTGCCATTGCTGGGTGATAGGGATAATTATTTAAATACTCTGGGCTCCTATAATAGGGAGGATACAAATTGTATCTATCTTCTAGAGTTGTTACAAATGAGGTAATAAAGTATTTAGAACAGTGCCTGGCACTTAGAAAGGACTTAGTAAATGTTAGTTTTCTAAGACATTGGTTTCATGCTAGCAAACTTGGCCCAGTGCCGGGCAGTCAGAGACCAAAGGACCTCTGCAACGTAGCTGACAATGCTAGCAAACTTGTGAGAATAATGATGATCCCATTAATTTCTTAGAATTGTGATGAGGAATAAATAAAACAATGTTATAGGAAAATTCTTGCAAACTCAAAAGATTGTCATTATTGACATAGAAAATACTAGAAAATTAATATTCAAAATAATCACATTTGAGGGTAAAGCTACCAGAAACGAAAATATGGTATAATGGAAAAGACAATGTCATTTTCTAGGGATGTCCAGTATTAAAATGATTAAATTAAAATAAAAATTTACTCAAAAAGATTTGTGATTTTAAAATATATATATTTTTTAATTGATTTCAGAGAGGAAGGGAGAGGGACAGAGAGATGGAAACATCTATGATAAGAGAAGATCTTTGATTTGGCTGCTTCCCTCATGCCCCCTACTGAGGATCAAGTGTGCAATTCAGGTGGGTGTCCTGGCTGAAATTGAACTGTGACCTCCCCTTTCATAGGTTGATGCTCAACCATTGTACTACACCAACTGAGCTCAAAGAGATTCGTTTTTAATTAACTTGACTATTAAGTGAGAAAAATATGGAACTGAATTAAAAAGCTGGAGCTATGTCTCATTTAAGCAAACTATTAATTTTACATTATTTTTACTGGTGGAAAAAATAAGATACTTAAATTAGAATATTCAAATGGTCAAAGCCATGATCTGCATTTTCATTAACCTGGGTCAAAAAATATGTAGGTAATTGGAAAAAAGAAAGCTTTGCAGAGATATAGGTCAGAGGAGGAACAACACAGACCACTTTTGAAGCTAATGACATTATATTAGAATTATATTCAATATAATTCTATAATATTACACGAATTAATGATATTTTGGGGATGAGAAGAAACATGTGATACTGGCAACCATGTGATAAATCTTAACCTTTTTAAAAGGTTTAGTAAAACAGAAAACGACAATTTTTTGCTTCTAAATAAGGCATTTAAAAAGAAAAACATTCTAAAATCTTATATTTACTATGTAACACACATTACTATATAATATGTTGTATATGTAAAGTACATATATTAATAGAATACATTACTTCTATAATATAATAGAAAAACCTTATCCAATATTTATTAATATCAATATATACTACTTTCTTTAATACATTACTTTCTATAATAAAAATATTTTATTTTAATTCAATTTAAGTAACATTCACTGGGTAACTACTACAATTAGGTATGGCAGAAGAGACAGTGAATATATAATCTAATGAAAAGCAAAATATATTTAAAAATAATTGAAAAAGTCATTTTCAATACTGAGGGTAAAGATACTAAAATGGGTGACTAATATTTTATCTTTTTAATGAAAAAAGGTTCATATTTAAATCATGAGAAAAGTATTTAATCATACAAATAATTTAAATTTTTAATTCAGAATAGCTTTTGTGTATCTGAAACAATGTGGACTAAATAAACTTCGAACGTGAGATTGCAAATAGAATAGTTATAATAAATCTTAAGAATATCTGACCTACCGTGCAGGACCAGAGGGCTCATCTCTTGCTGAGCTTAATACAGTTTTGATTATAAGTTCCTAAAATAAGGAGGAAATAGTAGCAATGAGTAAGAGTTCATTCGTTAATTCAATAAATATTTATTAAATGGCGACTATGCCAGGTGCTAGGAATACTATATTGAAATAAAACCAACAGTCTTTGTTCTCATGTACATACTTTTAACGGTCTAATATTACTCATAAAATTAGCTAAATAAATAAAACAATGGTATGGTCTGAATGTTTGTCCCCTCAAAATTCTTAAGTCCTAACCTCCAGAGATGATGGTATTAGAATGTGCTTAAGTCATGAGAGTGAAGCCTTTATGAATAAAATTAATGATCTTACAAAAGAGACCCCCACAGAACTCCCTGGCTCTTTTTACTTTGTGAGGACACAGGGAGAAGGCCCAGAATGAACTGGAAGAGGGCCCTCACATTAAAAACGACTATGCTAACCCTTTGATTTTGGATTTCTCAGCCTCCAGAAATATGAGAAATATTCTTCTGTCATTTTTATAAACTTCCCAGTCTGAAATATCTTGCCATAGTAGCCAAAAACAACTTTTTAAAAAAAGGTTTATAAACAACTAGGGGCCAAGTGCACAGCCCTGCCTGCACCCTCTCCAATTGGGGACCCCTTGGGGGATGTCCGATCACCGGTTTAGGCCTGATCCCACAGGATAGGGCCTAAATTGGTGGTTGGACGTCCCTCTTGCAATCTAGGATGGCTGGCTTCTAACTGCTCACCTGCCTGCCTGCCTGATCGCCCCTAACTACTTCTGGCTGCCTGCCTCCCTGATCGTCCCTAACTGCCCTCCCCTGCCAGCCTGATCTTGCCCCTAACTGCTCTCCCCTTTCAGCTTGATATCACCCCCAATGCCTCTGCCTGCCTGATCACTCCTGACTGCCCTCCCCTGCCAGCCTGGTTCACTCCAACTACCCTCCCCCACGGGCCTGATCTTGCTCCCAACGGCCCTTCCCTGTTGGGCTGATCACCCCTAACTGCCTCTGCCTGCCTCATCGTCCCTAACTGCCCTCCCCTTATGACCTGGTTGCCCCCAACTACATTCCCCTGTTGGTCTGGTTACCCCTAATCCCCTGTCAGCCTGATCTTGCCCCCAACTATCCTCCCCTGCCAACCTGATAGCCCCTGCCTCTGCCTCAGCCCTCACCACCGATGCTTTGTCTGGAAGGAGGTTGGATATCCAGAAGATGGCCAGTCAACCCGGTTTAAGTAGCATATAACCCTTTTAGTAGTATAGCTAGATTACATAGAACTAGAGGCCTGGTTATAAGTTTTTATGAAACTTATAAAACTTATGAAATTGGTGCACAGAGGGGGTGGGTCCCCTCAGCCCAGCCTGCACCTTCTCACATCCTAGAACCACTGGCTCCTAACTGCTCACCTGCCTGCCTGCCTGCCTGATTACCTCTAACACCCCCCCCTTCCCCCCCCCCCGCGCCCTCCTCCCCACCCCCACACCAGCCTTCGCAGTTCACCCAGATTAGGTTCTGATTTGTCAGTTTCTAAGCCAGTCAGCGTCAAAAGCTCTGCCTCCTAGGAAGCCATTGGCTCCTGGCACTTCACCCAGATTTGGTTTTGATTGTTTGGTTTCTATGCCAATCAATGTCTCCAGGCCTATCTCTAGGCCTGATCAGCAGCCCCCGAGAAGGCTCGGAGAGAAACAGGTGCGGCTGCTGGTGAAGCTGGGAGAGAAAGGGAGAGGCAATGGCTGATCAAAGCTGCCACAAAGGCTGGGGGCCAGACCTTGCCTCTCTCTCTGCAGGCCTCTCCCTGGGCCTGATCCGCAGCCACCTCGGCAGTCAGAGCTGGGTAGCCCTGACAACCCAGCACTGACTTCCTGTGTTGGGCTGAGCCTTGGTCGTTACGGACCCTGGCTCTTTATATAATAGAAGCATATCTGCTCCTAATCAGACACTATTATCTTTATTTTTAAGGTTCAGTATTTAGAATGAATTCCATTAGCAATTATATAGACACTTTAATTTGCACCATCTCCTGTTCAAGCCTGTTAATGCTTTAGGTTCATAGGACCCCAAACCTCAATTTCTACAGCAGAACAGAATATTCTATTACATTATGTTTGATTCCTCACATTGAGAAATTGGGAGAGGGAGAGAGTTAATATGCAGGTTTAGTGCCATCTTAATCTTAGAAGCTTTATATTACTAGGACTGTATCTGGCACATAGAATGTTTCAATAAATGTTCAGTGAGTGAATGAATGAATCCTAAGAGACTGACACGTGGGTGGGTTCAATAATCAGAAAACATTTCCAAAGCAGTTATGAACACAAAAAAGGCTATGCTACTAATAAACATTCCAGCCTGTGTTCTGAGGAGTATGGCTAGTTAATGTTCTTTAACAATTATGTGGATTTCTAAGAAAAGAAAGCATACACATTTTATTGAATATACATTATGATTATACATCATTTAAATGCTAACAATTAGCATCTGATTTCTTACCTTAACATCTGTAAACTGAGACACAGCAATATCAGGAATATTGGGATGAAGAGCAGGCAGTTCACAATATAAGTTAGGAAAGCAAACTAAAGATCCCAGAAGAACTTGTGCTTCCACTCTTGGTGCCTACAAGTAAACAGATTTTTAAAATCTTTAAAATATATTAGTGTTATTTAAATTATCAGAAAAATTATTTTATCACCTAACTATATTACACAGAGAAGTAAGCAAATAAGACAAAATTCAAAAAGAAACAGGGAAGCACAAAAAGATTCAGATTTTCATTTATATTTCCCATATAAACTCCTATAATTCTCAATAAGGGCAACAAATAGCAGAGCTTTCCTCAAGAGCAGCTAATAAGCCGAAATTAGCCTTAGTTAATGAGACTATACATTTTTAAAAATCTTAACAACACAAAATTACCCTAGTTGTAAGGAAAATTATATTTTTGTTTTAAAGGCAGCTCATACATCATAAGACACTGTTCTTTAAAAAAAAAATTATTATTTTCATTAGGATGACATTGGTTAATAAATAACACATTGTTCTAAAACATTCAAACACATGGAGGCTAAATAGCATGTTATTAAACAACTAGAGGCCCGGTGCACGAAATTCGTGCACGGGTGTGGGAGGGTGTCCCTCAGCCCAGCCCGCACCCTCTCCAATTTAGGACCCCTTGAGGGATGTCTGACCACCCTTCTTAGACCCGATCCCACTGGAATCAGTTGGACATTCCTCTCATACTCAAGGACTGCTTGCTCCCAACTGCTTGCCTGCCTCTGCCTGATTGCCCCTAAACGCTTCTGCCTTGCAGCCTGATCAACACCTAACAGTTCCTCGGCCAGCCCGATTTCCCCTAACTGCCCTCCCCTGCAGGCCTGGTTCCCCCCAACTGCCTTCCCCTTCAGGATTGGTCCCCCCGCAACTGCCCTCCCCGGGGAGCCTGGTCCCCCCCAACTGCTCTCTCTGGCTGGCCTGATCTCCCCCAACTGCCCTCCTCTACTGGCCCAGTCAACCTTAACTGCCCTCCCTGCTGGCCTAATTGCCCAAACCCCCCCCCCCCCCCCCCCCCCCCCCCGCCACACACACACACACAGGCCTGGTCCCCCACAAATGCCCTTCCATGCTGGCCTGGTCCCTCTACCCCAACTGTCCTCCAATGCAGGCCTGGTCCTCCCCACTCAACAACCCTCCCCTGCAGGACTGGTCTCCCCCAACTGCCCTCCACTGCAGGCCTGATCCCCCACCCAACTCCCCTCCCCTGCAGGCCCGGGTCCCCCCCTCCCCCCAACTGCCTTTCCCTGCTGGCTTGGTCTCTCATAACTGCCCTCCTCTGCTGGCCTGGTCACCCCTAACTTCCCACAAGGGCCCTCCCCTGCAGGCCATCTTGTGTCCACATGGGGGCAGTCATTTTTTTCCACACGGGGGCAGCCATCTTGTGTCTTGGAGTGATGGTCAATTTGCATATTACTCTTTTATTAGATAGATTACCCAATGAGATTAAGAAAGAAATAAAAAAAATTCCTGGAAACAAATGAAAATTAACACACAACAACCTAAAAATCTCTGGGATACAGCAAAAGCAGTCCTGAGAGGGAAATTCATAGTACTACAGGCATACCTCAGAGAACAAGAAAAATCAGCATATTTAACCCTACAACTTAAAGAACTAGAAAGAGAACAATAAGAAAAGCCCAAAGGAATCATAAGGAAGGAAATAAATATTAGAACAGAAATAAATAACAGATACTAAAAAAAATTTTTTTTAAATCAATGAAACCAAGAGCTGGTTCTTTGAAAGGTTAAACACAATTGATAAACCATTAGCCAGACTCATCAAAAAACAAAGAGAGAGGACCCAAATAAATAAAATCAGAATCAAAAGTGGAAAAGTAACCATCTACACCACAGCAACACAAAGGATTGTAAGAAAATACTATGAACAATTTTATGTCAAGAAGCTGGACAATGTGGATAAAATGAAAAATTCCTAGAAAAATACAATCTCCCAAAATTGAATCAGGATGAATCAGAAAACCTGAATAGGCCAATAACAACTGATGAAATAGAAGCAGCAATCAAAAAACTTCCAGCAAACAAAAGTCCAGGTCCCAACAGCTTCACACGGGAGTTTTACCAAACATTCAAAGCACATCTGTATTCCTCAAACTATTTCAGAAAATCCAAGAGGAAGGAACACTTCCAAACTCTTTTTATGAGACAAGCATTATCCTAATTCCAAAATCAGATAAAGACACTACAAAGAAAAAGAATTACAAGCCAATATCCCTGATGAATACAGATGTTAAAATCCTCAACAAAATATTAGCAAATCACACCGAGCAATATGTTAAAAAGATTATAAACCATGGCCAAGTGGGATTTATTCCAGGGATGCAAGGCTGGTACAATATTCCCAAATCAATAAATGAGATACATCACATAAACAAATTGAAAGACAAAAACCACATGATCATATCAAGAGGTGCAGAAAACACATTCAACAAAATCTAACACTCATTTTTTATAAAAACTCTCAGCACAGTGGGAATATAGGGAGTTTATCTCAACAGAATAAAGGCCATATATGACAAACCTATAGCCAAAATCATATTCAATGCGAAAAAACTAAAAGCATTTCCTCTAAGAATAGGAATAAGACAGGGATGTGTGCTTTCACCACTCTTATTTAACATAGTACTGGAAGTGCTAGCCATAGCAATCAGACAAGAAGAAGAAATAAAAGAAATCCAAATTGGAAAGGAGGAAGAATAACTTTCATTATTCACAGATGATATGGTATTGTACCTAGAAAACACTAAGACTCCACCAAAAAGAACTGCTAGATTTAACAAATGAATCTGGCAATGTAGCAGGATAACAAAATCAACACCCAAAAATAGAAGGCTTTTTTTATACACAAATAATGAATTCTCAGGAAGAGAAATTAAACAATCCCATTTACTATTGCAATAAAAAAAAACAAAAAAAACTTGAGATACTTAGGAATAAATTTAACCAAGGAGGCAAAAGACCTATACTTGGAAAACTATAGAAAGTTGAAAAAAGAGACAGAAGGAGATATAAACAAGTGACAATCAATGGATTTAATGCAATCCCTATTAAAATTTCAGAGATCTGGAACAAATACTCCAAAAATGCAACCCTGAATAGTTGCAGCAATTTATAATAAGAAAGAAAAACGAAGTTGGAGGAATCACAATACCAGATTTCAAGTTATACTACAAAGCTGCCCTAATCAAAACAGCCTACTACTGGCATAAGAACAGGCATATAGATCAATGGGACAGTGCTAAATAAATACACATTCAATTAATAAATATCTATAAGTATGATGCTGGGCTAGGACCTGGAGATGCAAGATGAGAAGACATGATCACTGTTCTCAGGGAACTAGAGAATTTAGATTAATAACTATAAACACGGTTTTTCTTTTATTTGCAAATTTCCTTGGTGATTGCATCCAGTTTCATGGGTTTCAATACTATCTCAAAAGCAATGTTTCCCAGCTTTTACATTTTCAGTCCTGATGTATCCTTTGAGCTCCTGAGTAATACATACAATGGACCTCCCTACATCTCATTCATGTCTAATGGGCAGCTTACTATGCCCCAAATAGAACTTCCCCTCATCACTGTCGGTCTTTTGTAGCTTATAAATGAAAAATGAAAAAAAAAAGTTTGTAAAACTGCTTTGCAAGTTATAAAGTGCTAGTCAAGTATTACTGATTATTCTTCCCCAAATACTCTTTGAATTTTCTAGTAGGCTTTCAGTTAATTATTTTTTATACTTTGCTCCAGAGTGATCTTTCTAAAATAGAAATTTGATCATGTCACTCTTTTCTTAAAACCCTTCAATGGTTCTTCATTATTTCCTTAGGATGAAATCTATTCTCTTTAGAACTATAAACAGTCACTGTCTTTCTCTTTAGTTCACACTTGCCTCTTAAAATGAACATGTTCCAACTACACTGAGTTACTTGGCACCACCTCAGCTCCATAAAAAAATCCCACATGCTGTTGTAGAGGTTAGAGTGTATTCCTAAGAGCATATTTTCTGGGTTATCTCACCACTGTTTCTTTCTTTTCTTTTGCTATAGTCCATTGTTATTTCTTTACTTTCTTCCCTCCTGTCTTTATATATGTATTTGCTCGGTTTAAAATTCAGTTTTGCTTATCAGATTTAGTCCATTTTTATAGCTCTTGGGTCAATTCCTCAACAAATTTTAGTTATACAATCGTATACATTAGAACTTCTTACTTTTTTAATGCAGGAGACACAACAATTCCAACTAAACTGTGAAATTTCCTCAACGTTAGATTGCTATATTTTTATCAAGAACATCTTAGCTCTTCCTTTCTTGCTCTTTAGTAGTGTCCTGGTTAACTAATATTTGTTATATTATGAAGAACAGGAAATAAAAACTTACATTGAGAAAAGCTGAAGAAGCCACTCTGCCAGCTGCTACAATAAAATCCATAATAAGCATTGTGGCACCAGGCAAACCAAGTGAAAAAAACTGAGGTGAGCAGTGCTTGATGATTGTATTGACAATATCCTGAGAATAAGGAAAGAAAAGAGAAAGAATATAACAAATGTAATATTGAATATCAGCTAATCAATATCCTTAAAAACAGATATCACATGAAATAATAAAACAGGTAATCCTATATAATAAAAGCCTAATGTGCTAAGTGTTGGATCATCTGTTCAACCAATCAAAGTGTAATATGCTAATATTATATATACTAAGGCTGCTCAACTGCTCGCTATGATGTGCACTGACCACCAGGGGGCAGACAGTTGATTGGTTGACCAGTTGCTATGATGTGTATTGACACCAGGGGGCAGACACTCCAACTGGTAGGTTAGCTTGTAGGGATCCCTGATTAGGACTGAGTAAGATGGGATGGACACACCCTGGAGCCCTCCCGTGGCCCCTCCCTGGCTGGCTAACCTCCCCTGTCCCTCCCAGCCCTGATCATGCACCAGTGGCATCACTTGGCCTGGCCTGCGCCCTCTTGCAATCCAGGACCCATTGGGGATGTCAGAGAGCCGGTTTCGGCCTGATCCATATACTAGGCTGAGGGACCCCACTGGTGTACGAATTCGTGTACTGGGCCTCTAATTACTATATATTGCTGACTAATTACAATTTTAATTTCTCCAAATAATCCATATCTATTATTATATTCTGTCAAAGGAAAATAAACTTAAAACACATTTGTTTAACTGACATCAATACAGCATTTTTTCTATACCACAGAGGAATTTGGAAGGCTCTTTGTTTCAGAGGGTTAAAACTAAATTGCAGAGTATCTCCTCCTGTTACCTATTTGTTTCTAAGTGATGATTCTGGCCTATAAAGTTGTGTGACCTGTTATTACAACTGAAGAGATTCTCTTTTTTAGATACCTTTGATGATATGTATCTAGCATTGGAAATCTCGATGTAGTCACCTTTGAGGGAATATTCTTGACTTGATTAATAATCCACTTTGCCTTTGGAATTTACAATGAGAATATGGTATATTACCTTGCATTACTCAATGTGATTTATCTTACACAAAAGCTCTCTTTTTCTAGTTATCAAGATCATTAATTTATCTGAGACATGTTATAAGGTAGAACATTGTAATTAGTCCTAATTAATGCATTTTTCAGAAAGTGAAATACCTTTTAATATAAATTTAATGCTCTCTAAATGAACTGAAAGTGAAATTTAACCACATTTGATAAAAATGCTTGCATTACTTTGACTTGTAACCTCCCACACTTTTCAGTTTTTTGGCCAGGGTCAAGACCCTTGAAGTAATGTTCTAGAGTCATAATTATGACTATATAATGTAATGATTGTGACTGACACAAATGCCAAGTCAATATAATTGTCATTATGATCATACAATTTATGGTAATAAGAAAATGTGATGTGCTGACTCTTAAGAGTAGAAAAAAACCTCTGAATACTACATGACTAGCTGAGTAAGTCCGTATGCCTCAAGTACCAATTATCAAGTGATAATTACAAAATGTCAACATAAGCAAAGGATGGCTTAATCTCTTCAAAAAGTGAACTACCGTGTTTCCCCGAAAATAAGACATCCTCCGAAAATAAGACCTACTTACAGGTTTCCATCTGAGTGAAATATAAGGTATCCCCTGAAAATAAGGCCTATCTCCAGACTCTTGATATTGCAATAAACAAGCCATTCAAGACAATTTGCGCATGGAAATTAATGACTACATTGAAAATAGAATGGAGAGAAATCAGCGTGGAAACTTTGTGAAACCTAAACTGCAAGAAGTTGTGACTTGGGTGAAGAATTCATGGGAGAAAATCACTGACAGTTGCATTGTAAATGCACTGCGAGCAGGCTACCTTGACAAGAAATACTCATTTAAAGACAGTGCTATTGCTAAACATGAGAGATTTGGTCCACTGATTCTGAAAGAAATGGAGTCACAAGAAATTCACCAGGAAATTCAGGAATTGGATTGTTATGATGATGTTCCAGAAGATGATGAGTTGATTGTCATTGAATAAATGAGTAAATTCTTGATACTGTAGGATTCACAGTTTGTCTGGTTTGGTTGACAACTACCGTACTACCGTACCATATACAGGTAATAAATTTCCTTTATTTTCATTTAACAATAAATGTGTACCGTATTTTCTTCATGGAAAAATAAGACATCCCCTGAAAATAAGACCTAGCGCATCTTTGGGAGCAAAAATTAATATAAGACACTGTCTTATTTTCGGGGAAACAGGGTATTTGGTATAACATTAGAGGAACAATGCATTTCATAATCAGGTCAACCCCTTGTTAAAATATTATAGCTTGTTTTTCCACCTACATTTCAAAAACAAAGAGTTAAAGAGAATTGAGAATCAAACATAAACATATAAAGCAACTTGCTAGAAAGTGCATATATTTACCTGATCAATATGAAGTAATCCACAATGCATTATATTATAGAAATGTGTCAGAAAATCTCTATTTGGAGAAACATCTTGTCTTCTTTTCATTGTATTGCAAATAAGTTTATAAGCATGTAATTTACCTTGCTTATATTTATCAGTCAACATGGTTGCCTACAATATAAAAATATTGGCTTTATTACTACTCAAAAACAAATACTGTTTATTAAATACTTAAACACTTAAATATAGCAAGATATATATATGAGGGACACCACCCGTGCACAAATTCATGCACCAAGCCTCTAATATATAAATATGAATATAGATATAAATGTAAATATAAATAGAGGCCTGGTGCATGAATTTGTGCACAGGTAGGGTCCCTTGGCCTGGCCGGCAACTGGGGCCTTCTCGGGGCCAGCTGGCCGAGGAGAAGGACCATGGGAAGTTGGCTGATCTGGGCTGTGGAAGGTTGGATGTGGGAAAACACTGACCACCTGACTGGCAGGGCGGAGAGACCACGGGAGGTTGGCAGACCTAGGGAAAGAACTGTGGGAGGTTGGCTGTGGGAGTGCACTGGTCACCAGGGGGCAGCTCCTGCACTGAGCGTCTGTCCCCTGGTGGTCAGTGTGCATCATAACAACTGGTTGTTTGGTCAACTACTCATAACGGTCTTTCAGGCTTTCAGATTTTTTTCAAAGCACATATTTTATTTATATAACAAAGTGTTATTTATATATCTTACATAGTATTGTTATTAAGTTTTCTGTGCCTGTAACATCAAATGCTTTATTATTCATTTTTGTTTTGCTTTTAAATAGACTTTTTAAAAGAAAAGTCTTTAATTCATAGCAAAATTGAGCAGAAAGTAGTTTTTATATACTCCTTAACTCCACAGATGCTATTTTCTTAAAAATTTAAATTCTTTGTTTAAAGTATTACATAAGTATCCTTTCTCCCCCTCGGAATTCTCCCCAACAGCCCCTGCCCCCTATAAAGCAATATATTTATTTTCATTCATTTCTATGTTGTCCCAATTTCTTTACTGAACTATATATCAGAATTACCTAAACCATTATCAAATGATACAAAACTGTGAATTACCAGTTTCACTTAGAAAAATGTATCAAGCATATCAAATGATACTTAAAAGAATCACATCTTTAAAGTACATATATACTGTGACACAAATTTAAGGTTAATTATTTCATTAAATATAACCCATACCAATAAAAGTGACTAGGGACCCTACCAGTACATGAATTTCTTGCACTGGGCCTCCAGTAAAAACATACTTTCCTATAAAAATGATGCATCCTGTACAAGCATATCAAACTCGCACACGTGCTGCTGGCCACATGCGGCCAACAATGAATATTTTTGTGGCCCCGCCAATATAATGATATGTAAGATATATTTCAATAAAAATGTTGTAACTTAATTTTTACAATATTATACATAATTATTAATAACAAACTATAAAGTTCACTAATGACTAATTATTATAAGTGTGTTTTATTCATTTCCTTTATGCACCTTATGGTGCAGGCACATCATTTCTCTTCACCAATGCTAGCAGCAAATATTTTAGCAGCTGACTGCCAAGCTATTATTCTTGTACTAACTCGTTTGGTGTGCACAGCAGGAAATATTTTGCTTTTGAAGAACCAGAAAAGTAGGTTTATTTGTGTTATTAATTAGTGCAGTTATTGAATGACTGGTAACTTAATGTTCAAGAAAAAATATTAATTTTATTAAAATGTTCTATTATTTTGTTAATAATTATTCATTTATTTCAGCTTTTTGTATTCAGCATGTCTCTATTGAAATTAACCTACGTTTCTATGAAAATTGAGGCTTTTGTTTTTTTTTGAAACCCACATAAACTTAACCCTGTTTATTTGGCCCATGTTAGCCGTTGAGTTTGACATGCTTGCTATACAATAATTTTGCTATGCTCACTCTCTTTGCTATATAACCCCTAATGACTAAAAACTAATTGTGCTAAAAGCAATACAATAAATCAAACATCTATCATATGTTTAAGACTGATACATACTTATATGCTAAATGAAATGTTTAAATTTTATGTATTAAGCTTACCTTGAAAAGCCAAGGTGTAAGAATTCTCAATGGAGGTATCAAAATTGGTGGAGAAGGGGAGGTCAGGTTATCAGTCGAAATGCCGAGGTTATCTCTAATCTGTAATTTTCAAATAAAATGCAATAAACCTATGTAAAGTATTCTTTTTTTCTAATTTGTTTTTCCTTAAACTGAGATCAAGTCCAGTATCTACCACAAACTACATATTTAATCATGGTTAAGTGACTTCATCATGGTAAGCACCTGTATATAACAAGGAGGTGTGGGGGGGAGGATAGTGTAGCTATGTTATTTAAGGCTTCTGCCTCTCACTACTTTAGTTTCCTTCTATTATATCTTTTCTTTTTTACCTTAGCTAAATTCTGCCAAAGTTCACAGAGGTAATCGAAGACTTGAGCATGTATTTCAGGATCCATAATAGCATTGACATCTCCCAAAATGCCTAGCATTCTTCGCCACATTACAGTAGCAACATCAGCATGCCATCCTGTAAGAGTACCCCCTGCCATCACACTACAACATTCAGATGGAAATTCACTGATTTCTATAGAAAAAAATAATACACAAGTATTAGTAATTTTTTCTGGATAATTGATCATAAAAACACAAAAGAGATGAATTAACTATCTTAAATATCTATAAAAGTAAATAAAAGTTAATATTCATTAGTGTTATTTTTTTCTTGATAAGGTAAAAATATTACCAGTTCATAATTCCTTATTACTTATCCCATAGTGCTTCTATCTAGATTTACCTAAGGAGGAAATGAAGAAGATACCAGATAAAGAAATTTATGTTTGATATAAAGATCATATTTACAACTACATACTCTACCTAATAACTACTTCAGATTATATCATCAAATTAATATAAAATCTCAGGCTACAGTCAGATCCTATAGGAAGTCTTTATAAGCCAGTTTTTTTAGTTAAAACTTCCAAAGAAATACATTTCACAATTATGTCAGACCTACCATTAAAAGGATATCACAATGACATTGAAAAATACATATTTTTACTAAAATTTAAACATAATCTAACATTTCCATTAATTACATTGGCAGGATTATATGTAAAAAATATTACCTTGGATCCTAGTCCTATCACAAATTATGTGATGTATAAGTTATTTAATAACCTCCTTAAGGCTATGCTTCATTTGTTAAATAGATGGTATAGCTGAATATCATTATATGTCTCCTCCAGCTTTAAAAGGAAATATTACTCTTTAAAAAAAATTTTTATCAAAGTTATTAGGGTGACATTGGTTAATAAATTATATAGGTTTCAGATGTATGATACATTAAAAAACTCTTTCTATTCAAGGTATACAGTAAAAAAGGGAAAATCATTTGTCAGTAAAAAAATTTTCCTGCTTGATAAAAATCTTAATAATTTATGTTTGTTATTATATATGCATCCTTTACTCTTAATGTTTACCTTTTTTCCTTTGCTTAAAAGGCATACAATAACTGATTGTATTATTAAAAAGCTACTGAGTTGCCTTTCACAATAATGAAAAGTGGCTCTGGTATAAACTCACTAAGACTGAAAAAAGCATGCAATGTTTACTACGTGTACTGGTTAATAACAGCGGGTTTTGTAATAAAAGAAAACAGGATAATTTCAGAGAAACGTCAAAAGTGCTTTATTCAAAGTAATGTCCATCTTCACATTTCCCCATCTTTCAGATAATTTGTGGATACAGTCCCAATAGAACTTTCCTTGTTTTGAGGCAAGCCATTCAGAGACCCAATTTTCCACTTCTTCGTGCGTTTTGAAGTGCTGCTCAGAAAGTGCATGTGCCATCGATCAGAACAAATGGTAATCTGAAGGAGCAAGGTCTGGTGAATAAGGCGGGTAGATTAATACTTCCCAGGCAAGATCTTTTAATATGTCTTTACATGGTTTTAAAGTGTGTGATGGAGCAACATCATGAAGCAAAATTACATTGCGGTGTCTGGCACATTCTGGTCGTTTCACGATCAAAGTGTGGTTCAAATTGATTGTTGTCGGTAGCGATCAGTATTAACAATTTCACCTGGTTTTAGAAGCTCATAATTCATCACACCTTCCTAATCCCACCAAACGCAAAGCATTATCTTCTTTCCAAAGCAATTTGGCCTTGTAGTAGATGCTGATGGTTGACCTGGATCAACCCATGATTTTGAGCATTTGTGGTTCTCAAAATAAATCCACTTCTCATCCAGTCACAGTTCAATGCAAAAAAAGACTTTTCTTTCCTGTTGTTGAAGCAACATTTTACTGATGACTTTTCGGTTTTCCATTTCTTTCGTTCAGTTGATGTGGCACTCATTTTACTACCTTTAAAATCTTTCCCATTGCTTGTAAACAATCGGAAATTTTTTGCTGAGCAATCTTTAATCTTTCTGCAAGTTGTTTTTGAGTTTGACACGCATCTTCATTCAATAATGCTTGTAAGTGTTGGTCTTCAAACTTTTTTGGTTGACCTGGAATTTCTTTGCCTTTCACATTGAAATCATCACCTTTAAAGCATTTAAACCAGCTTGTTCACCATAAGCTTCCTGAAGTATTCAGCAGCACTTTTCTTCAAAATAATGAATTATACCTTCCCACAAATGCTTTTTTTTTGGCAGGAAATTCGACATTTTTAAGTGTAAAAGTATCTATGTTAACACCTTCAGCAAATTAGACATATGAAGTTTTGAAGCTTGCTAAAATATTGATAGCATATCAAATTGCATATATATCAACATATGTGTAACTCCATCTATTGAAAAAATCTGCATTAACCGGTACACATAGTACTATCTCTGTTAACATCTACCCTCTCTACAGACTCTTCATAATATAGTGATGTCAACTTTGTCTCTAATTTATCCCTCTCAAACTAAACAAAATTTTAAATGATTACAAAGCAAGCAACAATGTGTGATTCCTTTTATTTTTTAATCCTCACTCGAGGATATTTCTAAAAATTTATTTGAGAGAGAGAAGAGATAGAGAAAAACACTGATGTGACAGAGAAACATCAATCCTCAGTTGGGGCACATCCCATATGCCCCGACTGAGGATCAAACCCACAATCCTTTGGTGTACAGGATGACGCTCCAACCAACTGAGTCATCTGGCCAGGGCACAATGTGTGATTCTTTAAATCCTAGTTTGGGCTAATGACAGTCTAAGGTTGCTATAAAGGACATTATTGGGGCAACTGAGGGCATTTAACTATGAACTAAAACTGCAGTGACATATCAACATTAAATACCTTGAATGTGGCCATTATATTGTGATCATGCAGGAAACTAATGTGTACTTATTCTTAGGACATTCTCACTGCAGTGTTGAGGTGTAGAGTCTAATATTTGTAATTCACTGTTAAATGACTAAAAAAAAATAGAATTTAGCCCTAACTGGTTTGGCTCAGTGGATAGAGCGTCAGCCTGCAGACTCAAGGGTCCCAGGTTCGATTCCGATCAAGGGCAAGTACCTTGGTTATGAGCACATCCCCAGTAGGAGGTGTGCAGGAGGCAGCTGTTTCTCTCTCATCAAAGTTTCTAACTCTCTATCCCTTTTCCTTCCTCTCTAAAAAAAAAAAAAAAAAAAAAAAAAATCAATAAAATATATATTTTTTAAAATAGAATTTAAAAAAAGGGATGATGGGATTTTTTGGGTGCCTACATGTGTATACACAAAGGGATAAAGTGGCAAATATTAACTGGTGAATTTAAAGGATTTATGGATATTCATTTTACAAGTCTTGCAATTTTCTAAAAGTTTAAAACTTATTTCAAATGCCAGAAAGAAAAGTAAATACAAAAAATTGTAGGTCAAAGGAGGAAAGGAAAGGTCAGAAACAACCCACAACCAGAAATAGGGCAATGTAATTCCAAAATTGCATGCTAAGAGATTAAGTGTACCTTAAAAAAAAAAAAAAAAAAAAAAAGAAAGGGGACCAAAAGTTATATGGCTTAAAATATCTTCCTTTGGTCAGAGAACAAATCTGCTGCATTATCAATGAAACTGGCATTCTGTATTATTTACTGTAAATATCTCAACAACTATGTCCTTGACTAAAGTTTTTAGTATATTTGCAAAAATGACTTCTTATCCTGATGCTTATTACATCATGTAGGACTTAGCAAAAATAACTTCTGTTTTTAAATTTATAGTTTCTAAAGTTTCCTACTTACTTTTTAACGCTTACTTTCAAATATGCTTTGTTTGGATGGCCTACTTCTTAATTAAATTTAATTGATATACTTTAAGAATCAAGTTCAATGAAAAAGTATTGATTTGACCAATTGTTTCACTGAAAGCCTGATAATTCTACTTTCTCCTGCGAGTCAGCAAGTTCTTCAAATCCAACATTAATAATAATGAAGCCAAATTATGTATTTCCTGCTTTAGAAAATGAATGGCACTGTATCAGTGATAATATAACACACAAAATTAATGTAATCACTAATGCTAGAACTGTAATCAACTATAAAATAACAAAAATCAGTATAAAATTATTCTTTAAGAGTAAGAAAAAATAGTAACAAATTTCTAAGACTTAGAAAACCCCAATGATAGAATAATACATAATAAATATGTATATAATATATAATCAAGTTTAAGATGCCTTATTTTAAGATCTCTTAACACTAATGCTCTGAAAGGAGAAATGGAAATATCTAATTTCCAAATATTGCCTAGGTCATCTGGCGTCTGAAGAACAGAGTGGTGAAGTTTCTCGTCAAGCTGCAGATCTTTCTGTTCCAGATGTTCTATATTCAATGTAGAAGGGGAAGGTGTTTGTGACCTGGATCCCAGAGCTGAATGAACTGGAGAAGCACTTTCTGAACCTGCAGATATAATTTCATAAAATTAGCATAAAAAAGATACTCAATACCCTCTATTTAAGATGTAACGCTTAAAGCCCCCAAAAAACAGAAATTTAAAATATCAAAAGATAAAACAAGGTTATACATTAGCCAAAGAGATAAAATCATAATATTATACAAGACTTTGTATCTAATGGTCTCATCTTATGTTTACCAGGGAACTAATATGGAATCAGAATTGGACATACCAGCTAATAGAAGCCATCAGTGAAGGCGAGAATCTCTACTCCCAAACCTGGTCCAGCTATAGAGACTCTGGTACCCACTGCTATTCAATTTCATTTACTTTAATCTTGGGCAATTAGATTTATTTTATTATTTTTTTCATATATTTTTATTGATTTCAGAGAGGAAGGGAAAAGGAGAGAAAAACCAATGATGGGAGAGAATCATGAATGGCTGCCTCCTGCATGTCCCCTACTGGGGATGAGCCTGCAACCCAGGTATGTGCCCTGACCGGGAACTGAACCCTGCCTTCTTGATTCATAGGTGGATGCTCAACCACTGAGCTGCTGGTCAGGCTCTTGGGGCAATTAAAGAAGAACTTGCCCATTGGGCTCTATATACCACTATGGTTGCTAGCCTGAATCAGAGTGGTCCTTGGTGGTCCTAGTCTTTTGTCTCCCTCTGACCCCTACCCCTTCTTCCTAATCCATTCTCCACAAGGAAAAACAAAACACACAAAACAACCCAAAAATAAAAAATCCTAAAAACTAATGTCACTCCCTAATTTAAGATCCTTCTATGGCTCTTTAGTGGACTCAGCACAAGCACAAACTTTTTAGTGTGGTTTTCCAATCTTTCTGCAACTTACCATTCTACTCTCTAATACAGTGATTTTCAACCTTTTACATCACATAAGCTGATTACTAAAATTTTATGGCACACCAAAAAATATTTTTTGCTGATCTGACAAAAAAAAGGTGTAATTTTGATTCATTCATACCGAACAGCTGTTGTTGTGTTGGCTATTGTCATATCTATATCTATATATCTATATATCTATATATCTATATATCTATATCTATATCTATATCTATATCTATATCTATATATATATATATATTATTATTTTTTCTTTTTTTGACAATCTAAGGAAAAAGAGGAAGTCAGGGCCCTTGACTACATAGTCAGCTATTGCATGATTTAAAAATTCTTGCGGCATACTGGTTGAAAATTGCTGCTCTAGTACTTTTAAGTTCTAGCCACAGGAAGTAAACTGGTATTTATCAGAATGTATCATACCTCTGGCCTTTTTCACATGTTTTCCTTTACATGAAGCCCTAACCCTCTTCTTTTAGGTCTGGTTGACTTCTATTTATTTTTCAAGTCTCAGCTTAAACACACTTTCTAAGAAGCCTAATCCTGATCTAACCTAACCAGTGTGAATAAGGATTCTCTGCTGTAACTCCTTGTATTTCCCGTTATATCACTTATCACAATGACTTGAAACTGCCTGTTTAGTTTTAAATATTCTTCAGTAGCACATATACTCTGTAAGAACAGGGATTTACCTATGTTATATACTATAGTATTATCTATGTTATATACTATAATGTCTGGGACACAGACATTCTTTTTATTTTTTTCATTCTTATTTTAAATTATATATAACAAAAATTAATATTGTATTTAAGAACTGGTGGTGGTTGTAGTGAAATACTGCTAGTACCAAGCAAGTAGTTAAAATATTAGGTATTTTCATTTTATTTTTAAGCTTCTTTCGAGCAGAGGCCCTAGCCTGGTAACTCAGTTGGTTAGAGAGTCATCCTGATAACACCAAGGTTGCTGATTCTTCCCTGGTCAGCAATCAAATACTACATGCATTACAAAGTAGAACAACAAAATGGGGTTTTTTTTCTCTCTTTCAAAAAATCAATTAAAAAAAGCTTTCTAGTAGAGAAATATCAATATTCTGTACTCAATAATCACAAAATTCTCCGACTATTACCTCTTTCCATTCAATAAAGCAAAAAGCACACATATTAAGTACATAAAGTATATAAATAAAATGTGTATTATTTTATCTCCACAAATATGTAATTTCGTATTATTTATATAATTTTTAAATATAACACAGTAAGTGCCTTAAAAAGTACATATGGAGGTATGAATGCCTTATTTAATGATAATCATATGACTTAATCTAGGTTCAATTATGACACATAGTATGTGGTAGGTTTCCTATCCTTCATTTGGAATTTGGTGTAAATTAATATGATACAAAATCATGTTAAAGGTCAGCTACAGAAACTTAAGGATACTACACCTTAATACAAACACAAACTGCTGACGGCACAATGAAAAAAGTCTCCTTAATATTTATCAAAAAATTTAAATATGTGACAAAAACAATCATTAGCTTCATAGTCAAAAGCAAAAAAGATTTTTTTTTGCTTTGTTATAAATATGTACAGTATATCCAAGATATGACATTAAATATTATTTAATTCTTATTATTTTTTAATCCTTGCCCAAAGATATTTTTTAATTTATTTTCAGAGAGAGAGTGAGAGAAAGAAGGAAACTTGGTTGTGAGAGAGAAACATCGAACAGTTGCCTCCTATAGCCACCCAGATTGGGGATTGAACCCACAACCTAGGTATGTGCTCTGATTGGAAATTGAACCTGGTTCAATCAACCAAGCCATCTGGCCAGGGCTAAAATATGAATTGGTAAAAAATAAAGATATAGGTATAAATATAGTCATGCCCACAAAACAAACTATTTAGTTTTTATTATCTATGAGATTTATTATGCAGTTCAAAAAAGTTATAGGAAAACAGAAGGGTATTTCAGGACTACTACATTCTTTGATAGACTACAGTTAATCTTAAAGTTAATAGTGTGATAACTCATGCAAATTTCACCTTCAGAAAATACTGTGTTGAATTCTTTATATATTGAGTATATAACGTTTCATTCTTGGATGAATTTTAGGTCTTCTAAACAAATTAATTCAAGAACTGTGTTAGTTTTTTAGAAAAACATCCCTGGCACCATTATTAATGGCCCTATTTACTTAATAAATGAGTAACACGCCCACCAGCCAGTCAGGAGTGAGTATGCAAATTAACCCAACAAAGATGGTGGGTTAATTCCACAGCACCCCAACCACTCTGAGCCTGTGGGGAGGGAGGGCAGGCAGAAGGGCGGCTCCAGGCCAGAGGAAAGCCGGCGCAGGCAGCCAGGGGAACAAGGCCCATTCTTGCACGAATCTTTGTTCATGCATCGGGCCACTAGTTAAGATTAGAATAACTAATAAAACTTCCTAGTAGAGTCCTAGAAACAGTCACTAAGTTTGTATAGCAAACATGTTACTACATGAATATTAAAAATTCTTAGAAATTGCCAAAACTGGTTTGGCTCAGTGGATAGAGTGTCGCCCTGTGGACTGAAGGGTCCTGGGTTTGATTCTGGTCAAGGGCATGTACCTTGGTTGTGGGCACATCCTCAGTGGGAGGTGTGCAGGAGGCAGTTGATCAATGTTTCTCTCACATCAATGTTTCTAACTCTTTCTCTCCCTTCCTCTCTATAAAAAAAAATCAGTAAAATATATTTTTTAAATTAAAAAAAAAATTCTTAGAAATTGAATTAACTGAAAGTCATTATGAGGCAAAGGCATAAAATAAGTTCTCTATACATATCAAGTTTTACTTTCAGAACTTTGCGTGAAACTTTATTTTTGATAACTAAAAACAAGTAAAAAAAAAAAGTGGGGTCATATTTCTTTTACATATTATAACCTTTTGAAGACACAATAGTTTGATAAATAGCTTAAATAAAATTAGAATATGGCTTATATAATAAACATCTCTAGTTCACTCAGAGCAAGATGTTTAGAAAGTCTTCTTACCTTCAAAAAAATAACTGGTCTCCAGATTCTGGAGATACATATGATGGGATTCTGAGTCACAGGCTAAGATGGTTATCAGATAGATCTCTAAACTACTAAGCAAACTTTTCAGGCATTTTATCATTTCTACTTTAAAATTCCAATATTTTCAAGGTTCAATAATCTCTCTACACTGTCTAAAAGTTTAGTTCTGCTAATATTAAAATGTGTGTTACAGTAAAATCTAACACCTTACATTTTTATTCACACATTTTAAATGTATAATTATATAAAATTATATAGTCCTGTATTCAACAACATAATAAGAATATATAACAGATCATCACCATTTAAAGCTTTCTTTTTTTTTTATAAATATATTTTATTGATTTTTTTACAGAGAGGAAGGGAGAGGGATAGAGAGCTAGAAACATCTATGAGAGAGATACATCAACCAGCTGCCTCTTGCACACCCCCTACTGAGGATGTGCCCACAACCAAGGTACATGCCCTTGACCGGAATCGAACCTGGGACCTTTCAGTCCACAGACGGACGCTCTACCACTGAGCCAAACCAGTTTTGGCTAAAGCTTTCTTATGCCTATTTCCAGTTGATCCCCTTCCCTAACCCAAATAATCACTGATCTGCTTTTTCACTACAGTTTATCTTTTCTAGAATTTCCTATAGATGAAATAATAAAGTATGGTTTGTACACTTTTGTATTTTACTTTCTCTCATTTAGCATGTTTTTGTGAGTTATAGTTTTCCTATATTAACATTTAATTCTTCTTTCTTGAGTACTATTCCACTGAATATTCAACGAATGAATACATAACATGAAAAGTTGGTGATAATTTACTGTATAAACATAGAATATTAGTATATTGAAAAGTAGGTTTAATAGCCTTAGTACACTTTACATTTTTTATAATACTTGCCAAAGAAATTTATAAAAATTTAGGCTGATTCTGAAAGACAATGAAAAAGGTAGAGTGTGGTAATTCTTAACTTTTGTTTGTTTGTAATCTATTTTAAAATTTCTGCAAGAAATGCTCTGATGCCAACATACACAAAATTTCATATACAATACTAGGAGTTCAGAGTCCACCGAAGTTATGCACGTAGATTTTTAGGTAAAAAAAAAAATCTTAATTTTTTTTATCTATTATTACATAAAGGTGAATGAAAATATAATACGTAGCCCTAGCAGGTCTGGCTCAGTGGATAGTGTTGGCCTGTGAACCAAAGGGTCCTGGGCTCAATTCTGGTCAAGGGCACGAACCTTGATTGCAGGTTCCTCCCCAGCCCCAGTCCTGGTTGGAACTGGTACACAAGGCAACCAATCGATGTGTTTCTTTCACATCGATGTTTCTGTCTTTCCCCCTCTCTTCTACTCTCCCTTAAAAAAAAAAAAAAAAAAAAAAAAAAAAAAAAAATCAATGGAAAAATATCCTCGGTGAGGATTAACAAAATAATAATAATAAAACTTAACTACTTATAAGTAATAATTAAAATCTATCAAAATTAAATTCTAAACAGGCTCTTCGGTGGATTTAAAAAATGCATTTAAGAAATACATTCCCTGGAGTAACTTTACCAGTAACCGTTGCAACTTCAGCAGAGAAAGCTTGTTGATTAAGACTGCTTGTTTCAGAATCTATGTGAAGCGTGGTTAGACTAGCCACTTCTTGCTCTTCAGTACTCTGATGATGACCAGAACCTGAATCCACATCAGCAGACGATGCAATCCCAGTATCAGCTCCAAAGCCAAAATCTATAGGAAAAAGAAATGGTAGTACATAGAAGTCCCAATCACAAAACAAAAATATCTACAAGAGACAGCTACTTCAGCAAAATAATTAAATATTAACCTTCTCCTTAAATCTATTTTATTTATATACCACTCACACAAGTGTACATAATGCTAATGCTTGGAAGTTTACAATAAGAAACAATTTTTAAAAGTTCTCATACCTAATTATTAACAAATAAGAATGATAAAATAAAAACAGCCAGACATATATCATCACTATTGTTATCCATATTTCTGATAGCTAGTAATACACTTACTGCTCTTAAAGTACTTTATAATCTTTAGTGTGTGTGTGTGTGTGTGTATAAAGTAACATATATATATATATATATATATACATATATATATATAATAAAAATCATTTTTCTTTTAAATCATATTTCCAGTCTGAGATAAGAGCAGTATATATCCATAAGGATGGCAAACATATAATTTCCAATGTATCTCCCAGCTCTTCACAAATCTGGTTCCCAAGGTTTTGACTTTCTTTTTTAAAATTTTGGTGTCCTTCACTGACTGCCAAGTGTAATACAGAATTACAGCAAAGAAGCTATACAGCAAAGAAGTTATAATACCACATAACATCACTGTTGTCATTTTAACATGAAGCAATTATTCAAGAAACATTCTGAGTAGTGTAGCAATAAACACAGCTGTACTGAACATAATGAAGCACTGAACACAATTAGGTTCCCAAATATGAGTATACAAAGTAGTGACAACTCAATCATGACTATCTGTCCTTTTATTTTGATATTATTCTAATATCAAATCCATACTAATTTTTCCCTACATTTTTGTCTTTAAATCATTCATTTTATAAAAGGACAGTATTTTTTTTTTAATGTCTTTAGTTTGACAAAATAAAGTGGCCCTAACTTGAAAATTATTCCCTAAAACTTTCTTTGGAATTTCACTGAAAAATGAAATCAAAATATGTGGGAAAAAGTGATGGTCATGTGATTAATGAGTCAATCTTGAACAGAAAACAATAAACAAAAAAATAATGCTCAAATAGAAAAAGATACTTGCTGTCAAATTTTCGTCCATCATATTGGAAAGCACTGAAAGAATCCGAATGACTATCTGAGCTGATAAGATCACTGCTCCCTGCACTGGCAGGAGAAGTCCATTCTGAGGGTACACCTGGGTCATCAATAGGGCGCATTTGGTTCTGCTTGTTTAGAATATCAGGGAGGTCTTTGGGAATTTCGAGGCTGCCTGGACTACTTCCTCTTCTTGTTAGAGTCTAAAAATTCAAGAAACATTTATCATTTTTTAAAAGACCTAAAATTCTTATTAACATCTAAAATCTTTCATTTCTGAGTCAATTATCACAATAAGTGTTGAGATTTAGGGCCTGATGCAGGAGGGGAGAACACACTAACGGTACAATCTTCATTAACTGTATAGAGCTGGGAGCTGGAACCTGAACTATTGTTAGTGTGCCTAAAGCAAAAACCTAAATATCAGTTGGTTCTGGGCCTAAAACTCTTAAACCTCAAAAAGGATCCATAAAGTAAATGTAAGTTAGAAGAGTAGAAAGAGAAAAATATTCAAATGGAAAAAGCAGCAGCAATAAGAAGAGACAGTGAAAGGAGGAAAGAAAGCCACTCTACAAAGATGTCATTTTATAATGATGCAATAAAGATATTATTCTATAATGATTCTATCCTTTTTTCCCCACTAAAAAAAAAAAAAAAAAAAAGGGTGGGAAATGTAATGGTCCTGCAGACTTTCATTAAAGACAACTTGAGTTGGTGAAAGAGGGTATACGGCAGTGGCTCTTAACCTTTCTTTTGTTTTTGTGTGTGTTTTTTTACAGTGTAAAATTTTTATATTTAGAATTAGGCAGCTGGTCTCAGTTTAGATGATTCCAATTTTGTTGGCAACATCCAAAGCATCATAGTCAGGAGCCAGTCGAACATAAGCCTTCTTCTCGCCATCAGGCCTGATCAGGGTGTTGACCTTGGCCACATCAATGTCATAAGTAGGGGTGTCGAACTCAATCAGAGAAGGGGCCAAAATCTAAAATCCAGCCTAAATCGCGGGCCGAATGGTTTACTGAACAGTCATAAACTGTCATTGTGATGGAAACGCAGCGGAGTGCAGTGATGACAGCGCGGTGCGGGCCACATTGCAAGGCCTGGCGGGACGGATTTGGCCCGAGGGCCTTGTGTTTGACACGTGTATAGAGCTTCTTCACAGACTGAACTGGTGCTTGTTGGCCTTGACATCCACAATGAACATAAGTGCATTATTGTCTTCTATCTTCTTCATGGCTGACTCGGTAGTCAGGGGGACTTGACGATGGCAGAGTGGTCAAGCTTGTTTCTCCTGGGTGCGCTCTTCTGAGGACATTTAGGCTGCCTCCGGAGCCTTAGTGTCTTTGGCCATCGAAAGATGTGTGATGTGAATCTTCTTTTTTGTGTGGCTGTGGACGCCTTTCAACACTGCTTTCTTTGCCTTCAAAGCCTTTGCTTTGGCTTCGGCTTTGGGAGGAGCAGGGGCTTCCTTCTTCGCTTTTGGAGCCATCTCCGTAAAAAGGGTTTTCAGTTCTTAACCTAATGCCGTGTTCCTTATGTTGTGGGGACCCCCAACCATAAAATTACTTTTGTTGCTACTTCATAACTGTAATTTTGCTACTGTTAATGAACTGTAATGTAAATACCTATGTTTTCTGATGGTCTTAGGCTCTACCGCAGCTGTTCTCAACCTGTGGGTCTCAGCCCACAGGTTGAGAACTGCTAGCAGGATCACCTAACACCATCAGAAAACACAGATATTTACATTACAATTCATAACAGTAGCAAAATTACAGTTATGAAGTAGCAACAAAAGTAATTTTATGGTTGGGGGTCACCACAACATGAGGAACTGTATTAAAGGGTCTCGGCATTAGGAAGGTTGAGAACCACTGGTATAGGGGGTATAAATGGTGATTAAATAAATAAATAAATAAATAAGACAAGGTGAAACTCAAATGGAATATGACCATTCTTTTTGTTGTTGTTGTTAATCTTCCCCGAAGGATATTTTTTTCCATTGATTTTTAGAGAAAGTAGAAGAGAGAGAGAGAAACATTGATGTGAGAGAGACACATCGACTAAACCGAGGGGCCAGGGATCAAGCCTGCAACTAAGGTAGGTGCCCTAGACCAAAACCAAACCTGGGACCCTTCAGTCCACGGGCCAGCACTCTATTCACTGAGCCAAACTAGCCAGAGATGAACTATGACCATTCTAAAAGGCAATTCCACATATATTTATCTTTCCTTAACAATTAATAATTATTAGGGATAAAATTGCTTCTATTTTTATTTTACCATAATTCTAGTACTCAAAACAAAGACAACTTTTAAATCTATTTCAAAGTTATATGTAATGACTGAGAAATTTATGCTATCAATGTTAAGGGAGTTTGGCCATAACACTGGAGTTTGTTATCTTTTCTGCTAAAGGCTGGCAATAGTAATCAGTGTAACCGATGAGCAAATAGAGGGAGGACTAAGAAGGCAGTAATTTATACCTAAGTAACTGAGCAAACAGGTATTCTAATGTTTTACTCTGGTCAAAATTATATGCCTGCTTGTTTTGTCTTTGAATGAAAAGTATGAAAATATAATTTTAAATTGTTAATTAGAAAGGGTTAAATTTTGGGGGAAGGCTGTTTGAAGAAAAATTTCCACATAATAAACATGGACTAGAGGCCCAGAGCATAAAATTCATGCACAAGGACGGATGTCCCTCAGCCCAGCCTGCACCTCTCTAATCTGGGAGCCCTAGAGGGATGTTCAGCTGCCTGTTTAGGACCAATCACCAATCAGGCCTAAAAGGGCAGTCAGATATCCCTCTCACGAACCAAGACTGCTGGCTCCCAACTGCTCGCCTGCCTGCCTTCCCGATTGCCCCTAGCTACTTCTGCCTGCCAGCCTGATCACCCCCTAACTACTCCCCTGCCAGCCTGTTTGCCCCTAACTGCCATTTCTGTTGGAATTTATTTATGTTCTATAATTGAAACTTTGTACCATTGAGTGGAGGCCTAGGCCAGCAAGGCAGGCAGAAAGCTTGGCTTCCTCTATTGCTGGGGAAACCCAAGCCTCCTTCCTGCTCTCTGTGACGGTAGTCATCTTGGTTGGGTCTATTTGCATATTTGCTCCTGATTGGCTGGTGGGCATGGCTGGAGGGTGTAGTGGATGTATGGTCAATTTGCATATTACTCTTTTATTAGCTAGGATGAACATAGTTATACATCTTTTAGTTTCTCTACCCTCCTCTCTAAAACCAGATAAATAAAATAATACTTACTGAGGCATTACCACTTCTAAGTCGTTCTGCTATAAACTCATCCATCAGATCAGGAACATTAGCATTGCTGCTGCCAATATCACTATTAAGAGGAGGCAGTTTTGGGCTCATATCCTCTTTATTGACTGAAAATAAATAAATAACTATATATAGTGAGGAAATACTTAACCGCATTTTCTAAATGTGAAACAAGACCAACTCAAAACAAATTACCTATGCCATATCAATTATTTGCCAAACATGCATTTATAAATAATTTCTCTCCCTTTAGATTTAATTTTAAGAATTAGTAAATTGATATTTACTTTAACTAAGCAGATGTTAGTCAATCTTCAGTATAACCTTAAATAGCAAGAAAGCTTATAGATAAGCACTAGTTGGAGTTAGGTTAATATTGATTATAAAGAAACTGGTATATTTATCTTTCTTTCCACCTCTGTGCTTCTATGTAGTCTTAATTTATAATTCCCTTTTTTCCGAAAGAGTATTTGCAAGAAATATATCCCTTGAATCTATGAAAATCTCAGTGGGACATAAATGCATTTCAATTTAGATAATAAATAAAAATTCTATAATTTTGACGTTTTGTTTCTATTCACTGCAAAATCTAATTTTATTGCTTTAATAAGAGATTTTCACAAATATTTTTCTGTAAAAAGCCCAAAACAGTTTTCTTGATTTTTTTTGTTTTGTTTTGTTATCTTGATTTTTTTAAGACCTAAATTCTGATTAACATTACCAAGAAAGTGTTAAACTTGGGAATTTAATTTACAGAAAATAAGATATTTATTTCACTATTATGCCATTAAAATGTTGATTTCTCTTCAATTAAAAGAAAATCAGCACTTGTTATATTCCTAATTAACTACAAAGCATTTCAGGTTAAGGAAATACACTGATCGGGAACTAATTGTGAAATACCATTATCTTTATATTAATGGCCAGGCTTTGCTAAGCTGTCAAATACTGCCCTCAAGTGGCATTAATGGCTCAATGCAAGTTGCATTCATTGTTAATCATGCTAACAAAACCATGTTAAACAAATAAAATCAAAACCTACCTTACTGCTGAAAGTGAATTTTCTATATCTATAAAGTTATTTTAAATGTGAATCAAGACAAAATAGTTATCATAATCTTGCTTTTTGTAATTTTTCCATAGAGGTTCCATGTTTAAATCATGACCGGTTATCATGAAACCTTTATGCAGATCTAAAAATCTCAGAAAAGAATAAGTAACAATAAGTGTCTCAAGGGCATAACTTGCATTCTATACAAATGAATGCAAAACTTAATAGCCTATAGTTTGTTTGGAAATCACTTAAATAAAAAATACTTATATACACTTTCAGATTTAAGAAATTAATTTCCTCTTCAATTACATTAACTAAAAATGTTGGTGCTGATTGTAGGACCTTGATTTCCATTATGTTACATGATGTCCAAGTAACATTCTACCAAGAAAAAAACATCAGTAAAAATAAATGAACTCAATGATATAGCTAGTGCCCTTCTAAATATAAACTATAGAGGTGAAAGTATTCCAGCTCCTCAGAAAACTTAATTTCAAGGCTCACGTAGTAAACACTCAGAAAAAAAATATTTAGATAACTTTTGAAAGGTCATTAAAACTTTTCTGTATCTTCCTTTTTTCTTATCTTGTTCAGCAGCAAAGAGGTTTAACTAAATGCCTTATAAGGGAAATTAGTCATTTAAATAAACATTTTATGCTGGGAAAAATATAGCTGGGGAAAATATAGCTGGGAAAAGGCGCATGCATAACCAAACAGAGAGAAAGCAGTGACCATCCCAAAGCTTTTTGATTGCTTATAGCTTGCTTCAGTTGCATTAAGCCAAACTGGTGCTGTCTTTTCTCCTTTTGCGCTCTGCACATTGTTAGTGCTCACCTGCAGCTTTCCTTCCAAAATAGCCCATTACATGACTGTACAGATCCCTCAGTGGAGCCTCTGGTGGCATTCTGTTCTGCCTCTGTGGGGAAACATTTGCCTTCGGCTTTGAAAGAGCATGTACAACAGTTTTATAAACGCCACCCAGGGAGCCCTGCGATAGTCCTGTCTCATGACTTGATGATCTGAGAGTACTACGACTACCTAACTGGTTACTTGCAATTCCTTCCTTTTGTAATATGGTGGGAATCTCTGCAGACTCCTTGATTGTTTTACTACTTACTGATGTTGTTCCAATTGTACCTAGAGGTCTGTACACACCAGGTTTTACTAGCTCAGAAACACTATTTGAGATGGTATGGGGGGCGTTACTGGTGTTGCTATTGCTACTACTGCTGAAGCCACTGAGCTTCCGCAGTCTCGTCTTCCACGGGGCCTCTTTGTTTTCCATGGGATTATAAAACTGAACTGACTCAGTAGAAGGTCTAAAAGTAACATGAACACTAGTTCGTTTTTTAGTAGCAATTTTCATGATTTTGGCTCTATGAGTAACTGTTTCAGACAAGCTCCTTTTGGTTGGAGAAAGCTTGCTAGTGTTTGTAACATGAGGCATTCTACGGTTAACAGGTGCTTTTAGTGTGGTTTTCTTGGCATGCATAACATGAGGGACAGTTTTTTTTTCATTAATTTGCATATCCATAACCTTTTCAACTAGTGTTATATCTACACAAGCATCTAATTCTGTGGCTGCTTGTCGATATAGATATTTCCTCTTTTCTTTATCACAAGGGCTACCTGAACTAGGTTCCGGTGACTGTTGTTCACTGCTTAGTTGCTTAGATTTTTCAGAAGTCCTTGTTCTCATAACACTATCTAATTGGTTAGATGAAGTATTATTCATGAAGACAGATGAGTTTTGTTCTTTTTGAAACTGTATATTTACAGTAGTCCCAACAAAAGAGGTATTTTCTAATTTATTTTCTTGATCTAAGTATTCTAATTTATCTAAGGATGACCTTTCATCCCTATTTACTGCAATAATCACTTCCTGAGAAGCTGCATCTTTACCTAACTCATTTTTACTGTGATTTTCCTGCTTTTCCTTAAAATATTCTTTCAGGGAGGAAAGAAGATCATCATCTCCTTCAAGGTCAATGTACTGGATTTGTTCGAAAGCTGAATCTGCGAGTTCTACTGGATCTATTAAGTGACAAAGATGGTCATATATGCTATCACCAACTTCCAGAGAAGACTCTCTACTATGAGTATCAGTGATGTGGCTTTCAGTGGATCTAGTTATTGAAGAAGCCTCTGTGGAACTCTGCAAGCTTGGCGCATGACGGGACGAACTGTCAATGACAGGAACTGCACCTTTGGCTCGTTCAACAGTGAATGGTTCCAAGATGTCAGAAGTGCTGCTACTTCGAGGCAATGGCTGTTCCTCATTCAAAGCACCAAAAACTTCATTCCCAGTGTCTTCACTTTGTGAAAAATGTCTGACTCTAGTTGGGCGGGGAAGTATTTGAGTATCATCAATATCTGTAAAAAAGAAATATTACATAGAATAGAATGATATGAATATGAAAATAAGTATTACTTTCGACCATACCCTAGTCATATGCTTAAAAATAAAAAATTCTGAGACTTTTTGTAAGCTCAATGAAAGAAAATCTATTAAAAGTACAGATATGTTTTTAAATAATGATGGGCACAAGCCAATATAGCAGTGTCAATGAATTAGAAAACTACCAGAATACATTTTAAAATGTTAACATGCATAAAAAGAGACAGTAAGGTGATGAAACATTTGGAAGTGCAGTTAAAGATAGAGCTGTGCCAATAAATCAAGCAATTCAAACTGCTGTTTAGTTTTTCCTACTTATTTAAGTTCCAAGCAGAAAAACTAGATCTTACCATAGAAAGCTGGTCTAACTATACCACTGTAAAGTCTAATAGGGTCTCATAAATCCCCCTTTCCTTCCTTACCAGGCAGGAGTCATCATCTTTTCTTCAAATCGTGCCTATCTGTTTGATCATGTATTACAAATGAAAATCTCCACCCTCCTCCAAAACTCCTCTTTGTCAGGAAACTATCTGTTCTATGAAGTATTTTGTGTAATTTTATTATAGCATTAACATCTATTCAACCCTATCAAATAAAATCAATATACTGTTTTAAAAAACCTAATTGTATTTTTAAATTTCTGACTAAGATACCATTTATTCCTAGGAAGAAACCTTTCTGCCTTCACAGCCCTTTCCATTAAACAACCATCAAACCTTAAAAACTGTCTACTTTAATTCTCTCACTGAGGAAATCGAGGCTTAAAGAAGTGAGGCCACTTTCTCAAATTTATAATCATAGTTTGAGAAGCAGGCATAGTGTTATTACATTGTTTTTTGTTGCCTGAAATGCTAAGTATATAGTAAAGGCTCAAAAATATTTATGAAATCAGAAATAACAAAATGGAACACTATTTAACTGTACAGATATATATATAAATTAGAAATATTAAAAGTAAAATACATTTTTTAATTTATCATGGCCTTTATATTACCTAGAAATAACTAAAGTATTTTTTCAGAAGCCAGCAAAATATAATGAAAAAAAGGACAGTCAAAAAGTCAGATATTGCCAAAACTGGTTTGTCTCAGTGGTAGAGCATCGCTCTGCGGAGTGAAAGGTCCCAGGTTCGATTCCAGTCAAGGGCATGTACCTCGGTTGCGGGCACATCTCCAGTAGGGGGTGTGCAAGAGGCAGCTGGTCGATGTCTCTATCTCATCGACGTTTCTAGCTCTCTATCTCTCTCCCTTCCTCTTTGTAAAAAATCAATAAAATATATATATTTTTTAAAAGTCAGATATTGTTACTGTTTAGGTTTTTAACACAAAGGTAATAAGCAACAGGATTATAATTGAACAATCAAAATGAAAATTTAGATGCAGAGTAAGACAGACCTTGTCCAAGGTCACATAATAATTTATTGATGGTGCTGTCTAGAATTTAGGCTTTCTTACTTTAGACACTGAGATCAGTTTTCTCATTTTAAAAATGGGGATAGCATTCAAAACATTTTCAGGATTCATACTATGGATGAAAGGAGACTAATCTTCCTATTATTTCATTCATATCATCCTCTTTGTATGAGTTCCAAAAGGAGCCACCTTAAACTAAATTCAGGTCAAGAGAAATTTGTATTATGCCAAGATTCCACTATATTCCTGAAAATATACATTTATACTCTCTTCATAGGTCAAATTTTACAAAGTTAAACTTCCTTTATTAAGTTGAGAATATACTACTAAAATGATGCTGGCTTTCTTCTCATGACCCTCTCCCCAGACCCCTTAGAAATTCTTCTAAATGAGAAGTAAAACATCTAAGAATTTTCATATTTATGTATATATACTTATTATTGCAGCAGATAACTAATGCATATTTGTGCATCTTGATGAAAGTCAATATTTTGAGTTGTTACCTCTCTCACAATTGATCATAAGAATCTCTGTACATAGGACAGAATTTGTTCAACGTGCACAAATATTCTTTTATTTTGCACAAAATATCTTTTCCACAAAATATTCTTATAGGAATCAGCGAAGTTTATGGCACTATATAATTTTTCTATAAAAATTCTTAAGAATTATGTAGTTGAAATTTTATCAGCTCCAAATTTAAAATCAAGATCACAAGCCTTACTAAAATTTAATTTTATACTATCAAATAAATGAACATCAAAAAGTAGTTTTAATTTTTAGTTTCTTTTATTGATATCTCATTCTAAAGCCAGTAAAGATTACTATAAAGTTGTTTTTAGAAATTTCTTCCCAAACCCAGTTTCCCCATTGCATATTAGAAAATTTAACCATTTATTTTAGCCTAAGTTGTTTCCTAAACTTTTGTAACCACATATGAATATCTAAAACTTTTATGCAAGTTTAAGAGATTTTTAAAAATATATTTTTTATCCATAATACAGTGTTAAAGAATTTAAACAATAAACTTTATGAAAGTTTTAAGGTTTAAATATAGATCTTACATTAGCATATGACAATACTAATTGCATAAACTAGGGGTGTCGAACTCAATCAGAGAAGGGGCCAAAATCTAAAATCCAGCCTAAATCGCGGGCCGAATGGTTTACTGAACAGTCATAAACTGTCCTTGTGATGGAAACGCAGTGGAGTGCAGTGATGACAGCGCGGTGCGGGCCACATTGCAAGGCTTGGAGGGACGGATTTGGCCCGCGGGCCTTGTGTTTGACACATGTGGCATAAACGAAAAGAAAATAATTGCTAACAGAAAGCCAATGTCAGCACTTGCATAATTGACTCTAATAAGCCTTAAATTGAAAGAAATACAGTAAAACCTTGGTATAATGAGCTAATTCAGAAGAGGGTTGTCTGCTAAAGCTGGAAATCCATTATATAAAAGGAGGTTTTCAGAATGCATATGTTAAGAATTTGACAAATTAGAGAGTGTAACTTTTTTACTTATGTAGACATGCTTGTGTAATTAAAATTATGTATGAAAGTTTAATTTCACAGAAAACTGTTCTAGATGTATTACAGCAATTTTAAATTCTTACTGAATAGGTCTAATTAATGTGTGCATTCAACCAGACACCATGAGTAAACAAATGCACACAGCTGGGGTGTGGTTTAGTGCATGTCGGAACATAAGCCAGTATGCGATAAAGCTGCTACTGAAAGTCATGCCACGTGCCAATAGAACCAATTACTGGGTGTGATTTGCTGTGATCACAAGTTAATAATTCTCCAAACACTGTTTACAAGCAGTGACTCTTGTATTTAAATATAAATAGTTGTAGATACATAATATTTACGTTGGCGAAATTACTAGTGTTATTTCCAACATATGGCCTCGTCACTGTAATTTGTTAAAAATAACAGTGAACAAAAAAAAAACAATAACCTTGTTGATTTAATTATAAGCAAATCTTGGTTAAAGCATTTTAAGATTAACAAGGTGTTAATTTTCACAAATGACATATGGACTGTAAGTTTTGTCCATTAAATCTGAAGTCTGTGAAATTGAAGTCCACAAAATTAAGTGTTTACTGAATAACTAAACTTTAAGGAGAAAAGGTAAAATAATAGCTAAACCAAATATAGTCTTTCCTACACTCTACCCATTGTTCTAAGAATCTTATATATATGAACTCATTTAATCATCATAACAACTCTGTGAAGTAGGTGTTGTTATCCCCATTTTATACATGAAAAAAACAATTTAAGTGATCTGCTTTAGGTTACACAGAAAGTGGAAAGTTGGGATTAGAAGAAAAATCTTAGTGCATGTCCTTATACTCTTGAATAATATATATTTATGAAATAATTCATTAATTTTTTAAGTTGGTAAAAATTATATTAAAGCAGCACAGTGAATTATCTCCATAAAGATAAAAATCATAAAAGTCAAATATTTGTAAATTATATAAAAGAAAACAATTGACAGTTTGTATTAGATTGCTGAAAATAATGGTGCCATCAAGTTAAAATAAAAATGGCCTTCACAATAATCTAATCACCCTGCTTATATTTTACCTTAAAAAATAACAGCCTCTAAATTAAATTAGTTTAACCTAAAGTTTTAGGAAGCATTGATACTACACTTGATCTTAGCCAAAAGGCCGAGAAGCGATAAAAGTTTTAGGAAGCACTGAATGAGCAAAACAAGAAAAAAGGTTTTTTAATAAACTAAAAAATATTTTTGAACACTGAGAAAATGGTTCCTATGAAACACTGGAAATGTCAATTTTACCTCTGGATTTCCTTAAAATACTTAGCATTAAAATTTTCTGAATTAAAAAGTAGGGTTTTTTTTTTTATAATATCCTGCTTCAGAAAAACAACAAACCTTTGCTATTTCAAAAGATAAGCTATAAATTAAAGCATAATGTATAAAGTAAATAATTCCTTACACTATAATTTTTTATTAATAGCATAATATCCCCATTGCTTAAAATAGCTCATCACAGAGCAGGAGCTCAATAAAATTTTTAATAATTTCTAAAATAAGGTACAGAATCAAGTGCCCAAATCCCTTTTACTAAAGTTAAATTCCATTATGTCAATCATAATAGCGATCAGTAATAATACATATTTTTATAGCTCCTGAATTCATTAAAATCATTTACATTAGTATACTGAAATTGATGCCACTCTGAAGCTCAAGATTTTTTTCTGGAACTGCCTAAAGGAAATGGCAATGTCCTTTATGTAATATTTGCCTATTTGGGCAATAAAGGCAATGTACCTTCAAGGTAAGCAAAAACTATAGAGCATTCTATTTATAATTTTACTAACAGATGCTAGTAAAAAACTCTACATCTTTTAAAAGACTAGGTAATTCAAAGCAGTTAACTACATCACTGAAATCATGAAATGACTAAAAAGCAATAAACCAAATTTAATTAATTTTCATTTTAGACCACTAAAACTTAAACCACTAAACGATCTTTTGTCTTTTTATCCTTCTAATAATTTTTTCTTTGACTCTTAAATTCTGGAAACAGGCAAATAACCATGGATCACCTTTTATGATAAGAAAAGTATACTGCTTAATTTGTTTATAAACATGTTACATAATGTCGTGTTTAAGTTAGCTTCAGATTTTTCCTGCGATGTACTTAAAAAAAAAAAGTACAAAATTTTTCAGCAAAAAATTTCTATTTTAGAATTATGCTTAAACCAGATTATAGGCGGAAAAGCTGTGAAATCTTACTAGCACATATTGGTAAGAAGAAAGAAGTTCTTTGATTAAATAAAAAAGGGCCAGCTTCTTGTTTGATTAGAGATGAAAAATTCTCTTTCTGACCAGGCAGAATTTAGGAACAAGATGGGGTGTGAGAGATACCATCTTCTTTCTTCTAATACTCAGAAAATAGAAACAGAAAGATCAAAATATTTTGCTCTATGAGCTCAATTCAAATAATGCAGCATTGTTAATAACATTAGCAGTTTATATTACAATGGCCTAGACAGACTAGACTCTGGGGTTAATAGCAATAAATATGGCAAACAAATTAGCAGCATTGAAAACTCATTGGAAGAAAGTAGGTCTGCAAACTACGTATTTCAGGGTGAGAAACCCACAGTGCTTGATTAGGAAATAATAATAGTTGCAAAAGTATAAACAAAGTCAGTTGTACAAAACATGCTTATGTTCTTTTACATCCCTTCTTTCATTAAAATATTTTTTACAATAAAAGCTAACTTGAATAAGAATAATTATTGACATTTCTGGATTCTCTCTAATCTGTTTTTCAGGAAAATTAAAGACTGTTAGTCTGGGCTAACAACGTGTAGAAAAAAAAATTAGTATCAGAGAAAGAACAGAAAATGTGCTTCCAAAACACCAGTTTAACTTGTAGAACTTTAAAAAATGATGTCAGATGCTTATGTAATATCCAACATATAATATCAAAACCTCAGGCAGGAGCCTGAGTTTGATGTTAAGAAAGGTCAATGACACAGTGCCAATGCCTTTGAACCAGTCCCCAGAGTTAAAGAAAACTCTTCAAGGATATTCAGCTACTCAACTAGTTTACTCTGTATAAAGCTAAACAAACATATAGCATCGCACTCACAAGGTAGGCAGAATGGAAATTTTAACCAAAAATACTTGGAGGAAAAGAAGAAAAAAGGAGGAAAAAAGGATGGACAAAATTAGGGTATTTTCAAAATTGGTGGTTTGTTTTTAAAATCTTAATATGTTAAAAAAAAAAAAAAAAAAAAAAAAAAAAAAAGAGAGAAAGGAATTAAAAGCAGTTTCTTTTTACCCCCATAAGAATCCAAGAATAGCCGAAACCAGTTTGGCTCATTGGGTAGAGCGTCGGCCTGCGGACTGAAAGGTCCCAGGTTCGATTCCGGTCAGGGGCATGTGCCTTGGTTGCAGGCACATCCCTAGTGGGGTGTGTGCAGGAGGCAACTGGCCGATTTTCTCTCTCATCGATGTTTCTAGCTCTCTAACCCTCTCCTTCCTCACTGTAAAAAAAATCAATAAAATATATATCTATTTTTTAAATCTAAGAATATCAGGTAAATACTATTCTGGAAAATTCTACTTCTAATCAAAAGCCAGAGTGTTTATCTCTGAGTAGTTTCATTTTTGTTGTTGTGTGGTGTGTGTGAAGTTGTTACAGACATCACAACTCTCTATCTTAGATGATGAGTCCAGGATTCCAGAATTTATTCTGAGTTCAATTAAATATGCTCACATAAAATACAGAATTGTGAAAAACATTTTTTCTTTATGTACTAATTCACTTTCCTTCTTATTTTTCTCTGTATATTAAACTATTTTAAAGTAAAACTTATTCAAACTTTGTAAGAAAATAGTTTGGTTGAAGATCTAAGTGATTTCCTTTAAATTTAGCACTGTTCATACAACTTCATTTCTCTCTTTCTCTCTCTCTCCCTTCTTTTCTCCCTCCCTCCTTCTCAATATACCTAATACCTAAAGAACCAAACTCTAAGCTTCAATTTGCCTCCAAGAACTTCAGGGGCAATAAAAAAAAATCCAGTAATTATGATTTCTACTGTGTAAAGTTATATTAGAATAATCCTGTCCAATTTTCATAAAGCTAATACCCGTGTTTCTCCGAAAATAAGACCTAGCGCATGGAAAGATAAGACATCCCCTGAAAATAAGACCTAGCGCAACTTTGGGAGAAAAAATTAATATAAGACACTGTCTTATTTTCGGGGAAACAGGGTATTTAAAATTATGACATTGGTTCAATGTCTTCCAAATTTGTTCCCTCTGAAACCTTAGCGTTATAGTACGAAAATATGTGTACCTGGATTTTCCATGATTAAATAAGTTTGAGAAATATTGAATTAAACAATTTTTAATAGGACTTCTGGGGGCCTTTAATGTGTTGATGTACATTATAAATCTTTAACCCTTTTTACACCTATTAACATCTCCTAGGAAAGGTTTTCAATTACACATCAGTTTCTAAAAAGCTGGATTCATTCTCAAATCAGTTCTCAGGAGAGTTTTTGCTCCTTGCTTTTTTTAAGTCCTAAGAGAAAAATTATTTTTACTCAAAGACTAGTTATGCTTTTATAATTATACACACACACACACACACACACACACACACACGAAACACTGGAGGAAATTGTTTTTACAAGTTATCAATAAAGAAAAAAACACTGGTTTGGAGAATTATGTATATTATAATATACATAATCTCCCTATAATCCATATTTCCTAAAATTAACATTATTTTAATAATCAGATATAAAATGTTTTGATTTAGTAACTGGTGTCTCACTATTATCTAAATCTTTAAAGCTCTCATAAAAGGAATTTTATTCCAAGTGGGGGAAATAAAAACAACAATAAATAAAGTAGCCATCTAGAAAATTTCTTTCAAACATTTCTACATAAAAACACCTCTCCCATCAAATTATTAAAAGATAATCTTTCTGAATTTTGTATTGACAGCAAAGCAAGAATTCTTATCCTGATGAAGAAACAACTTTAGAACATTTTAAAGGGAACAACCTCATCTTTATTTGAGCGTTTTAATAATATTTTAGCACTTAACATGCATATTTTCCAAAACATTACTTAAGTTTCAGAAAATCAATCTTGTAAAGCCCTTAAGACTAAAAAAAATAAATAAATCTTCCTGACAGTTTTAAGATGGCAGTAGAATATTTAATCCAAGCAAACATTTAAGAATTAATGGTCAAACCTCATTTTATTTTTCTAAACACATCAAAAGTGGTTTGCATTACATGCTTTAACGTATTTAAACAAAGCTTGAAGCAAAAAATATATCTAAGAGAAATTTAGAACACATTGGGAGTATCTTTTATTTGTATCGAATTTAGTTAAAAGAACAGAAACATTGTTTTATTTGCCATTTAGATAAGTATATTATAATCTGATATAAGCAACTATTAATAAAACCAGGGCAACTTATATAGGAAGGTATAGTGCTTCCATGGAGCACTGAAGAAAAAAAATAACCTAATTCTTTATTTGGAGGTATCAAATGTAACAAAAATATGTGTTCTTTTCCATATTATTAAAATTCATAGTATTCCATTTATTTATTTCAAATTTTACTACTTTTTGTACTAATAGCTTAATTAATTCAGGTAGCCTAATTTTATTGGTATAAAATACATTCATTTCTCATCAAATACTTATTGAAACATCCAGATTTAGATCTAAGGTCAAATTTTCTATTTTATTATTATCATCAATTATGATACAAAAACTGCACAATTGTATCATAAAATTCATTAGTAATTCATTATTTCTAATTAATTATATTTTGGATTAAAAAATAATATTGAACACCTCTCAAAAATATCATAAAAAATATATTAAAGTAACCTTCCCAATCAAGATATCCTGAAATAGAACACACAAATATATCACATCTGATAATTGAATATTTTATTTTCTCATTTTAGAAAAAGCTAATACAAAAAAAAATTTTTGAAGTGAATACTAAGTTTTTCATTGACAGTAAGAATACAAAACACAAGAATGTCTGTGTTATCTACATGTTATCTAATTCTTGGTTTTGGAAATCTCTGATCTTAATGGTTTAGGGATGGTGGAAGGGACTTCATCTGATGCACCTTCCCTCACATAAGCCTACAGTCCATTAGGAACTGAAAGGCAGATAGGCTGTTTTAGAAAAACAAACCGAAACAAAATCAGACATCTCACCATCGCAATGTACTCCTAAGAAGAGAGATAGGCAAGTACCCAAGAATGAATAGGTAACTTTCTTTGAGCTAGCACATTTTGAATAGTAACTACATTCAACACAGGCTTACTTCTTTCTAAAAGACAAGACATGATATGATTTTATTCATTGAAAACTTTTTTTAAAAAAAGAATAAGCTTATCTCTGGTGATAAAAATTAAAGCGGTTGTCTGTGTGTGTGGGGGTGTAGGTGCATGCACTAGTGCATCAGAAGGGTACTGACTTAGTTTTACTAGAAAATTTTAGGGGGAATGGAAACTTTCAATATTTTGTTTCTGGTGATGGTTAACAGAGATGTTAACAGATAATTCTCAAAACTCATTAAACTGAACCCAGGATCTATACATTTTATTATATATTAATTAAACCTTATTAAAGAGACCATACCAATAACTGGGGATCAAGAACATTAGTACAATTAAAAAGTTGAGCTGGTTTTAAGGCTCCTTAGAAATTGAAGCTTCACAGAATGGCTTTTTTGTTTGGTTTTAAAATGAGTGCGTTCTTAGGATTCTATATATTATTATAAGCTAATATAAGTACAAAGATTTATTATAAAACAACTTTCAGATTATGTACTTTTCTTGATATTAACTCCCCTTGCTTACTTCAATTACAATGAGATGACAGAGACTGCATTATTCAAGATATACTATAGTGTTAGTAAAAACAATGGAAGTTTAAAAGTCAAAGCTCTGACTATTATCTTCCAAGTCATTTTTTGTGACACATTATAATGACATAAATATATACTATTACATCTTTTAACCATCTAAAAAGAAAAAAAATGGAAATATAAACAGAAAAAAAAATTGGCCATTTACAACCCAAAATACTAGACATTGGCACAGCACTAAACTTAGCACTTCCAGAATGAACTGCAAAGATAGCATTAGAGTTCAAATAACTCAAAATGTTGATTTCTCAACCACTATCCCAATTTCCCACACCTCCCACAAAGAAATTAACTTTGAAGAGTTTATTTGATTAAGCAAAATTTGAAAGCAGAAGGATTAAAAAGTGAAAAAGGTGGTGCAGAAATTAGCAGAGGTGGCACTACCTGAAAGCTCATCAGAAAGGGGAGTGAGAACAATATCAGGCAAGAAGGGTTTGGAAGTATGGATCAGAACAGGAGCACTTTTAGCACTGCGTATATAGGCCGATGGCAGAGCACATTCACCAATGGATCGGCTTCTCATGGCTTTAAAAAAAGGAAAAGAAAGAAGTGGGAAAGGAAAAAAGAAGAGTGACTATAATGAAAGGCTTGTGTCACAGAAAAAGCAGCAACAGAGAAAACTAAAAGATACAAAAGAAGGAAATTTTAAATTAAAACATTTCAGCACGGCAAATATTGGCAAGCTGTAAGAAAAGAAATCAGAGAACACATATGACCTTTCAAATGTAAATATTTTGGTGTAAAGCAGGAAAATGCTTTTTATTATTAGCAGTTACAATGGTATAGCATTAAAAAACAGCAGACACTTTAATAAGCCCTATGTTCTCAAAACCAAGGGTTGATAAGTTCATTGAATGGAAACATAAAAAAGAACTCAGTATTATTAGTTCAAATATATTTTTGGTACCATATTTGGGCCTTTCTTTGAGCCATCTGAGGCAATTCTGAACCATTCTTCTTAATAAAGCTGAATTCCTAGAAAAATAATTCCTACTTTCATCCACTTCCCTAATAAATTGTCAAGGACATTCAAGATCTTTTTTAGAAAATTGTATGTAATTCATAATCTAAAGAATTGAATCTTATGGTCAGTATTTGTTTCTGGTAGGAGAATACTTAATCAAATCAGTATCTCTTATTTACATGAAAATTTATTTATTTAATACAATTTTATTTATTTTTTCAATCTTTACTATTAAAAGTATTATATGTACCCCCTGTTTCCCCACTGACCTCTTCTAGCTCTCCCCAGATCCTGCCCCACCCCCACGATTTAAAAAATTTAAATAGAAACATTTACAGAAAATAAAATTTATAATCAGCATGAAGAATCAATTTACTCGAAAAGTAAACAAGTTTGTGCTTACTCAGAATCTTAAGCATAGTATATAAAAACTTAGCACTGCCCAGCTGGTGTGCTTTAGCTGGAGTGCTTCAGTGGTTGAGCATTCACCCGTGAATCAGGAGGTCACCAGTTCAATTCCTGGTCAGTGCACACACTTGGGTTTCGGGCTTGTCTCCAGTAGGGCGTGTACAGGAGGCAACTAATCTATGTTTCTCACCCATTTTTGTTTCTATCTATCCCTCTCCCTTCTTCCTGCTCTAAAAATCAATAAAAACAAATAAGATTAAAAAAGAAAACTGTATTACTTTTTAAAAATTGCATTTGTAGCTTTATGTCTATAAAGGAGAGTCACAAGTTCACAAGACTAACGGCAAATTTTTATTATATTTAAAACTAAAATAATAATTAAATTTAGCTCAGCTGGTATGGCTTAGTGGTTGAGCATCAGCCTATGAACTAGGAAGTCATGGTAAGATTTCTGGACAGGACACATGCCCAGGTTATGGGTTCAATCCCCAGTGTGGGATGTGAATGAGGCAGCTGATCGATGATTCTCTCTCATTACTGATGTTTCTGTCTTACCCTCTCCCTTCCTCTCTGAAATCAATAAAAATATATTAAAAAATAGCTATTAATAATTAAGTTTATACTTCCCAAACATTTTTAACTTAACTATTAGTCTAGGAATTTTTGAATAAGTAGTTATGTGTATTGTTGAGTACAGAGGACTTTTAAAAAACAATATTGCATAATATTGCGTAACAATGAAATAGTGTCGTTGCTAAAAAGATTTGTTTCCCTGATACCTACTTAGCCTGTCACACAGGCCTTTGCAACTAGCTGCAATAAACACTGAAACTTCATCTCCAACTCTTCTCTCCTCCTGCTGTCACACAGAATTTTACACTATTCCCAGAAAATTTCATACTTTCACAACAGCATGGCTTTCTGAGTTCATAATATACCTTGGTCTTCTTTTCTTCCTAAGACAACCCTTCATACTCAAAATGGCATCTCATCTGTGAATCTTTTCTCACTCTCCCACATAATTAACTTATTAGCAATAAAGCAATGAACAAAACAAACAAGAATTCCTGCTTTTACAAAGCTTGCAATCTATTTTTTAGTGGATTGTGTGCTTCCAGTGTCAGCCTCCCAACTTTTCAAATGTAACAAACATATCCTCTTATCTTTATATCCTACATTGAGGCTCATATGAACTTAAATCTTTACTGAGTGAATACCTGTATTTGAGCAGCCCAACATAATCATTTCAAAAACAAAAGTTTCAGTTGTGAATATACAGAGGAGCAAACCAGAAGAATTATTAACCAAAAACTAAAGGTATGCCAGAGTTTATAACTGGAAAAGAATGATAGATTTTTTAGAAATTTTTATTTGTGTTGGCAAAATAATTCCTTAAGAGCAGTTTTTAGATACATTTATGTGTAGCAAAACACGGAAGGTAGGAGTATATTAAGACAATAACAATAATTTTTCTTCAGTGTATGGCTTGTATTAAAAATAATTGTATTTTAAAATGGAACATATATACAAAATATTAAAATCTGGCTCTACTCATTTTCCTGTTAGTTTCTTGTATTTGTGAAAATTACCAATAATTTTATAATCCAATCTGAAATAACTGTTTTGTTGATTTCAAGATAATCACTCAGTAAAAGCTTTTACAGCAAAGACATACACAAGGCAAAACTTGAAGTGCTATTTGTTAACACATACCACCTACAGCTGTAATCAGATGTGATTTTCAGAGATAATTCTTTTAAACTGAATCAAATTTTTGATTACATGAATTATAATATGTTTTCTTCTATTTTTCCCCTTGGATTAGATAATTCCTTCTGTTTTTCTTTTCCACCACCAACTTGAAGAGATAGGGCATTCCCCTCGGAATTTCTTCCATAATTGCAATGGTATGTCAGTGTTATGATCTGAAATGAATTCTTCCCACAGGGACCACTACGTTTGTTACTCTACTACAGGTCTTTATGCATACCTGGAAATCTGGCAAATGCCTCACAACCATGCAACTCCTACTATAGAAAATTAGAATAAATTAAATATTGGAATTTTTGAGATGTAGTAACCTAAAGCTTATGACAGAGGATCTCTGTTAAGCCACTAACATTTCTATTACTGCATACATTCCAAAACCACATTCATCAGTGATCTTCTTACATCTGTAGTATCTATCCATTTATACATAGATAAAGGGCAGTATCAAAAATATAACATCAAAAAGTAAAATCAGCATGGCTGATGTGGCTCAGTGGTTCAGCGGGTTCAGCATAGACCTATGAACCAGGAGATCAGGGTTCAATTACATCAGGGTACATGCGGTGTTGTGTGCTCAATCCCCAAAAGGGGGCGTGCAAGAGGCAGTGATCAATGATTCTCTCCCATCATTGATGTTTCTTTTCTTTTTTTCTTTTTTTTTTTTAATATATTTTATTGATTTTTTTTTACAGAGAGGAAGGGAGAAGGATAGAGAGCTAGAAACATCGATGAGAGAGAAACATCCATCAGCTGCCTCCTGTATGGCCCTAACCGGGGATGTGCCCGCAACCAATGTACATGCCCTTGACCGGAATTGAACCTGGAACCTTTCAGTTTGCAGACGGACGCTCTATCCACAGAGCCAAACCAGTTTTGGCCCATCACTGATGTTTTTATCTCTCTCTCCCTCTCCCTTCCTCTCTGAAATCAATAAAACTGTATTTCTTTTTTAAAGTACAAACAGATTTTCAAAACTACAAGCATGCCAATTTTTAAAGAATTCTTATCTTCACTTCACCCCACTAAAAATAATAAATAAAAATAAATCCACTCTAATAAACTCATTTTGGATCACATTATCAAAAACTGTAACCTTCACTTCAGAGTTCCCATGCAACATAAGAACACAGACAGCAAATGTGATGGATCACTAAAAGCATACAAACATATAAAATAAACAGGAGGAAGACAACTCTGACCTTTTCTCACTTCTAAAATGTAACACATATTTCTCACTAATTTTAAATTAAGTTCACAATATGTACACATGTATGTTCACTGGAAGAAATATACCTGTCAGTCCTCAAATTTAGGCCTAAATATATAATAAACTAAGAGGAAAATCTGAAAACAGAGCAGTGATATATTTATTCCAAATGTTGAATACCAGGTTCTAAGTCATAATTGCAACATTTAACATTGCTTCTCATGAATATATTCTATATTAAGTCCTAAATTCACTGTACTTTCTTTAATATTTGCTGGCATAGCAAAACTTTAAAAAATTTAATTACATTTTAAACTCAATATGAATAACAAAAAAAATTCTTATTAAGGCCATTCTGAGAAATCTGACTAGAGGATTATGGAATGTTTAATATTTTTTAAAATAAAGACAAGTAGCCTGTAAGTGAAAAACAAATCCTCTTAGCAGAATTCCAATCTGAAAACTCTAGAAAGCAACCAATAAAATAGGTGTTTGGATATAATGAAATTACTTTTTTTATAAATTTCACCAGAGACTACACTAGTACCCTCATGAAATATAAGGACATCAAATGCAGAGATTAGTTTAGACTACAAGTATAAACAAAGCTGCTTAAAATTAAATTAGCCTTTAAAAGTTATATGTGTTATCACTCTATCAGGTACGTAAGTCAGTTGTGAGAAAAGATACAATACTTTAAGTATATAGAGATATATATATGTTTTACTGAGTTTCAGAGAATGGAAGGGAGAAGGAAAGAGAGAAATGTTACCCGCTGCCTCCTGCACACCCCATATAGGGAATCCAGCCCGCACGGGGAATGTGCCCTCGCTGGGAATTGAACAGGCAACCTTCAGATGCATTGGAAACACTCAATTGAGCTACATTGGGCAAGGCAAAATATATTTTTAACAAGAGGAACTAAGGTTTGTTATTTATTTATTTATTTATTTTTTTGAATATTTTATTGATTTTGTACAGAGAGGAAGGGAGAGAGATAGAGAGCTAGAAACATCGATGAGAGAGAGTCATCGATCAGCTGCCTCTTGCACACCCCCTACCGGGGATATGCCCACAACCAAGGTACATGCCCTTGACCGGAATCGAACCCGGGACCCTTCAGTCCCCAAGCCGACACTCTATCCATTGAGCCAAACCGGTCTCGGCTAAGGTTTGTTATTTAAAGGACTAGTGCATAAAAGAGAAATGTAAAGTATATTCTCAATGTGATTTATTTCTCCCAATTCAAGTAACACAATTAAGAAATAGAGAATAACAGACTTTTAAAAATAAAAATTTTCAAAGGCAAATCTGTGATTATTTCAAATGTCTAAATTATTTTCTGTTCTTAATAGAAAATATTTTAAAATATATTTTATCGTTTTTATACATATTGGAAGAGAGAGGGATAGAGTTAGAAACATCGATGAGAGAGAAACATCAATCAGCTGCCTCCTGCACACACCCCTCTGCGGATGTGCCTGCAAACAAGGTACGTGCCCTTGATGGGAATCGAACCCAGGACCCTTCAGTCCACAGGCCAATGCTTTATCCACTGAGCCAAACTGGTTAGGGCATTAAATGTTTTTTAAATTAACTGGGGTTTACAGAAAAACTGAGTTGCAAGTACAAAAAGTTCTAACATATCATCTCATCAGCACCAGGTTCCCCAAATATTAACATCTTGCATTAATCAGCAAGGAATATTTGCTACAACTGATGAGCGAATACTGATAGTTCATACCAGAGATCACTCTTTGTGTTGTGCATTCTATGGGTTTTGGACAAATTTATAATGACACATATACACCATTATAGTATCATGCAAAATAATTTCACTTCCCTAAAAACCACCTATGCTCCCCACCTATTCATCCCTCCTTCTTGCCCTGCAATACTGCCTTACCTCATAACCAGTGACCATTTACAGTCTCCTTAGTTTCCTGTCTTTCAGAATGCCATATAGTTAAAATCATATATAGCCATTTCAGATTGGCTTCTTTCACTTAGCATTTGGGGCTCCTCCATATATTTTCATTGTCTAATAGCTAATTTCTTCATATCCTACAAAACAAAAGCCTAATATGCTAAGTATCCAGTCATCCGTTCAACCAATCAAAGTGTAATATGCTAATGATATGCTAAGGCCACTCAACTGCTTGCTATGATGTGCACTGACCATCAGGGGCCAGTCGACCAGACACTGTGATGTGCACTGACCATCAGAGGGCAGACGCTCTGACTGGTAAGTTAGCTTACTGTTGGGGTTTGGCCAATTGGGACTGAGGGAGATGGGCTGGACACACACTGGAGCCCTCCCGGGGTCTCTCCCCGCTGGCCAACCTCCCAAGTTCTTCACTGGCCCTGATCATGTACTGGCGAGGTCCCTCGGCCTGGCCTGTGCCCTCTCGCAATCTGAGACCCCTGGGGGGATGTTGAAGAGCCAGTTTCGGTCCAATCCCACTGAACGCAGTAGCTGCCCCCTGGTGGTCAGTGCACACCCCTAGGGGGAGTGCTGCTCAGCCAGAAGCCGGGCTCATGGCTGGCGAGCGCTACCCCTGTGAGTGCACACTGAGGGCTCCCAGAATGTGAGAGGGTGCAGGCCAGGCTGAGGAACACCTCCCCCCCCCCGCCCATGTGCACAAATTTTATGCACTGAACCTCTAGTCTCTAAATAATATTCTATGTGTGGATGCACCAGTTGTTAATCTATTCATCCACTAAAGAACATCTTGGTGCTTCCAAGTTTGGACAATCCTATATAATAAAAGGCTAATATGCAAATTGTCCTCTTGACGGGGAGTTCAAATGAGAGTTCGACCAGGGGGCAGGGCAGACAGCCAACTGCCTGTGGCACCTCCCCCTGGCCAGCTCTGCCCCAGATCAGCCCCCTCATCTGGATGGGGGGTGGGGCCAGCCCACCAACCACCTACAGCCCTGCCCCCAGCCAGCCTGACCTCTGATCGCCCCCCTACAACCAGGGGTGGGGCCGGCTGGCCAACCTCCCATGTCCCCTCTCCCTGGTTGGCCCAACTGGCCAGACCTCACTCGTGCCCGAATTTGTGCACCTAGCCTCTAGTTATGAATAAAGTTGCTACAAATACTTGTGTGTAGGGGATTGTACAGATGTCATGTCTTCATGTTACCTGAATAATTATCAAGGATGGTAAGAATATATATATTTTTTTAAACTACCAAAGTGTCTTCCAAAGTGACTGTACCATTTTGCATTCTCACCAACATTGATAGTTACTGTTGCTCTACCACCTTATCAGCACTTGCTATTGTCAGTATTCTTGTATTCTTGATTTTAGCCATTCTAATAGGTATGTGGTATTTCATTGTCTTAAGAACAATTTATTTTTAAATCCTACAGAGTAAACCTATGGATATACCTGCATATATGTATAAAGTGTGTAAGCATATGTAATTGTATTCTGTACCACTTTAATTGCACAAAATTGGAAACTAAATGTTCATCTTCAGGATATGGGTTAAATTATGGTACTGCCATGTAATGAAATCTGATGTAAGAAATTGAACAATTTCTGATATACAATAATCTTTAAAATGTATCATTATAGCTTGACTTCACTTCCTAGAACCTCTTCCTTTCTTACTCCACACTCCAGTCACTATGACCCCCTTATTCTTTCTTCCTCAGATATCCAAGCACACTCATGCTCCAGGCTTTTATATTTTTTCTTCTGCTTAGAATACTCTTTCCTCTAGTTATCTGCTCTCACTTTATTGTCTCTGGTCTTAAATCATATGATTAGATGGGCCTTCACTGACTTCCCTAAAACAGTTCCATTTCAACATCCTATACTCTCTTGTCCCTTATTCTACTTTACTTCACAGCAGTATTTCCTGAAATGTTTACTGTTTAATCTATTTTTATATGTCTCCCTAACACTACAACTGTCAGCTACAGTGGAATTTATTAGCTTTGTTCCTTCCAAAAGCCTCAATGCTTAGACAGTGCTTACATAATGAGTACTTAAAAATACTTTTTTTGCCAAAACTGGTTTGGCTCAGTGGATAGAGCGTCGGTCTGCGGACTGAAAGGTCCCAGGTTTGATTCTGGTCAAGAGCATGTACATTGGCTGCGAGCACATCCCCAGTAGGGGGTGAGCAGGAGGCAGCTAGTCAATCTTTCTCTCTCATCGATGTTTCTAGCTCTCTATCTCTCTCCCTTCCTCTCTGTAAAAAATCAATAAAAAAATATTTTTTAAAAATACTTTTTTCGTTTGAATGTCTAAAAATCATGGTTCACAACAGTGTGTATATTATTCTATATACACAGGCTTTATTTATAAAATATCTTTAGCAGAATGCTCAAGAAACTGAGAATAGTGTGGTTGTCTCTACTGAAATGAAGGGGGAAGGTGAAGAGTAGTGATGAGGGAAAGACCAGAATATATATACTTTCATAGTTTGAATTTTTAACTAAGTTCATTAAGAACACAAAATATTAATTTTTAAAACTAAAGAAAATATATGTCCAAAGAATATCCTAATTTAATTATATATTAATATAATATTTTAATATTTTCTACCTTTAGCAGGTACTTTTATTACCAAAATTGTAAATGCTTTAACTTTTTAATTCATAGGTTTCTTCAATGAACAGATATGATTTAAAGATGAATATTACTCACATATATAAAATGCCTCTTAAAAATTAGAGATATACCAACATGTTAACAATGATTACTTTGAATTAGACAGCTAAAGAGTCTTTATATTTAAAACTTTACTCCCCACACTAAGCATAAACTACTTCTATAAAAAATTCATGAACAATTTTAAAGATACTCAAGCAAGATTTAAAAGACCAATATTTTGCAGGGACAGTGTGGCTCAGTGATTGAGTGTCTACCCATGAACAAGGAGGTCACAGTTTGATTCAAGTCAGGGCACATGCCCAGGTGGCAGACTCCATCCCAGTAGAGGGTGTACAGAAGTGATTATCTCTCATCATTGATGTTTCTCTCTCTCTCATCCTCTCCCTGAAATTAAAAATAAAATTTAAAAAGGACTATGATTTTTAAGTCTTTTAAATCTTTAATTTCTAGTTTTGATTCTCTGTTTAGAATGTAATTCTTAACACTTTAGAACCCATCATTTTATAGATGATATATCCTTACAATGGTTTTAAATTTCTTTTAAATTAATAGTGTTTTCCAATGATTACCATTAAATATAGATACATTCCTACAGAAAATTCTCCTTCCATAGAATCATGGATTATAAAGCCTGAAGTAATTACAAGCAATTTTGTTTCAGGCACTACACAGATGAACTAAGTAAAGTCTAGAAAGTTCAGTAAATTTTCTAAAGTTACCTAGCTATCTAGTAATGAAAGAAGAGTGAAAAAAGAGATTAGGACACAGCCCTTTTGCTTTTCCTTATAGCACTCAACCTACTACAATTCAAACCAAGTTAAAAATCTCTGAGGGGAAAAGGAATAAAATGGTAGCTAAATCTATAGTATCGTGAGTGATCCTTGTTAAAAGCAGCAATGAACCTAGCAATAGACTCCACCTTGGCCTCAGCTGTCTGCAAATAGAGAGCATGTATTCCTTGCTGAAAGTCTAAAGCCAATCTAAATATGTAATTGTAGTACTGAAAGTTTTCCATGATTGTGAGTATATTCACTTAGAAGAAACTATATCAGTTCTGGAAAGTGAATCAGTTCTACTTCAATTCTGTAAAATAACAGTTTAGAATTATTGACATTACAGTAAAATAAACTACATAAAAATAATGTATGATAAATCTTAATACCATAAAGGAATAACAGCATGTCATTGGACTCTTGAGTACTACTGAAAGAAAAAAAAAAAAGGTTTTGCTATACTAGTGTTTCACTTAACAATAAAAATCAACTGATAAGAAAACTGCATTTAGATACATTGTTACTGAGGACTATAAATGGATTCCCCTGTACAATTCTCATGATGTAAAGAGTACATACCAACAGTTTTTTGCCGTACTATACTCCTCGCCTTTTCAGTTCCTGGGGAACCGGTGGTTGTTGCACTTCTCTGTCTCATTGGGGCTTGGCCAGGCTGATCACGACTCCATCCTCTAGAAAATGACTTGTCAACCGAAACTTTCTGAAATTCATGTCCAACTCCTAGAAATGTAGATTTATAATCTTAGTATATCTGATCAATTATCTTTTCAGATATGTGTAATAGCTAACCTCAGATTCTTAGACTTATTCATAATCTATGTATATAAAAGCCTAAGCTACCATTTGGTTGGTGGCTATGATGCACACTGGCCACCAGGGTAAAGATGCTCTGACCAACAGATAAGCTTGTTGCTGGGGTGCGGTCAATTGGGACTGAGTGAGATGGGCCGGACAAGCCTTGGAGCCCTCCCGCAGTCCTTCCCCGGCCCTGATTGTGCACCAGTGGGGTCCCTCAGCCTGGCCTGTGCCCTCTCGCAATCCAGGACCCCTCAAGGGATGTCGGAGGTCAAGTTTCGGCCTGATCCCTGCAGGCCAGTCCAACGGACCTCACGAGTGCAAGAATCTGTGTGCTGGGCCTCTAGTTCTATATAATAAAAGGCTAATAAAGACCAAACTGCAGAATGATCAGTCGCTATGACAATCACTGACCACCAGGGGGCAGACACTCAATGCAGGAGCTGCCTCCTAGTGGTCAGTGTGCTACCATAAGTAGAGCACCCTCAGCCAGAAGACGGGCTCACAGCTGGCAAGTGCAGTAGCGGTGGTGGGAGTCTCTCCCACCTCTATGACAATGCTAAGGATGTCCGACTGCTGGGTTAGGCCCATTCCCCGGGGTGAGTGGGCCTAAGCCATTAGTCAGACATCCCCCAAGGGCTCCTGGACTGCAAGAGGGCACAGGACAGGCTGAGGGACCCTCTCCTAAGTGCACAAATTTTGTGCACTGAGCCTCTAGTATACTATAAAGTAACAAGATAAAATTCTTGTGTACTGTAAGGCTTTATTGAACTTCATTTTATGTAGAAATCATATTCTAAAACAGATGCAGATTTTTTTAAAATATGCCATCAACAATAAGTATTATAAATTCTCTGCCACTCAATTGACTCATAATATAAATGAAACATCTGGACAAGCCAGAAGAATAGAAAATGAGCTAACCAAAACCATCCTGAGGTAGAAGTTACTAAATCTCTACCTGTCAATTATAGCTACTTGGGAAATAGTCCAGGAAAAAGTAGTTTGGTCACATATTTACTATCTGGTGTTAAGCGTGAAATGTGACTCAGATATAATCTCTAAGTAGAAACTATTAATAATGGAAAATACTAACAAACCAAGGATCATAAAATCATAGTAACATAATCACTGTTACTGTCCCTCCATCCCTTTTAAATATTAGGGAGATACGCAGTCCACATGTGGAATGTTTGCTTTTAGTTAAGAACTAAGAAAATGTTTTCAAAATAATTTTCAAATTATTTTTAAGTAGAATAATATAAAACCATCATCTAACAAAAATGTACGTATGATAAAGGAAGTGTTTGATAAACTTCAATTTTGACTATTAAAAATACAATATTTAAGATTCTGACTTATCTACACTAATAAAAGAGAAGTATGCAAATTGACTGTACCCCATGTTGCCCATCAGCCAATCAGGAATGATATGCAAATTAACCCAACAAAGATGACCAGTTAATTTGCATATGCAGGCACGGAGCGGCTGGGCGGGGTGCCTGCTATGCGGGGGAAGATGGGGGGCAGAGGGAGCTACAGGAGCGGTGCTCCAGCCTTGAGCGAAGACTTGCAGGCTCTGGGGCGGCCAGGAGCATAGCCAGGGGAAGGAAGGCCTATGCTTGCACGAATCTTTGTGCAACGGGCCTCTAGCTTATCTATAACTCTTTATATACAGAACACTTTGTCCCACATCAACATTATTACTTATTTTAAGGTTTTTCAACCTTCAGGATAAATGAAGAGGGGAATAATGAAGAGAAAATATGACTTTTAACCTTAGCCCTCTCCCTGGCTTGGTCTTCTGAGACCAAATTATTTAAACAAATTTATATGGAACATCTCTGTGAACAACTCTTACCTTTCCCTTTGTGCTTTTTTTGCTTCTGTTCACTCAGCTTATCCAATGGTAAATCACTGAGATCCAAACTATATAAATTTCTAGCTAAAACTTTAGTTAGTGTCTCCATAGTCAGTGACCACTCAGTGGCTAATTCTTCCCAATAGGTCAGTGATGACAAGACTGAGAGTAAATCATCCCAAAGTTCTCGGGAAATGTACACATTTAGATTTGCTTTGATCCAGGCAACTATAAGAGTCTATAAAGAAAAAAATCAGAAATAAAAATGAAATATATTCAAACTCATATATATTCAATTATTTTAAATTACTTAAAAACAAGGAGAATAATATCCATGGCCTTTTCTTGGTACATGGTAATTCATGCAATCGTTAGTATCTACTATATATTTCACTTCAACAATTGCCAACTTTCAACATTCTAGCAATTAAGACAAGGTGCCAAAACTGAAAAGAAATTTCCCTGAAGTTGCTCTTTTATGTTAATATTAAATAAATGCTTTTAATAAAGATATAAAATCTTTCCCAAACTAACTGTTGAAATTACTGAGTAATTAATGGTTACTGGAACTAAAAAAAACTCACTACATCTTCAAATCACTAACTATAAAACTTGAACATTCTAAAAATAGAAATTAGAGATGTACCTAACTTAGTGAATGTATTTTTGAAAATAATATGTAAATTGAAGAATAAAATTAAATGTCATTGTAAAGAAACCAGAGGAATAGTGTTCTGTATAAATTCAATCACAGTAAAAAATTTATTCATAAAAGAATAAGTATCAATAATCAGCTAGTATGCCTGTGATGCTGCAGATATATCCTATTGATGAAATAAGTTACAAAATAGGTTTTCAAAAGCTGACTTTTATAAATTTTATTAAGAAATTCACAAAAATTTACAGGTTAAATGTAAAGATGAAAATGAGCAGAGTTTATAGTACAGAATATTAATGATTAATGAGCCTCCATTCTATCTTTAAATGTTCAGATTACAAAGAAGTTATTCTACATAGCAAGGTAAAATTTTGTCTTCCTATAGCTCCCACCATTGGGTTAGTTTTAACAATGGGAAAATTAAAGAGAGAAAGAATAAAGGCTTATGAAGTCGAGAGGAGTTTAGATAATAAATATAGCTGGTTTCAAAGGGTTTTTTACTAGCAACATAGAATTTTAGGTAAACTAGCATATTTGAAAATAAATTAATTTTAAGTTACATTTCTGGTGAAGAATTAGATCTCAGATTTTGACATTAAGAACTATTTTTACCCATGTATTTACATTCAATGTGTCATATTAAGAAAATATTTTCCTTTCTAGTTTCCAAAAAATTCATAATACATTTAAACTCAGTATTTTATCCTCAGGTTGGAAAACATGATGTATAAATTCCTATAAAATCAAACTACCACTGATACTTCAAATGAAGATGTTAAGAGAATAAAGTCTTAATAGCATAAATAAAAACCTTGATTATCTACTACTTCTCATTGCTGTGGAACAATATAAAACAAAGTTTTGGCTCTCCAATAGGACCTGAGACTTGGAAACTCATAAAGCAAACAATCAGGCTACTACTCATGAAGCCCTCCAGCAGCTTTTTGCAATTGTACAAGTGAGCTACACAAAAAATAAAGTAAATATCATCAAGCCTGAGTTAACCCCTTTTTTCAGAACCGTATTTCCACTTTTATAATAGGTTATGAATTTGTACATATGGCAAATAAGTGTGTTTTAAAAAGCAATTTTTAATTTAGCTTTACAAAAGATACTTTAATATAAAATGACTACCAATTTAATGCTTTCTCCCTTCAAGTAACAAATACAGAGCTCAGTAAGTCTTAAAAAAATACATATCTATACACCTATTTAACTATCTATTTATTTATTTTTATTGCCTGAAAAAGTGGTCCTGCAAGTCGACCTGCCAAGGCCATATTTTTTTTCCCCTGGAACTGTAGAAAAGCTTGTGATGGCATCTTCAGTACAGACTCCGTGACTCTGAGCAACACAAGCAGCATCTGTTCCCTTAAAAAAAAAAAAAAAAAATTAGTTTCCTTCTTGCATATGTTTGCTTTTGATTAATGAATAACTTTCAAATTATTTGCTTTAAAAATTGTATTATCTTTCAATAACTCAAATAGCAAATATCTTTCAAAATTTTAGAATTCTTAAATATTACAATTTTAAATTCCACTTTATAAATCTATACCATTTTTTCAGACACAATACCCACTCATCAGATAAATATTTATACAAAAGATGAAAATTTTGGGTGAAAGTGGTGAGACCAGTCCATCCTACACCCCAAAAATTAAACAGTAAACTTAGGAAGCTGTTTGAAGAACACTCATTCAGCTATATAATATAGTTCTACCTGATCATCTTAACAATAGGGAGAACTACCACATATCTAGAATTGAAACAGGTTCAATTTAAAAACACTATATGATTTTATTAACCAATGTCACACCAATAAAATCAATTAAAAATGAAACACTATGCCAAAACCGGTTTAGCTCAATGGATAGAGCGTCGGCTTGGGGACTGAAGGGACCCGGGTTCGATTCTGGTCAAGGGCATGTACCTTGGTTGCGGGCATATCCCCAGTAGGGGGTGTACAAGAGGCAAATGATCGATGACTCTTTCTCATCGATGTTTCTAACTCTCTATCTCTCTGCCTTCCTCTCTGTACAAAATCAATAAAATATATTTTAAAAAAATAAAAATAAAAAAATAAAAAATAAAAAAATAAAAATGAAACACTACATGATATTTTAAGATTAATAAATCACAATGAGCCTGACAAGTAATTAAGGACCATCACTCTATTGCTTCTTCCCATCTTTTAAGTTTAGCCATTTAAAAGAATATTTTAAAAATATTTTTTAAATTGATTTCAGAGAGGAAGGGGGAGGAAGGAGGAAAGAAAGACAGACACATCAAAGACGAGAGAGAATCATTAATTGGCTGCCTCCTGCATGCCCCACATTGGGGATTGAGCCTAGAACCTGGGCATATGCCCTGACTGGGAATTGAACTGTGATCTCCTGGTCCATAGGTTGACGCTCAACTACTGGCCTGGCCATTTTAAAATATATATATATATTTTATTGATTTTTTTTTTTTCCACAGAGAGGAAGGGAGAGTGACAGAGCTAGAAATATTGATGAGAGAGAAACATCAATCAGCTGCCTCCTGCATAACCCCTACTGGGGATATGCCCGCAACCAAGGTACAGGCCCTTTATCTGAATTGAACCTGGGGCCCTTCAGTCTGCACGCTGAAGCTCTATTCACTGATGGGCCGGCCATTTTTTAACCATTTTTGTTCTTTGTGTATTGCAAATCAAGCCATCCTAATAATATCTTTACCTTGCCTTGTTCTTCTTGATGTTTATTATTAAGACAACAAAACTGCCATATTTTCACCTAATAATTCAACTATATGTGAAAAAGAGTCTGACAGTGGTTGTACATGGTTGGCTGTATAGTGAGGCTAACAGCCTAAGTCCCTATCACAGCCCCTCCTCTTTGGCTTTATTTGCTAGCCCATTTCAGACATAGCAACACATGGAGCAGTCCATGTGAGAAAAGATACAGCAGAGGCAGCAAAAGATCCCATAATTAGATTCCATATTTAGATGGATATTCTGAAGAGTGAGGACAAAATCAAATAGAAAAGTATCATTCAATGAAAAATATCCTGAATTTGCATGCAAATAAAATATAATAAAAATAAAAGCTGCCACATTTGTAATCCTAAGCTTCTAGCTTAGCTATATGAAAAGCTATTCATAGTAAACTGCTATTTGAAGTATAGATTTCCAAATAAATCTTATCTGATTTGTGGTCAAACCTTAACTCACTCATGTATCAGATAACCTTTCACTTTATGCTACAATAATAATGATGATTTTAATTCATAAAGACTTGTAAACTCAATAAAAGTTTATTGTGTGGGCAATCTTTCATTATGCTTTGACTTAAAGGAATTGATAACAAAAGAATTCTAAAATTGTGTTCCAATTTTAAAACAAGACTCTCTTTAATCTGGCTCCACAGCATTGATTCAAAGCATATTAAAAGTAAAAAAGGGCAAACTAACAAAATAAGTTAATAACAATAACTACTTCTAAATATATTATATTAATACTGTTAATAAAGATTTTTTTCAAAAGCCGTTTTTCCATATATAGCAAAATATAAATTAAGCATGTTCATTGAGTAAGAACTTCCATTCTTTAAGAATGAGTCAAAGAAAAAATTGTATGTATAAGATGTTGACCATCCTCCCCTCCTCCAACAACAAAATGAAATATCTACATATCCATCAATAGGTGACTGGTTAAGAAAATTATGGCACATATATATGGCACAATACTATGTAACTGTGTGTGTGGCTTGGTGAGAGAACTTTTGGCCATTTTTTATTTTCTTTTTCAAACTTTTCTTTGAATTTCATAATGAACAGGTGCCATTTTTGTGAAAACTGAAGAACAGCTCTTCTCAACTTCCCTAAAGGCCTATTTTTTCTATTCAATTAAACAAATCTTTATAGAGTACCAATACTATCTAAGGAATCATGCTAAGAAATGTAGGAAATACAGAAACAAAACAACCAGTCTATACCTTTTAGGATCTCTCAATTCAGTGAGATAAACAAATGCATATAAGTAATTTAGGGATTAAGACAATGTGACAATTATAACCGAGGTACAAATACAGAATTAAAGAAAGGAAAAAAACATACAAGGATATGTGGAAAAATGAAGGTGACACTAAAGATAGTTAATGGTAACAATAAAAAAAGATGGCAGAAATTAGACATTGTAAAGGAAAGTTCACATGTGCTCAGGAAATTTGATAAAGCTGGAGGCAGAATCCCACCCTGCAAGATGCTTAGGTTTGAGAAAGGGCTGGAAAGTAAGCAAGGCCCTAACGGTGCATGGCCTTAAATGCTAGGTTAAGGAATCAGGCATTCATGCATTCCATAATTACTCTTTCATTCACTCACACATGCATACATACATACATTCAATTCTGGGACACAGGAGGTTATCACATGCCCATTTTAGAAAAATAAGCCACGGGGTCTTTTGGAAGTTTGAACAAAGATGTTGAGATAGCCCGGCTGGTGTGGCTCAGTGATTGAGTGTCAACCCATGAATCAGGAGGTCACAGTTTGATTCCGGTCAGGACATATGCACAGGTGAGGGCTTGATCTAGTAGGAGGCATCAGCAGTCAGCTAATCAATGATTCTCTCTCATCACTGATGTTTCTATCTTGTTGTCCCTCTCCCTTTCTCTCTCTGAAATCAATAAAAACATCTTTTAAAAGATGTTTTAAAAAAAGATGTTGAAATAAAGCAGACTATTGTTGTCATCATAATTATATAAAATATTATATTCATTTATTCAATAGAAGCCTATAAAATATTATAACAAGCCCTGTTCACAGACACTATTCTCTAAAAGTTACGATATCCATACACACATATAAAAAACATAAAGAATAAATATTTTTACCAAGTCTTTTTGTCCATTGATACTTGCACAACCATGAACCGATAAATGTTAAGAATACGTTTACACATATCTGTGTGCTCATCCAGAAGACTTTTTATTTCATTTGCAGGTTCAAGAAGAAATATATTTGATGAGTTTATAATAAACACCTAAGACAAAAGAAATCATTAGCCATTCATTATAGAATTTCAATGGCAAATTTCTTATTCAGAGGAGAAAAAAAAACCTTAGATGCTGACTAGGGTGTGATCAATAATAAATTTAAAAGCATAAGACCATAGATTAATTATATATAATTCTACTTCTACCACAAACTTGATACCTCAAATATAAACTCATTAAATCTATGTATTTTATGTTTATCTAGACAAATTTTAAATTACTATTGGGAATGCCCCAGTAAAAAACAGCATATATTTTTATTTTTTATTATTTTTTAAAAAAATATTTTATTGATTTTTTATAGAGAGGAAGACAGAGGGATAGAGAGCTAGAAACATTGATGAGAGAGAATCATCGATCAGCTGCCTCTTGCACACCCCCTACTGGGGATGTGCCCGCAACCAAGGTATATGCCCATTTCAGAAATTGAACCCGGGATCTTTCAGTCCGCAGGCCGATGCTCTATCCATTGAGCCAAACTGGTTTCGGCCAGCGTATTTTTTTTTAAACTGAGAGCTTTCATGTAAGAATGGTATTGCTGTCATAAAATGAAAGAAACAATAAAAAAAAATACAAATAGTTTAGAATAAAAATGATACCCAAATCAAGAATTTTCTGAATGAGGTGTTTAAAAGCATCTTTCCTCTTTTTACATGTTTATTGGCAATTCTATATATCTTTTGATAATAAATAGACTGTATAAACAGACTATATATTATAGTACTACAAATTAGGACCTATCAATATGTATCTTCAATTAAATTCATTACAATGAAATCATTTATACTTTGTTATTGAGGACAAAATTATAATGGTAACAGGCATGTGGCAAAGGCACTCAAAGACACTTTGCAAAAGAGAACATTGCATCCATTGTAATCTTAGAACATTTAAATCTTCTATATTCATAATTCTGATTTAAATCCCTGGATGAACTATGTAACAAAATATAGTTGTAAAATCACATAAGAAAAGTACATTAAGCTAACTTTAAAATAGTTAAAATAGAAATAAGCTGACTATAATTTAGCCACACAGACCAAGAAATGTGAGAGGTACAAATAAACATCCTACATAATAAAGAGGTAATATGCAAATTGACCATCATGCCCTCACACAAGATGGCCACCACAAGAAGGCCAGCAGGGGAAGGCAGTTATGGGCGACCAGGATGGCAGGGGAGAGCAGTTATGAGAGACCATGAAAGCATGGGAGGGGAGTTAGGAGTGACCAGGATGGCAGGGGAGGACAGCTTGGGAACCAGGCCTGCAGGGGAGGTCAGCTGGGGGTGACCAGGCCGGCAGAGGAGGGCAATTTGGGGGGACCAGGCCTTCAGGAGAAGGCAGTTGGGGTCAACCAGGACTGGAGGGGAGAGCAGTTAGGGGTGACTAGGCCAGCAGGGGAGGGCAGTTGGGAACAATCAGGCTGGCATGGGAGGGCTGTTGGGAGCAATTGGACTGGCAGAGGAGGGCAGTTGGGGGCAATCGGGCTGGCAGGGGAGTAATTAGGCATCGATTAGGCTGGCAGGGGAGTGGTTAGGGGGCGATCAGGCTGGCAAGAAGAAGCAGTTCGGGGCAATCATGCAGGCAGGCAGATGAGCAGTTGGGAGCCAGCAGTCCTGGATTGTAAGAGGGATCCCGGACTGGAGAGGGTGCAGCTGGGCTGAGGGACACTACCCCTGAGTGAATTTTGTGCACTGGGCCTCTAGTTATAGATAAAATAAGGACACAACTATATATCAAGGAAAGAATTTAAAAATGATGATAGTTCACTGAATAGCTTTATGCTAATAATTGAAAATTTAATGCTTTTTAAAAGTATACTTTTGATGTTTTTGAGAGAGACAAAGAGAGAGAGAGAAGGAGAGAGAGAGAGAGAGGGAGGGAGGGAGGGAGAGAAACATTGATGTTAGGGAGAAACATCAATCACTTGCATCCTGTATGAACCCCAATGGGAGATTGAACCCACAACGTGGTTATGTTTCCTGGCTGGGAATTGAACTGGTCACCTTTAGGTGCATGGGGCAATGCTCAACTAACTGAGCCACACCGGCCAGGACAAATAAGTTATTTTGTAGACAAACATAAATTGCCAAAACTAACTGAAGAAGAAATAGAAAAGATGTATCCATTGAAACCATGAATGAACTTGAACTGGTAATCAAGGTCTCCCTGACCCATCTCTGATCACCAGGCCTGGGAAGCTTTACAGGCAAAGTTTTGCCTAATCTTCATGGAAGATGATCCATATTTTACACAAACTGTTTGAGAGAGAAAGATGAAGGAAAATCACCCAATTTATTTTTACAAAACTATAATGCTATTACCAAAGAACAAAAACAAAAAAAGGACTATATAAGAAAAGACCAATATCACTTATGAACATATGGCCAAAACAACAGTAGCAATTCAAATTGGGCAAAATATAATACTTTATGATTGACTAGTATTTACCCCAGAAATGATAGGATGTCTTGACATCAGAAAAGCCTGTTAATATAATATACTCTATCAATAGATTTAAGTGGGGGGGGGGGGGGGGGGTGGAGGGGAGAGTATGATCATCACAATGTATTCAGAAAAACCATTCAGCATTTATTCATTATTAAAATAAAATACTTTATTTTAGCATACTAGGAAAAAAATGTGTAATTCCTTAATTTGAATAAGAGTATTTATCAAAAACTATAACAAATGCTATATCAGCAACTGAACCTAAGAAATACTGCCAAAAGCCAAAAACAAGGGTACTCACTATCATCTCATTGTTCTCAAGGATGCCACGCATTCAAAAGGAAGTGGTGAAGTGGGGAGTAGAGAATGAATATAAATATGAATAAAGTGAAAAAGAAAAGACAAAACTGAACTCTGTAGCAATCTGGGAGAAAAGCTTTCCAGACAAAAGAATATGCAGATATAAGGTAACTGAAGAGACAGCCTGTGCAACACATATGAGAAACAGCAAGGAGTATAGAATGAGGTGAGTAAGGAGAAAAGCCAGTGGGAAATACATTAAGAAACAGAGACAGATCATGTGAAGCACAGATTCTCACACTACCAGTGGTAAAAGAACAAGTTTCTTCCACCAATTTTTAAAAGAAAGGTTCTATAATAAATGATTTTTTTTAAAAAAAGAATAGGAAAAAGGAAATGCAAAAAGACATACAAACCCAAACTTTCATTAGAATTAAGAGATATTCAATGACTCAGTTTATAAAATTACTCCCAATTTTATAATTATGTTGTGGGCCAGCATTAGTCAGTCTCTGGATTACAATTTGAGGAACAATCCTAAATAACCCTATATAATAAAAGCCTAATATGCTAAGTGTCTGGTCATCTGTTCAACCAAAGCATAATATGCTAATGCCGCTCAACCACTCGCTATGACGTGCACTGACCAGCAAGGGGGGCGGGGGAGGGGGGGGCGGAGAGTCAACCTGTCACTATGATGTGCACTGACCACCAGGGGGAAGACACTCTGACTGGTAGATTAGCTTGTTAGTGGGGTCTGGCCAATGGGAGCTGAGCGAGACTGGCAGGACATGCCCCGGAGCCCTCCTGCGGCCCCTCCCTGGCTGCAACATTCCATGTCCCTCTCCAGCCCTGACTGTGCACTGGTGGGGTTCCTTGGCCTGGCTTTCGTCCTCTCACAATCCAGGACTCCTCAGAGGATGTCAGAAAGCCCGTTTCAGCAGATCCCACAGGCCAGGCCAAGGGACCCCACTGATGCATGAGTTTGTGCACTGGGCCTCTAGTGATGTAAGTAAAACCTTAATAGACCATTAAAAAGGCTTGTTTTTATAATGAATGATAAACTTATACAAGATTTTAGCAGAAAAACGACATGAACTGACTGTTAATAGGATCACTCTGGCTATTATTTTGAGATAACCAGGGTGATGGGTGGGCAAGAGTAAAAGCAAAAATATTAATTAGTTACTGCATCCTGGCCAGCATGGCTCAGTGTCTTAGCATTGATTTATGTACCAGGAGGTCAAAGTTCGATTTCTGGTGAGGCACATGCCCAGGTTTTAGGCTTGATTCCCAGTGCAGGAGGCAGCCAATCAATGATTCACTCTCATCATTGATGTTTCTATCTTTCTCGCCATCTCCCTGCCTCTCTCTGAAATCAATAAAGACATTATTTTTTTTTAAAAAGGATTTTACTGCAATAATCTAGGAGGCCTGGACACAAGAGGTAATATGAGTGCTCAATACTTGTCCAATTCTGCAAACAATATGAAAATTGACAGGATTTGTTGTCAAATTAGATGAAAGATAGGAATCAAGACGGCCTGATAACGGTGGTTTGCAAATTTATTACATTTAAAAAATTATACTCTACACTGAAATACTGAACTATGTTCAAAATGTTTAATGATTATGTTACTTTAAAAAAATAATCAAAAAGTGATCCACCTGCAAAACTGCCTGGGTACCAGCTCGTATGTTTTCTTCTGTGGCTTCTTCAGAGGCGTTATGAAGAACATCTTGATAGGTGCCATTTTTTGCCCAAGTGGAATTTCGAACATGATCAGCAATATTGGCCCCATTTTCCTGAAGAAAAATACCAAATTTTTAATATTTCATTAATTAAAAATGCTATGACAAATCAGTAAGCTGAAGTAAACTGGAAATTATTGGATACCACTAAGCATCTTCTCAAAACAGCAGGTGTCTTATTTGATTACAAAATCTGTTTGCTCACCAAAGACTATTGTATCATTTCAGATATACAGACGTTTTTCTCTGTACCAAATACTTACACACTTACACAGCCTTGAAAGAGATGGATTTTGCTCTAAAGTAAATGGGTTAATCTAAAAAACTTAAATAAAATAGAAAATTGCTTCTATTTAACCTACTTAAGATTAATAAAATTCCTATTATCCATAGAAAGAATTCTGATACTTGAAACCACTAAAATTGCAGCTTTCTGCTTGAGATTTGGCTGTCAAAATCTTATTGACTAGACATTTCCCTTATCTGTGAAAAGCCACACAAACAGAGATTTCACTCAATGTTGTTCCCTTTCTTAAAGTTACTCTCTAGTTTCTTTCAGCTTTTGGTCACTCACCAGTATCTTCAAATAGTTTTTTTTTTTTTAATATTTTTTTCTAGAGCTTATCACTGTAAAATGCAGGTGGTTTCATCTAATACTTTGTCGTTTTCAGAAGCAGCACAGAACTCAGCTCTCAGTAGCCAAGAGTACCTTTCTCATAAGCTCCAGGTATCATCTAAATAGTTTTTCCTGAATGATCCACAAGCACCTCAAATTAAAAATGTTTAAAAGGAAGCTTATTATCTGAGTCTTCCCTCCCATCCTCAACTTCCTACTAACTTCTCTAGCCGCCTTGGCCACCACCACTACACTTGCATTTTTAAAATTCCTATTCAAGAGTGAATGGCAACCAACCAAAAAAAAGGAACTTGGGACACCTCCCCATTTCTCATTTCTCTCAGCCAATTTAATCATCAAAACATATTGATTGTACCACCAAAGCAGCTCATATATCAGTCTTGTTCTTTATATTACCACTAGAGGCCTGACGCATAAAATCTGTGCACAGGAGGAGGGTCCCCTCAGCCCAGCCTGCACCCTCTCTAATCCGGGACATCCCTCTCACAATCCTGGACCACTGGCTCCTAACTGTTCATCTGCCTGCTTGCCTGATTGCCCAAAACTGCCCACCCTGCCAGCCTGATCACCCCAACCACCTCTGTCTACTGGCCTGATAGCCCCTCACTGACCCCCATGCCAGCCTGGTTGCCCTTAACTGCTCAAACCTTGCCAGCTTGAACACCCCCGACTGCCCCCCTGCTGAACTGGACACTACGCGCGGCCATCTTGTGGTGGCCACCTTGTGTCCACATGGGGGCAGGATCTTTGACCACATAGAGGCAGTCATACTGTATGCTGGAGTGATGATTAATCTGCATATTACTCTTTTTATTAGACAGGATAGAGGCCTGGTGCATGGGTGGGGACTGGCTGGTTTGCCCTGAAGGGTGTCCTGGAACAAGGTGGGGGTTCCCTTGGGGCATGGGCGGCCTGGGTGAGGAGCTGTGGTTTGTAGGCCAGCCACGCCCCCCGGCGACCCAAGCGGAGGCTCTGGTATCTGGAATTTATTTACCTTCTACAGTTGAAACTTTGCAGCCTGGAGCAGAGCCAAGCCTTCTGCTTGCTCCTTGTCTGCCACCATTTCTGTTTGGATTTGTTACCTTCTATAATTGAAACTTTGTAGCCTTGAGTGGAGGCCTAGGCTGGCTAGGGCAGGTGGAAAACTTGGCTTCCTCCATTGCCAGGGAAACCCAAGCCACCCTCTTGCTCTCTATGAATGTAGCCATCTTGGTTGGGGTTAATTTGCATACTTGCTCTGATTGGCTGTGGGCATTGCTATGGGTGTAGTGGAGTGATGGTTAATTTGCATATTACTCTTTTATTAGGTAGGATAGATTGCAACTGCCACTGTCCTATCTCTATCACGTACTTAGCATCTCCCTTCGGAACTTGGCTAATATTTCCTAACTAGTCTCTTGCCTCCAAATTGGCCTCCAATCTATCTTTCAACCAAGATTTGGAATAATACTCCCGAAATATGTTACTCATGCATTCTTCTATTCATAATCCTTTGAAGGCTTTCCAGTGTCCAGAATGTAATCAAAGCCAATTACAATGGTATACCTGCACATTTTTGTAGATTCTATTCACACTATGTGGTTCCTTTCCCATTTATTACCTGCTCCTTACATCATACTACCTCCTCCATGAAGTCTTTCCTAAACTGTTAGATGTTCCCTCTTTCACACACTATATCACAGAAATAATATTGTTTTATACTATTTACTTTGAATATTTGTCTTCCTGCTAAATCTTAAGTTATGTAAAGACAGAAATGATTTTTTTTGGGCTTATATCTCCAAAACTTTCTCAATTGGCATGTTTTACAGAACAATTTGTAATTTGTGGAAGTATTTTATTGTCACAAGAAATGAGAAGACTATAGGTTTTTAATAAAATGATCCATGGAATGCTAAGCATACTATAAAGTGCTGAGAATCTGCACATGCACATAAATATCCTGTATCCAACATATCTTACAAATGCCTCACGTGCACTATGCAAAAAAAACCATTAAAAAAAAAAAAAAAACTAAACAAAAACCATTTATAAAAATTATCTGAATGTATATCTTAACTCCATCTTATGAATAATGCCTAATTTTAAATGATTTTTAATATATTAAATTTATCAGAAATATCCTATATAATTAAAGGCTAATAAGCAAATTGACTGAATGGTAGAAAGACCAGTCACTATGATGCACTGACCACCAGGAGCAGATGTTCAATGCAGGAACTGCCCCCTGGTGGTCAGTGCACTCCCACAGGGGGAACTCTGCTTAGCCAGAAGCAGGGCTCACGGCTGGTAAGCACAGCAGAGCAAGCCTAAGCCATTAGTCAGACATCCCCTGAGGGCACCAGGCCTCTAGTAAATCAATAAATGATTCTATCTTCTGTTTATCATTCATGCCATTAGCAAGAGTTGCTGGCATTAAAACAAACAAACAAAAATAACAACAAAAATCTCTAATGGCAACACTGATTGCAGTATTTAAGCAGCAGAAAACACCTATACAATACACTTATATCACCTTGCATTTGTAGCTTTGTTCTTTCCTCCCACTTTCAACTATTAGATTTTTAGTTACCAGATTATATTATCTGTCATTTTTATTTAAGGATAGTAAATGACACAGGGTAGGCTCAGTATTAAGCTAAACATTCATGACAAAATTTGGGGGAAAACAGATTATTTAGACTGACAGTTTTATCCTCTAGCTTGACCCAAAATTTGGATATTTTTGTTGGTATATAATAAGTAGAACTGGAAATTTTATTTCATAATTTACATGGTTAATTTTAGTTACTTCAATTAAATTTCTTAGTTACATTCTCCCCATTCTTAGGCATAGGGGAGAATGCCCTATAAATACATATACATATATATATATATATATATATATATATATATATATATATATATATGTATATACACACACACACACACACACACACACACACTGAGTAGCCATATTATTATGATCTCTGAACGCATAATAATCTGGACACTCAGTGTGTGTGTGTGTGTGTGTGTGTGTGTGTGTGTATTAGAAGCTTGGTGCATGAATTCGTGCATGGGTGGGGTCTGGCCAGCCTGGCCAGGGGGAGGGACCATGGGCAGTTGGCTGGCCTGCCTGTTGGTCAAACTTCTGGTCAAGGAAACAATTTGCATATTAGCCTTTTATTATATAGGATATATACTAAGTGGCCAGATTATTATGCATTCAGAGATCATAATAATCTGGCCACTCAGTATATATGTATATATACATATATCTATAATTGATTCACAGTTTTAAATATTATACCTTTTATAATAGTTTTAAATATTATACCTTTTATAACAGCATCTAATTTTGATCCAATGACATAACGATATAGTATATATAACCTCAATATTATTATATTTTTTAAGTTGTGACATCAAAGAGCTTTGGGATAGGGTACTGAGCTAATTGTAATGTTACCGAAATTATAAAATATATTAATTGTATCTTTACCTTCCCATTTAGTAAGTATATGTGTGTTAACATCACAATTTTTGAAAATCTAGTCTACTAAACGAATAATAAAGTAAGTCAGTCTTATTTTACCTCTTCTCTCTTTTCGCCTTCTTCCATTGAAATATCATGGTCTGGAACACTGTCAATGCAAGGTAAGTCAGAAGAAGAAATCACAATTTCTTCAGGCTCTTGCATGAACAAAGGTTTTTCCTCTTGCTGAATCCATTCTTGATATACTTTTACCACTTTCCTCATTGCTGCTGCTTCACAAATTGGTAACAAAAATGCCTAGTGAAGAAAAGAAATAATGATACTTTTTAGATGCCTTTTACTTTGCCAAAAACCACTAATACATGTATTTTTATTTTATTATATTGTAAAATGAGGTATAGACCATTTATACCTCATTTAAAAATATATATGTTTTACTGATTTTAGAAAGGAAGGGAGATGAACAAAGATATTATGATGTCTTCCCCTGAACAAAAAGTTCACCAGTTTGATTTCTGATTAGGGCACATGCCCAGGTTGCGGGCTCAATCCCCAGTATACAGGAGGTAATCGATCGATGATGTTTCTCTCTCATCAATGTTTCTCTCTATATATTTTTTCCTTTCCTCTCTCTCTAAAAATAAATAAAAGTATATTTGAAAACAAGATTTTAATTGAAACAAAACAAAATCTAACTCTGAGAATAAAAATCACATGAAACAAATCAACTGAGCTTTTCTAAGCATATAAAGAAAAAGAAAAGTCAGAGTTTTCTTATTTTCTTTTACTTATAACAAATTTATATAAATTAAATATTAAGACAATAATACTTAAGTAATTAAATAAATATTTTAATCTTTTCTTTAGATAATTGCCAGGTTGCCTTAACTTTTTTAAAAGGAAATATGTCCTTGTTACTCACAAGAATACTATATTTTCACATCAAAATAAATTTTTTTCAAATCCTCACCCAAGGATATGTTTCCCGTTGATTTTATGAGAGTTGAAATGAGAGGGAGAGATGGAGAAAAACACTGATGTGAGAGACACACACTGATTGGCTGCCTCCCACATGCCTTTGACCAGGGGTGGGAGCTTGTATCCGAAGTATGTGTTCTTATTTTTATATATATATATATATATATATATATATTTTATTGATTTTACACAGAGAGGAATTGAGAGGGACAGAGAGTTAGAAACGTCGATGAGAGAGAAACATCGACCAGCTGCCTCCTGCACACCCCCCACTGGGGATGTGCCCGCAACCAAGGTACATGCCCTTGACCGGAATCGAACCCGGGACCTTTCAGTCCACAGGCCGACACTCTATCCACTGAGCCAAACCGGTCCTGGCGAAGTATGTGCTCTTGATCAGAATCTAACCTGGGAGTCTTCAGTCTGACAGTTTATCCACTGAGCAAAACCAGCTAGGGCTCAAAAGAATTTTTTTATACAATTCAGGTAACAAAAATAAAACAGTAAAAATATTCTTAATCATACCACCCAAATCCTTTCCTTATGCATGTTTGTGTTTATGTACCATAATATTTCACTGTACTTTATATTTACTAATAGAAATTGAATTAAATTGCTTTTAATTATTCATTTTACAAACACTACCTATTCATTTCAATTCTAAAAATCAGCCTTCCTGGCCCAGTGGCTGGCTCAGTGGTAGAGCATTGGTCTGCAGACTGAAAGGTCCCAGGTTCAATTCCAGTCAAGGGCATGTACATTGGTTGCGGACACATCCCTGGTGGAGGGTGTGCAAGAGGCAGCTGGTCGATGTTTCTCTCTCATCAACGTTTCTAGCTCTCTCTCTCTCTCTCCCTTCTTCTCTGTAAAAAATCAACAAAATATATATTTTTAAAAAAACTAAAAAAAACTTCTGATAAATGCTCTTTTTGCATGAAATTCAACATTTTAAACATAAAAATATCTATGTTAACACCTTCAGAAAATTTGACATATTAACTTTCAAGCATGTTTTCAATACAACAAAATAGCATTTATACCAACTGGTCAATCTAGAAGAAATGGACATATTCCTACAAAAATATGACCTTGCAAAACTCAACCAAGAGGAATAAAAAAATCGGAATAGGCTGATATTTGTGGAGGAAATTGAAGCAGTAATCAAAAACTTCCAACAAACAAAAGCCCAGGACCAGAAGCCTCGCAGTGAAGTTTTATCAAACATTCAAAGAAGAAATAAAACCTATCTTGCTCAGACTATTCTAAAAAATTCAAGAGTTAGGAACACTTCCAAGCTCTTTTTATGAAGCCAGCATTACCCTAATCCCAAAACAATACAAAGAAAAAGAATTACAGGGCAATGTCCCTCATAAACATAGACACCAAATTCTCAACAGAATTCTGGCAAATTGAATCCAACAATACAATAGAAAGATCATACACCATAACCAAGTGGGATTTATTCTGGGGATGTAATGATAGTATAATATCTGCAAATAAATAAATGTGATCCACCACATTAACAAACTTAGAGATAAAAACCATATAATCATATCCATTGATACAGAAAAAACATTTGACAAAATCCAACACCCTTTCTTGATAAAACTCTCAGCAATGTGGGAATAGAGGAATCCAACCTCAACATAATAAAAGCCTTATATGGACAAACCTACAGCTAACATACTAAACTCATTTCCCCTAAGAACAGGAAGAAGACAAGCATGCCCACTTTCACCACGCCAAATCTTTTGATAAAGTTCTATAAGAGCTGCCATAGCAATCAGATAAGAAGAAATAAAAGGTATCCAAATTGGAAAAGAAGAAGTATAACTGTTCTTATTCACAGATGGCATGATACTATACATAGAAAACACCAAAGACTCCATAAAAAAACTACTAGACTTAATAAATGAATTCAGTAATGTAGCAGGATACAAAATTAACAACCAGAAATCTATGGCCTTTTTATACATCACACAAATGAACTCACACAAAGGTAAACGGGGGGAAGAAAGAGGGGGGGGGGGGGAAACCAATCCAATTTACCATTGCACCAAAAAAATTAAGATACCTAGGGATAAACTTAACTAGGAACATAAAAGACTTGTACTTGGGAAAACTACAAGACATTGAAAAGGGGATACAAGCACATAGAGAAGATCTAGGGAGAGACAAAGCTGTATCACTTATAGCTGTGGTCAGCAAACTGCGGCTCGTAAGCCACATGTGGCTTTCTGGCCCCTTGAGTGTGGCTCTTCCACAAAATACCACGGCTTGAGCGATCTATTTTGAAGAAGTGGTGCTAGAAAAAGTTTAAGTTTAAAAGATTTGGCTCTCAAAAGAAATTTCAATCATTGTACTGTTAACACATTTTTGCGGGAAACGAGTAAACTCGTCGTATCGCTTTCTATACCAAAGCGCGGGAGTCGAGTTACCTCGTTTTGTTCCGCTAAGCGGTGGGGCACGGGAAACTTGTAAACAAGGGCGCCAAACGGGTGACGGACTACACATTATCTATTGTCAGCGGCACCCTATGCGTCTACCTGCCGATACAATAAATTTGAAGTGGAAAGATATCACTGTGAAAGAAATGAAGAAGTTTTGGGGGCTTGTAATACTTATGGGACAGGACAGACGAGATGATTATTGGAGCACGGAACCGTGGATGGAGACACCGTGTTTTCCAAAAACGATGAGTAGAGACAGATTCCGTCAAATATGGAGGGCCTGGCATTTCAACAACAACGAAAATGTGCAAGACAACTCGGATAGACTTTGCAAAGTCAGACCATTATTGGATTTCTTTCTTCCCAAATTCAAAGAAGTTTATAAGCCTATTCAGCAGTTGTCTTTAGATGAAGGCATAGTACCGTGGAGGGGAAGATTATTCTTCAGGGTTTATAATGCAGGAAAAATTATAAAATATAGGATTCTGGTGCGTATGGTATGCGAAAGCAATACTGGCTACATATGCAATTTCAAAATTTATTGCAGTGAAAAAAAGAGATTAATCGAAACAATTCAAACAGTGGTATCTCCTTATACAGATTTATGGCACCATGTATACATGGATAATTATTACAATAGTGTTCAAAACAGCGAGATACTCTTGGGGGGGGGGGGGGGATCAGAATTTGCGGTACCATACGGAAAAATGGAGGACTTCCAGACTGTCTAAAAACAGTTTCATTGAAAAATGGTGAAACAACTTTCAGAAGGAAAAAGGATATTTTGCTGCAAGTCTGGCAATCAAAAAAGACAGTGTTTCTCATATCCAGCATGTACACAAAATTACTACATTCTAGGTAAACAGAAAAAAATACAATCATATCCAGCATTCACTCTGCTGAGATGAGGGAGAGTCAAAAACATCGATAGAAGGACAACACAAAAAAATTATAAAGCCAAATGCTCTGATCAATTAAACCGATACATGAAAGGCGTAGACTGGGCGGATCAGTACTTGTCGTATTATTCAATTTTACACAAAACAGCTAAATGGACCAAAAGAATGGCTATGTACCTTATAAATTGTGCCTTATTCAATTCATTCGTAGTATATAATTCGGTTAATTCGGCTAACAAAAAGAAATATCAAACTTTTTTAAAGGACATAGCGGTCCATTGGCTAACTGATGAAATTTCGATAGATGAACCAGCCGAACCTGTACCATCGACATCTAGGAGCAAGGCTTGCAAATCGGATCCACCAGGGAGACTGTCAATGGACATGAGGAAACATACATGGAACCTCTAGTTGGAACTGGCAGAAATAAAAATGTTTTACGTCGTTGTCGTGTGTGTGCCGCTCATAAACTACGCAGTGAGACGCGGTACATGTGCAAGTTTTGTAATGTACCCCTGCACAAAGGAAAGTGTTTCGAACACTACCACACAGTGAAGCACTATTACTAGGTTATAGTTTTTTTTATAAGATCTGTTGAAAATTTCGAAAAAATATCGTAATTTGTATAAATAAAATTATTTTGATTGTATTTTTTTCTGTTTACCTAGAATGTAGTAATTTTGTGTACATGAAAAATAGAATAACACATATTTTGCAAAGTAAATAAATAGAGACCTCTTTTTAAACTAAAACACTGAAAGTTTCATAGAAAAATATCAAATAGATCAAAAGATATGAATATTTTACGGAAAGTCTAATTTTGGCGAGAAAATGTCAAAAAAGCCCCGCGTTACGACGCGATTTGGCGGGAAAATGCCCGATTACAAAGTGTTAATATTTGGCTCTGTTGACTAATGACTGTCAACCACTGTCCTAGGGCAATGGAGACTAAGAAAATAAATAAGCAAATGGGACTACATCAAAATAAAAAGCTTCTGCACAGAAAAAAAAATAAACAAAACAATCAACCGAACAACAAGAAACCCCCCTGCATGGAGAACTAACGCTATAATATTTCAGAGAATGGCTTAATTTCCAAAAAGGAACTCTGCTTTACTGCTGGTGGGAATGCAGACTGGTACAGCCACTATGGAAAACATGATGTTTCCTCAAAAAACTGAAAATGGAACTGTCATTTGACCCAGTAATACCACTTCTATTAATAGTATTGTAATATATCCCAAGAAAACAGAAACACCAATCAGAAAGGATATATGCACCCCTATGTTCATAGCAACACAATTTAAAATAGTTAAGATTTGGACACAGCCTAAATGCCCATTAGCAGATGAGTAGATTAGAAAACTGTGGTACATCTACACAATGGAATACTATGCTGCTACTGCAAAAAAGAAGGAATTCTTACGATATGCAACAGCATGGATGGAACTGGAAGCATTATTCTAAGTGAAATAAGCTAGTTAGTGAAAGAAAAATACCACATGATCTCACTCATTTGTGGAATATAAAGAACATTATAAACTGATGAACAAAAATAGATAACAGAGGCAAAGAAGCATCGAATCAACTGTCAAACTACAGTGGGAAGGCTGGGGAGGGTTGGGTGGTGGGGGGGAGGTGAGAGATCAACCGAAGGACTTGTATGCATGCATCTAAGCATAACCAGTGGACACAAGACCCTAGGGGCGAGGGGGAAGGCATGTGCCAAGGGGTAGGGGAGGCCGGGGGAAGGACAATGGGGGAAAAAGGAAGACATATGTATTACTATTTTTAATACTTTAAACAATAAAATAAAGTTTTCATATGGTTTCTTTTCCACAAAATTTCTATGTAATTGAGAATGTGCAGTTAGGAATTTCTAGTTATCTTTATGCAAAATAGCTTCCACTTTTTTCATTTCTCTCCTTTATTTTATTCCCCAAATAATATATGCCTTAAGCAACTTTAATTTCAGAATGCCTTACAGGACAAACTAAGCCCCTATAGGGAGGATAAAGGCATTTAAAACATTGCTTCTTATTTTTATAAACCACTTTATTGATCAGAAAGTGAAAGATTAAATGATTTTATTATAATTTATTAATCAAATGATAGAAAAGTTTCAAATCCCAAAGTAACTAAGAAAATTTTTCTGAAAACAAGTAAGAGGGAGTAGTTATTAAATTAAAACCATCATAAAATAAAAATATAAAATACTGAACAACTACATGTAGTAAAATTTAAAAACTAAGTATGAATTTTAAAAGCCATTTTTAAGAAGAGTAAATTTTAAAGAGCTAAAAATCAGTACAGTATATTCAATATTAAAGACAAGTCTGTATTACAAATTAAAAATACTGAGAGGTACTTTACCTGACGAAATATCTCTGTGACAAAGTTTACATTACTTCTTTTAGAAGAAAAAACTCTGCGAACTATTTCAATGTCTGTGAGATGTTCTTCATCAATACTACAAAGGCTAGATGAGCTAGGTTCTCGCTCCGTCAGAGTGCTTGTATTAGAATGAGACTGTTCTGGTTCTGTAGTCCTATCTGTTTTATCAGTATTATCGGTTTTATTTTCTTCTCTGGATACCAAACTAGCTGCTGCTCTCTAAAATAAAAAAAGAAGTGGGGAAAATATAATCATTAACAAGATATTCTTTCTTCTAATAACTAATACTAAGAGAATCCAAAGAATTTATTCGAAATAATAAAATGGCAATAAAAGTAATTCAACATCTGAGTGATACAGTGATAGTCACCACAAGTCATCTACCCATCTATAATTAGATTTGTTTTTCAGCATATCTGCAAAACAAATAAGTTAATAATTAAAGCTGGGTAAGAAATTAATGCAGATAGAGTTAGCCAGAACTTCAATAATAAGTAAAAAACATAATACTGGACTGTCTGTTTAATAAAGCCTTAATGTTTAAAATCATCTCTAGACAAAAATTACACAAGTAAAAACTTTTTTAACAAAAAACAAAGAAGTGGAAGAAAATTTATAACAGAAATTGAAATGAAGCCAAAAGGTTTTCTAAGGAAAACTCCTGGGTTGTAATAACTAGGAACGACAGAGGTTCAACCAACCGAATTCAGTCCTGCTTCTGCTGCAGGAGTGGTGCCCCAGCACTGACTCCTGAGGGGCCTGTGAATCAGGGCAAGAGAGAGACCTGAAGAGAGAAGCAGGGACTGATCCATTTCTTCTGTGGCAGCTTTTGATCAGCACTTGCTCTTTCTCTCCCAGTCTGATTAGCAACCGTGCCTCCAACGGGGCTGCTGATCTGTCCTGCCTTTCTGATCAGGCCCTATTAATAGGTCCAGAGATGCTGACTGGCATAAGAAAAAAACAATCAAAACCAACTGTGGGTGCTATGACGAACCAATGGCTGCCTAGAGGCGAAGCTTCTGACACTGACTGGCATAGAAACTGACCAATCAGAACCAAATCTGGGGGCTATGAGGAGTCAATGGCCGCCTACGAGGTAGAGCTTTTGACGCTGAATGGCATAGAAACCAACCAATCAGAACCAAATCTGGGTGCTGTGGGGAGCCATTTGCTGCCTAGGAGACGGAGCTTTTTATGCTGACTGGTATTGAAATAGACCAATCAGAACCAAATCTGTGTGCTGTGGGGAGCCAATGGCTACCTAGCAAGAGGAGCTTTTGACTCTGGCATTGAAACTGACCAATCAGAACCAAATCTGGGTGCTGTGGGGAGTCAATGGCATAGAAACTGACCAATCCAAATTAAATTGGCCAGCAGATGATGGCATTTTTGTTGAGTTAATTTGCATACTAATTCCTGATTGGCTGGTGAGCATAGCGGAGGTAGTCAATTTATACATTTTTCTTTTATAGGATTAGCATTTAGAGAAAAAAAATTTTTTTTAATATATTTTATTGATTTTTTTACATAGAGGAGGAGAAAGGGATAGAGAGAGAAACGTCGATGAGAGAGAAACATCGACCAGCTGCCTCTTGCACACTCCCTACCAGGGATGTGCCCGCAACCAACGTACATGCCCTTGACCGGAATCGTACCTGGGACCTTTCAGTCCGCAGACCGACACTCTACCACTGAGCCAAACCAGCTTCGGCAGCATTTAGAAAATTTGACTTATATTCCCCTTACCCTTCTATTTATATGGCTGTGTGTGAAGGCCTGCAGGGGAGGGCAGTTGGGGGCAAGATCAGGCTGGCATGGAAGGGCCACTGGGGGCAAGATCAGGCCAGCAGGGGAGAGCAGCTGGGGGCAACCAGGCTGGGAGTGGAGGGTAATGAGGGGTGATATCAGGCCGGCAGGGGGAGGGAAGTTGGGGGCAACCAGGTGGTTGTGAGAGAGATGTCCAACTGCCGGGTTAGGCCCTATCTCTCACGGGGTTCCCCAATTGGGAGAGGATGCAGGCTGGGCTGAGGGAACCCCCGCTCCATGCACAAATTTCATGCACTGGCCTCTACTATTCTAATAACAATATAATTTTTACCGTGACTGGAGATGAAAAAAAAGTATTAAGGTGGTGATGAAGAAATGACTACCATGTTGTATAATAGGAGAAGCACTATTCTGGTAAGTATCATAAATTACTTTGGTAAGTTACTCGATTTTTGGTCTCAGTATTGCCATCTATATAAAATAAGGTTTTAGAAGAATGATCTCAAATATGCCTGCCCAATAAAAAAACAACAACTATGACTTCAGTCTATTAAGTTCTGGGATAAGAAAAATAGTTCTGCTTGAGTTTCTACATTTAATAATTCTTTGTAGAGAACAAAGTTTTTGGGGAAACACACATAGCCATATAAATAGAAGGGTAAGGGGAATATAAGTCAAATTTTCAAAATGCCAATCCTATATAATAAAAGAGAAATGTATAAATTAACCATACCTCTGCTATGCTCACCAGCCAATCAGGAATGAGTATGCAAATTAACCCAAAAAATGGCGGGTTAATTTGCATACACAGGCACTAGGCAGAGAGCAGAGCAGGAGACCTGGCGGAGAGTGTACTGTAGAGGCTTGGGTAGCCAAGCTCCCCGGGCCACCAGATGGAGAGCAGAGAGGGAGAGCTGGCAGTTTGGAGGACTTGGCAGAGCAGGAAGAGAAAACCCACAGTGCAGGGAGCACCAGGAATGCTGTGAATCTTAGTTGTGGTGGCTGACGGATCTCCCAGACACTAAAGCAAAGTGAGCCTGGAGCAAGTTACCGTTGTGGTGGAGGATGAAAGGAAAGTAAAGGTGAGAGACGTAAGTAAAATCAGAGTGTCTAGGAAAAATTAAAGGGAAGATATCCTAAAACTTCCAGGAAATCTTCACCAATGAAGCAAAGAAAAAAATGCCTCTATTATTCTGTGAGCAACAAACCAAACTGGGTTGGGGTCTCAGACAATTCGCTCATATGATTTCACAGATAGACAGAAACTCCCGGATTGGAGAGGGCTCCCCTGAGGGTTTATTATGGTAAATAAACTCCCAGACTAGAGAGGTTCCAGGTCAAGCTGAGGAACCACCCTCCCGCCCCATGCATGAATCTTTGTACACCAGGCCCCTAGTAAACTAATGAACACATTATAATTCCACTTAATTTTTAAAAGATTTAAGAAATCATACAAAATACACACACAGTATAAGATTTTTATAACTGAGGAAATCTGAGAAAAGAAAAATAAAATAGTAATATGGACAAGTTCAGGGAAAAAGCACATTGAGGGTAAAATTAAAAGTGGAAAAGAAGAAAACTTTAATTAAAAATAACTGATTTTGCTGAAACTGGTTTGGCTCAGTGGATAGAGCGTCGGCCTGCAGACTGAAAGGTCCCAGGTTCGATTCTAGTCAAGGGCATGTACCTTGGTTGCAGGCACATCTCCAGTAGGTGGTGTGCAGCACAGGAGGCAGCTGATCGATGACTCTCTCTCTCTTCGATGTTTCTAACTCTCTATCCCTCTCCCTTCCTCTCTGTAAAAAAATCAATAAAAATATATTTTAAAAAATAAATAAAGTAACTGATTTTTTGCTAAGTTTTTTAAAAAAATGAATTTAAGTATCTAACAAAAAAAACTGATTTTTTTAAATATTAGCTCCTTCTTTGAAGAATTGTATAACACTTCTGGATTCTTTGTTTATTGGGGGGGAAGAGAAGGAATAAAATGGTGACAGAACTTTAAATCAGCATTCTATGAATGCCTAGAAATCTAACAAGAATTATAAAGGTCCTACAACCATTTCATTGCAAACTTTCCAATTGCAGGAATTTATTGCAAAATTCACAATATTTTTATTCATACAATTCAGGATATTTTTAGTACTATAAAATTAAACCTAAACTACAGAAATAAATAAAAGCTGAGACTTGGCTCTGGTTGGTGTGGCTCGGCTGGAGCATTGTCCATACACCAAAAGGTGGCAGGTTCAATTCCCTATCAGGGCACATACCCAGGTTTCGGGTTCAATCACTGTTCTCCAGGCCCAGGTGGGAGGCAACCAATTTATGTTTCTCTTTATCTCTCTCTCTTCCTCTCTCTCTAAAATCAATAAAAATTGTTAAAAAGGGGGGAAAAAGCTGAGACTCAGAAATGACTGAAATTATCTTCTATACCTTATAAGTTTTATATTTTTTGCTAAGAAAACTATTGGTCCTATAATTATTATTAAAATTTAGATTTATAAAATATATATAAAATAATTTATACAAAATAAATATTATTGTTTTATTTAAATGTGTTCTACTCCTAAGGCAAATCAGTGGACAAATCTCTTAAGCCATTTCTAACTTTAGCAAGTTATGTGTGTATTACCTGAATATTCTTTGGCAAGATTTCACCTTCCATCCCAGGAATATGAGGTCCTGTGTGTGGCTTTGGCTCAAGCCAAAAAGAAACCAGCCAACGAATGACAATTACACGAGCCTTAATGAAAGGCTCCTTCGTACAATATATTGCTTCGTTGGTTTCAGCATCCTTTTTTATCATGACATAATGTGGCTTTGGTCTCATCTGTGGAATATCTATGCAAAATAAAGGAGGAAAAAACAAAATAAGAAAGGAACTGTGCTCAGATAAATGTACATTTTTTAATATTTGAGAAACCCCTGTGAAGATACCCTGATTTCAAAAGTAGATTTAGAACAAAAATGACATTTTAAAATAATTTGAGCCCTGGTGGTTTGGCTCAATGGATAGAGCCTTGGCCTGAGGACTAAAGGGTCCCAGGTTCGATTCAGGTCAAGGGCACATGCCTAGGTTGTGGGCTCAATCCCCAGTTGGGGGCATGTAGGAGGCAGCTGATCAATGAATCTCTCTCATCATTGATATTTCTGATTCTCTCTCCCTCTCCCTTCCTCTCTGCGACCAATAAAAATATATTTTTAAATAAAAATTAAAAATTTTGCTACATATAAGCAAAGAATCCAAAAGAGTAAAACTATATGTTGCTGATATATAGAAACATGTCCTTTCGAAAAATATCATGAAAAGGCTCAATGAATCCTCTCTAAAAACAGAAACTTCAGAGCCATTTAAAATTAATGAAAGCTCATTTCAATTAACCTAAGATTGAGACATATTTTGAAATTATACAAAACATGAGCTTTTTAAAGCAAATAATATTCCCAATTGCAAAGGCTTGCTACCTTGACGAATTTAAGACATTTCTACTACCTATAATGGTTTTGTCTATACCTGTTAGTTGCCTAAACTTGGCAGAGCTTAAAATATAAACATCTTTCTGCAAAAAGGACATTTTCACATAGGACTACCAATGCTTTCTATATAGAGCAGATGTCTGCTTCTAACCTAAGATTTGTCCAGGAGACTCTAGCTTTAAGGCCCCAACAGACATCTTGGCACGGCTACTAAATACTGGACAAGACATGATCAAAATATATTACAATATAATTATTCATAAAGAATTGAATAAGATATACTAAATTGAACTGTTGGGGAACCTTAAAAAGAAAATTTATAATATAGAGAGACCTATCTCATCCAATAGGTGAGATCCAGAGAATAAGCTTTTTAATAAAAAATCTTTTCACTCACAGTGAAAATGTCCTAGTAATAAGTTTCCACTTTGGATATAATCTACATCTCTAATCAATCAATACAAATATTAAATGTTATGAGTTTTCTGCAGGTAACAAATGTCAACTTTACACTGAGGCATGTTTTATTCTTAACTTTACATTGAAGTATGTTTTATTCGTATGCATGATCTTTTAGAAAATTCCAAAGGCTACCTACCAAGCACAGGATGATATAAACTGCTCTCCTTGCACATGTTTGGAAAAATGTAAGACAAGTAGTACTTCTTAAAATGTGAAAACAAAAATGAAAATCCCCTTTCTTGATTTTCTTTGTTCTTCCATTCTAAACTTTTTACCTAAAAGATACAATCAGAATCATTCCAGGAAAAGGAAACAAACAATTATCTGTGATAAACTTATAAAAGGTTGCTTAAGCAATTTAATAAATTATTACACTATGAAGATATACTAATATAGACATATGTGTACATATATATTTATATATTATACACACACACTACATATATATAAACATGCATAAATTTACAAAGAAGAAATTTTAAAAACTGGCCTAATGACACACAAAAATACATAATATTCCAAAAATCTTACAAGTTAAAATGTGCTCTGAAAAACATTCAAAGTTTATTTAAACTCATTTATATTTATGACAAAGATGCTAATGTTCTTTCCTCTTCACCTTTTCTAGAATAGTTCAGTCTAAAAGTTATACAAAATATGTGAGGAGGTGGGGGATAGATATAAAAGCAGAGGCCAGCAAGTACAGTTAAGCAGAGTCTGACAAGTAGGGCATCCATAATGGGAGTATTGCAGAGGCAGCAATAGCCTAGTGGGGACTCCGAGTAAGAGAGATGAGGGCAGTGTCCAAAAAAATATGCACCTGAAAATTTTAAAAGTACAAAGAAGTTTAGGAGTAAATTACACTTCCCCACTCTCACCCCATTCTCAGCCCACCTCTCTAGTTGCTGCCTCTTAGCAGACTGTTCCTTAATCAAAGACGTTATATTTTCATTTAAAGTACCACAGCTACTAATTATAAATGAAAGTATTAGAAAGTAAACTCAACTGACTCAGATAAGAAGGTACATCCATGAATAGTCTACTGTAAAAATTTCTCCTTCTAGCTTCCTTTCTAAGAGCTTCAAATGTCTCCAATAATTTTTATTTCAGACAAGACATATTAACATATTTTCAAAGCTAAAAATGTCACTCCTTCTTTAGGATAATAAGCAAATATCTACTATAACAGAATAATGGTAAAAGGGGAAGGATTATCCACACAGGATAATAATGGGGATAATATCAAAGAAAATAACATGTACCTGAATTACTATGTATTTTAAAAGTGCTTCAAGAAAATAGCTTGTGAGATCTTCTTGTCCTTTATCTCCTGATTGTGGGGGGACAAGAGGAGTGATTTCCTCTATAGTAACTTGAGCTATCCAAAGACAAAAAAAAAAAAAAGCTTAGTATAATTACAAAATAAATTTAACAATGCAATAATATAACCCAAATAAAATTTAACTGCAAAACATATACAATATTGCTTGAAAACATTCTAATGATTAAACCTTGACCTAAATCTGTCATTCTGAAAGTCCATCACAACAAACATAAACTTTAATAATCAACTCTTTCATGAACCCTTAATTGAGGTAATATAACACAGGACTGGACAAAGAGATATGTAGGAATTAAGAGTAAATCAGCCGGGACCGGTTTGGCTGATGGATAGAGCGTCGGCTTGGGGACTGAAGAGACCTGGGTTCAATTCCGGTCAAGGGCATGTACCTTGGTTGCGGGGATATCCCCAGTAGGGGGTGTGCAAGAGGCAGCTGATTGATGACTCTCTCGTCGATGTTTCTAACTCTCTATCTCTCTCCCTTCCTCTCTGTACAAAGTCAATAAAATATATATTAATATTAAAAAAAAAAAAAAAGAGTAAATCACAGCCCTAACCAGTTTGGCTCAGTGGCTAGAGTGTTGGCCTGTGGAATGAAGGGTCCCAGGTTCTATTTCGGTCAAGGGCATGTACCTTGGGTACGGGCACATCCCCAGTAGGGGGTGTGCAGGAGGCAGCTAATCAATGTTTCTCTCTCATCAATGTTTCTAACTATCTATCCCTCTCTGTAAAAAAAAATCAATAAAATATATATATATATTTTTAAAGAGTAAATAACATCTCGCCCTTGCTGGTTTGACTCAGAGGATAGAGGGTTGGCCTGCAGACTAAAGGGACTTGGGTTCGATTTCAGTGAAGAGCACACACACCTCAGTTGTAGGCTCAATCCCCAGCCCTGGTCAGGGCTAGTGTGGGAGGCAACCAATCAATGTGTCTCTCTCACATCAATGTTTCTCCTCTCTGTCTCCCTCCCTTCCACTCTCTCTAAAAATCGACGGAAAGATATCCTCAGATGAGCATTAACAAAAAACAAACACACACACACACACAAAGAGTAAATAAAATTTTCCTTGGCAAAGACCTTCTTATGATATTTTAAAATTCACATTAAGAGCATCTATTATAAAAGTTCCATAATAAGATGAGATACATAAATAAGAATGTGCTCATTCATAAATGAAAAGTCAATCTGATTACTCTAGGTAAAGATCATGCTTACTATTTAAAGTAGTTCCTTTATTCAAAGGATGAAATACTATTTCCCCTCTCAAAAAAAAAGAAAAAGAAAAATTAACATCTTAGTTCCTTGATTACAAAAGTGCACTTATAAAATAAAAACACTTTTATTAAAAATAAAAACACTTTTATATAAAATTAAAATACTTTTCCTTCTCAGATGTTCAAAAACATTCATGAAAACAAAAGCAAAACCAAGAAAAATCAACCCACAACTAGCTGAATTCTTTTCAATGTTTCATAAGCAGTAGTACCTGGGTTTAGTTCAGGCAGATCTCTAAATCCATCCCTTAGTAACTACCAACTAAGTAATTAAGCTCACAGAAATGAATTTTTTTTACAATCCTCTTTACATCAAGTGAAACACACTTATGCTTTTTAAAATATAAATTTTTTTTTATTAACTTTCGGAGAGAGGGATAGAGATAGAAAGGTAAAAACATCAATGAGAGAGGATCATCATCAACGAACTGCCTCCTGCATGCCTCTGACTGGGGATCAATCCTGCAACCCTGGCATGTACCCCGACTAGGAATCCAACTGTAACCTCTTGGTTCCTGGTTGATACTCAACCACTGAGCCACATGGACTGGCCATACATGTGCTTTAATGCACATCCAAATTAACTCAAGGATTCAAGATGATACGTGAGAATCAGAAATTAGAGATAAATGTGAACAGCCTACATTAACTATGTATTTTTTATGCTTTGACACCAGGGCCTTGATGGCCTTGGACAGAGTAACTCTTCCACAACTACTTATTTCCCAGAGATAGAAAAGATCACCCTTTATATGCAAACCAATCAACCCGGAGTCCACATATCCTTTGCCTCCTTTACTGGGCTCACACTCAGGGCCACTAATCCTGACCTCATCACCCTAAGGCCAAGAACCAGACAACTAGGGACAACTCACCTTCCTCACTCCACCCGACCAACCTTGGTACTTCCCAGTACGGCTACCCTCCCTGATGTGGCATGCCCTCTCCTTTTAGGAACTCTGAATAACAAATATTTTTTTTTAATGACAATTGTCTCCTGATCTGTTGTTGGCCTCACCATACCTGAATGATAATGAAACCTATAGTTTAAAATATGGCCTTGGATTACTGTTAATGTACAAACATTTAAAAATATATATATTATCAAACTACACAGAAAATTTTAAATAGTAATGTATAAGATCTCATTAATCTTACTTTCTTGAAGATTGAGTGGAGGATTAATGAGATTATCTAAAGTTCGAGGTCCATATTCGGATTGTGGTGCCGAAAATCCAGGGATTAAGCATGAAAACATCCAAAGCTGTTCTTTGCTACAGTTATTCTGAAGAGCTTGCAGCCATAACAAGAAAAGACGAACACCTTCCCGCCGGATCTAAAATAAAATTAAAAAAAACAAAACACAATATTTTACTTGTCATGGAAATACTTTCTGCTTTTTAAGGCCAAAATCCTCTAGAACAGGATTATAGAATGATACTTTCCAAAAGATAGGTAGGAAAAGTAGGAGGTAGAAGAAAGAAAGGAAGGGTAGATATAACACTCATGACATTTCTTAAACCCTCATTATCTGTAAATCTGAATTCACTAATTTTGGACAAATAAAGAATGAACTTAGCCTGTAACTACTTAAAGCCAACAGGCAATTTTTTTTTAATAAATCTTTATTGTTCATATTATTACAAAAGTTCATTTTTCCCCCTCCACCAGGTTCCCACCCCACCCTCTGCCCTTTCCCCACCCCCCCATTGTCCTCATCCATAGGTGCACAGTTTATGTTCAGTCTCTTCCTATACCCCCCTCTCCCCCTTTCCCCAAGAATCATCAGTCCGCTCCCCTTCTATCAGGTAATTTTTTTTATTCTATAATTTCCAATTGTAAAAATCAGAAAATTGTTTCCTTGTTTATTTCCCTCTCCTTCCCTCCTTTACATAACTACCAGTCTAATCCAAGAAGCAAAAAGAAAGAGGGCCAAAACAGTTTCTTGCTATAATGAGTTCAGTAAAAGGAGGACTGATTATGGGGATCTTGGTGAGTTAACTCAACGTTATTGTTCTTAAAAAGTTTTCACCATCTGAAATTATCTCATTTACTTATCATTTGCTGCTGAGCTGCAAAGCAGGAATTTTGGCCTATTACTATATTCTAAGTACCCAGAACAATGCCTGTACACAAAAGACAATAAATATTTCAATCAATGAATGAATTCTCACCCAGGAAAAGATTTTTTTATTTTTTTATTCAACCTCGGATAAGCAAAACACAAAGTTCTTCAATAACCTAACCTCACTGTTAGCTTTGGAAATTATCCTAACACAGCTCTGTTCACAAGCACTGTCATTTACTTAACTGTTTCCACCTCATGGTTTAGTCAGATAGCAAGATAAAGATATAGGAAGGCTTTTTCCTTTGTTCTGTTGCAATCACCTCTTGATGTCAAAAGTACCTACAATATGACTTTTATCTAACCTACAGCAAGATACTTTTGACTGGGTAGCTTCACTTACTAGAGTACAATGAGATAATAAAAAATAAAAAATGTATATACATTCCCTATTTTCCTCTACAACTAAGAATAGCGGTGATAAATGAAGAATAATTTGCTGAATGACTAACTTTTGTCTTCTGGAAACCACAGAATAAAGTATTTCTGGCAATGGCAAAAGTAAAATAGTTGTTTTTAACAATAATTTTTCAATAGCCTGGTCAAACTAGTATGTATTTTCATAATGAATATGTTGCTATATTTTAAGTGAATTCAGTTCAATTAAGTGAACTACAGGTAATTCAAAATTCTTTAAAAAAAAGTTGATACAGGAAAATTACTATATGCTCTACTTAGTTTTTAAAGTTATAGAAAAGAAATATAATAATATACCTTCAAGGAGTTTCCTGTGTGAAGTAGTTTCTTTAAAATCAATCCTGAAAAGAAAACATTATTTTAAATATTCACATCTTAATTTTTCTAAATGTCAGAGTTCTCGGTCAGACTTGAAAACACTTTAAAACAAGTCCATGGCAACCTCCAAATTATTCTTGGTGATCTTGCTATCCCTCTGGCCATAATCTTGGGGCCAGAAGGGTATATAGAAAGTCACCTTTTTAACACATGGCTTACTGAAATTAAACATGATATCACCTATTGAAATAAATTCTAAGCCCCCAAATAATATTTAATATAACAATCTATGTATATGTCTTATTTATACTGAGAATATAATTGAATATTTCTCTATGAATAATTCAAATAAAAAGCCACTATAGAAAATTTCCATTTAGCACATAAACATCTATAACTCTAATATTTTCTTTAAAATATTTCCATTGTATTAATTTTTTCAAAATATTCAAAACCATCAAGATATTCAAAACCACACCTTTTCTTTTAAATTACATGTTTCAAAAGTACAATAAAATACTAAAATAACATTTAACATGTATCCAGAGGTCCCCATTTTTCTGAACAAATCTCAACAGTCCCATATTTCTTACTTTCAAAAATTCACTTATTCACATTATTTATAATGCTCTGCCTAATATTATGATAGTACAAATATCACTGAAGCCTCCTATGAATCCATCCTGAGTCATTTTCCAGAAGAAACCATTACCCAGATTTTAGTATTATTTCCAAAAATATTTTATATTAACACTTATTGGTAAGTCCATAAAATATATAGTTTTATATGTTTCAAAACTTATACCAGTAACAACAATTTGTTCCACAGCTATCTAATCCTGCATTTTTTAATTTGTTCTATGAACATTTATGTATAAATTATCAAGCCTGTGACTTTATTTGGTTTAAGTTTCATTTGTCAAAAATAAGGTTTAATATTTCCACAAACTGTGTTGATTTATCTGCAATTCCCTTCTTTATGCTTGAACAAACTCAATTTCTTAAAGTAATACTATGTAAATACCAGTCATCAGCTCTATTAAAAATCTATTGGATTTCTGACTTGACAGTGTTGTTTTTACGGGATGGTAAAGCCTCTGCAGAAAGTTCCACCAGGAGGATGGTGACGTTTTTACTACCTTTTCACTCCCTTTTTGGGGCTACCTGGTCACCCTTTTGTAGGTCAGCCCCAGGAAGGCCAGAGGGGGGGAGGGAGGAGGGGCACAGGGTCATTCCAACCAGAAATTTCTAACTTTCTTATTTTAAATTATTAATCCTCTTCTGCTGTGGTTTTATGTTGTCCGTTTTTTAATTGTGTTTTTTTTTATTTTTACCTCTTGTGTATATGAAGCAAATTTATAGGAAAATATGTATGTACTTTATGGAATAAATTTTAAGAACTAAAATATATTTTATTTGAAAGTAACAAACCTTTAATCTTACGTAGCTAAATTACTGATTATATATTTGCTGAGCTGACTTAAGGGTTCAGAAAATTGTATCAATCGTTTTATTTTTTGACTCCAAAGCCTTTTTAATAAAGTATTTTTATGATGTGAACGAAAAAACAAACAAAACAAAAAAAACAAAAAACACAGTTTGGTATCAGTATTAGATCCTGAAACAGAAAAAGAACATAAGTGAAAAACTAATAAAATATGAGTAAGTTCAAAGTTTAACTGTAAAAACAAAACAAAAACCTACATACATAGTACATACAAAACAAGTCATTCTATCTAAGTTGCTCTTCACATCAAACATTACCTTCTGAAGTTTATATTGATATATGTACTCTAGTTATTTTAAATGCTGTATTATTCTATGCCATTGTGTGAATATACCATTCTTCTACTTAATGCTAAGACATCAGGCTCGTTTTCAAAATTTTGCTATTCCCAAGAATATTATTACAAATGTGCTTGTTCATGACTCACTTTATGCATGAGTTTTCCCAGGATATATAAACAGAAACAAAACTACTCACTTTCAACTCAACTAAATATTGAAAAACTCTCTCCAAAGTATTTGAGAAAAATAGCAATCCTATTAACAGTGTATAAGGATGCTGTGGTAACAATTCTTGACAACACAAGAAACTGACAAAAGCTCTATTATTGCCAGTCTGATGAGTGTTAAATATCTTAACAATGTTTTCATTTGATATCTCCTAGTGATATTCAGCATCTTTTCATTTAGCCATTCAAGTTTCTGCATATTTTTCAGTTCGGTTATTTTCTTTTGTTTCACATGAGAGCTCTTCATACATACTGACTACTAATTCTATGTCACTTCTAAGAATTGGAAATATATTCTCACAAACAACTCAACCATGTTTTTGACTGAGGGGATTGTATCTTCTGATGTACAAAAGTTTTACATTTCAATATAATCAATTCAACATGTTTTTCTTTTTACATGTACTTACTATATCTAATTAAATACTATCCTACCTTAAAGTTACAAAGATAAACCACACAGTTTCTTCAAAAAATTAAAAATGGAACTGTCATTTGAGCCAATGATCCCACTTCTAGAAATATATCCCAATAATCCCAAAACACCAGCCAGAAACAATGTATGCACCCCTATGTTCATAGCAGCATTGTTTACAATAGCTAAGATCTGGAAATAGCCCAAGTATCTGCCAGTAGATGAGTGGATAAAAAAAGCTTTAAAAAAGAAAGTTCTATTATCCTTTGAGATAGAAGGAAGGGACCTGAAGATTATGCTAAGTGAAATAAGCCAATTAGAGAAGGACAAATATCTCATATATACAACCTAATGAACAAAATAAACTGACAAATAAAATAGAACCAGTGGAGTGAAAACATGAAACTGACTAATAAACTAATTACAGAAACAAAGAGAAAATGGGAAGAAATTAAACAAAGAACTTATATGCATATACAGTATTCACTGCCCATGGACACAGACAATTTAGAGTGATGAAAGCCTTGGATGAGGTGGGGACCATGGGGAAGGGAGCAATGGGAGGAAAAGGGGAGATATCTCTAATACTCACAAGAATAAAGATTAAAGGAAAAAAAGTTTTGCAGTGTTGTTTTTCAAGTTTAGGTCCTGAAATTTTTTTCTGTGTAGAGCAATAAAACTTTCTTGCACAGATGGATAACCAATTGCAATAATGATTCTTTCAGGGTTTATAATGAAATGAAATGCTATCACAATCATATTTCAAGTTTCCGTTTATAAGCCAAGGTCTGTGATGGGTTTCATTGTCTTTTTCCATTAGTCTATTTGTCCAACCTTACATGAATGATAGTGTCTTAATTATTAGAACTATATAATAGGGAGAGAAACCAAAATGGCATAGGCAAACTCCTAAACTGCTGCCTCGCACAACAATTTCAAAACTAAACTAAAAGACAAAACAGACATCATCCAGAATCACCAAAAGGCTGGCTGAGTGGAAATTCTACAACTAAAAGGAAAGAGAAAAGCAAATTGAGACTCAGAGGAGCTACAGAAAGCAGAGGTAGCAAGATGTGCCCGCGGAGAGGGCGGGCAACTGAGTACCCAGCCGGTTTTCTCAATCGGGAGGGAGACAAAAGCTCCCGACTACTCTGAACTCGTTCAGAGCAAGACTCTGGGGTCCCCAGACTTATTCGGGGGAAAACTGGAATGTCAGGAAAGAGAAAAGCACACTGAGACTCAGAGGAACCGCAGGAGGCAAAGGTACCGAGGCGCATGCGCGTGGACAGAGAGGGCTAGCAATTGAGTATACGGCTGGCTTTCTCAATCTGGAAGGAGACAAAGCTCCTGACTGCTCTGAACTTCAGTTCCGAGTGAGACTCTGGGGAACCAGACTCATTTGGGGAGAAAATGAACTGTCTGGCAGCGGGTGGAACTCGAGGGCAGCTTCCTCTCAGAGGTACTTACAGCAATTACCATGGGACACTGAGACCACGTGCTTCGTAGGACAGGGCTGACAGGAAGCCATTGCTGTCTGCTCCGCCCTGAAACTCCGCTCCATCCAAGCTGAGCACAGAGGCTTTTGCAAGTCTTGTCTCATAAGAGTGTCTCCAGCACAGAAGTTCTCCCGGCATACACACAGCTGATCCTCACAGCCAGTTGGACTAGAGGTCAATTCCTCCCAGTAATACCAATAATAATCAAGGCTTAACTACAACAAGACTGTGCACACAGCCCACAAAGGGGTGCACCAGGAGTGTCCACCTCAGGTAACTGGGGAGGTTGAGCCACTGGGCCCTATAGGACACCTACCACACAAGACCACTCCATAAACTCAGGGAAATAGCCAAAATGCAGACACAAAGAAACAGGTCACAAATTAAAGAAATGGAGGAATGTAAACGACTAGATATAGAGTTCAAAACCACGGTTATAAGGTTTTTCAAGAATTTTCTAGAAAAGGCCAATAGTTTAGCGAGATCCTTGAGGATATGAAAAAGGAACAACTAGAAATTAAGCATACACTGACTGAAATAAAAAAAATAATATACAGAGATCCAACAGCAAACTAAGGGATTGCAATAATCAAGTCAAAAATTTGAAATACAAAGAAATAAAAAGCACCCAACCAGGAAAGAAAAAAGAATTCAAAAATATGAAGATAGTGTAAGGAGCCTCTGGGACAACTTCAAGCATACCAACATAAGAATTATGGGGGTGCCAGAAAAAGAGAAGATACTGAAAACCTATTTGAAGAAATAGTGACAGAAAACTTCCCTCACCTGGTGAAAGAAATAGACTTACGAGTCCAGGAAGTGCAGAGAACCCCAAAGGAAAGGAATCCAAAGAGGACCACACCAAGACACATCGTAATTAAAATATCAAGAGCAAAAGACAAAGAGAGAATCTTAAAAGCAGCAGGAGAGGGGGGTTGGGTGGGGGTCTGCATGTCTGCCTGGGGCCTTCCTGCGCCTGCCTCCGAGCTGCTGCATATTCCACTCGTGGCTGGCGGTTTCTCGGGTCCATGCCTCCCGCCGGCCCGTATCTGGGGTTCTGCTCAGGCAGCCACTGCCTGCGCCCCCCTTGCTGGGAG